ATAATGAGTAATGTGTTTTATTTTTATTATGCATTAGGGTAAAGTAGACAGTTATCCGACACTTTAAAGTTATTGGACAATTGAATTAATACTTTAAAAACAAGAGTTCTATAAATAGTTACCTTAAAGTCAAATCATTAGATGACGCTGTATACAATTATAACTATCTCAGTCGGTAATAATATAGAACTACTTTATTTTGCCTCCAATATAGGACAGCAGGGCTGTGTTTAAATTACCATAAAAAATATTTCTAAAAAGTGTACAGATCAGTGTGTGGTATAAATGTGTTCCTCATGGTTTAAACATTATCGCTTTAATGCGTTTTAATTTGAATTCTGAAAACAAACAGTAAAATGGCCAGTTTACAATTACTGGTTGGTAAAACATGAAAATTTCTATTATTGGACATTAGACTGGGCCAAAAAATCAACAAGTATATCGAAAATATGGTTTGGGGTGACAAAAAAAATTATTGTGAAAGTTTAGGTCCATAATATTAATATTAAGAGGTCTATCATCGCAATTTTAATTTTTTTTCCTCGGCAAGTTTTTGTCTTAGAACTCCCAAACCATTGAATTTAACAAAATTGACTCGAAAATATTTTTTTAAGAAAATTAAATGCTCTACAAAAAAGGTTAAAGCGAAATTTTCCGTCAGATGAACCGTTTCCTTAAAATCATGCCTTAAAAATTGGTATAGTTTTACATTTTGATCTTTTAAATTGGAATTTTGTAATTCATGTAAAAATCAGTACCCATAAAAAACCGACAAATAATCTTATGGGAAATCAAATGCTTTACAAACAAAGCCTCTCAACATTTTTGGCTAAATTCGCTCAATCAAAAGTTAATCAAGGTTAAAATTTCGTTTTGACTTCAAATTTAACCTTGAATAACTTTTGATGGAGTGAATTTAGCCAAAAATGATAGACTTTTTTTGTAGAGCATTTGATTTCCCATAAGAATATTTATCGGTTTTTTTTCAGGGTACTGATTTTTACATGAATTACAAAATTTTAAAGTTAAAAGATCAAAATGTAAAACTATACAATTTTTAAGGCATGATTGTAAGAAAACGGTTCATCTGACGGGAAATTCCAATCAAACCTTTTTTGTAGAGCATTCAATTTTATTCAAAAAATATTCTTAAGTCAATTTTGTTAAACTCAATGATTTGGGAGTTCTGAGACAAAACTCGCTCAGGAAAAAAAAATCTAAAATTGCGATGATAGACCTCTTAATATTAATATTATGGACCATAATTTTTTTTTGTCACCCCAAACTATATTTTCGATTACTTTACAAAAAAAAATAGTCGATTTTTTTTGGCCCAGTCTATTGGACATATGTACAATATCATACTCTATTTGTATCCCGGGCATTTACCAGCCAATTCTTATGTAAAATTGTCCTCAGAAGCCGAAAAGACCGTCAAAAACTATAAAAGTTAAGCAGTTTTTGATATATAGTCAATTCCATATTATATGTAAAATTAATTATATTTCAAAAACTGTCCTACTTTTATAACTTTTGACGACATTTTCGGATTCAGCGAATAATATTTCATAGGAACTGACTGCTAAATGTCCTGGATACAAATTGCTGTTGACAATTCATTTTTAGAGAGTAAGTAATATAGTGATTTCTTTGTCAAAGGACATCTTGCAGAATAACAGTGATTTAAATACAGTGCACGATAGAGAACATAAAAAAATAATGGCAACAAAATTAATAAATTCGGAAAAAACTTTGAACATACCACCCGAAAAAATACTAGATATATATAAATCATCCTGTTCCAGCCTAAACATTATAAATGCTTCACAAACTGGAGATACCACACTTAATGATATTTGCAACAAACTATTTCAGAAGTCAGACCAAGGAATTAGTAGTTACATTCAAAATCCAGAAAAGGGATGAGGAATCCGAAATATATGAATTATATGATATTTACAAAAACGAAATAAAAAAAATTACCTAAAACAGCAATATATCTTTAAAAAATATTTAACAATTTATGTTATTTGATGTAAAGTTGTTATGTCCAATAACTATGGTCCATGTGTCCAATTACTATAATTTTTTGCAACAAAAATTTGATATCTTTTGAACGAGTAATCAAAAAAATATTAAACTTCACCAGAAAGGGATTTTTAATGGGTACTTAAAAATATCGAAAAGTAAATGAAATCGAAAATCAACATTTTTCAAACTGTCAGACTTGGTGTAAAATGACCCATACAAACCCCATCATCCCCCTGATCATTTATCACTTTCGTTACAATTTTTGTGTAATGTATGGTCTATCATTCTCATTTTTTATTTTTAAATGAGTAATGTATTGTTCGACATTACTCATTAATTTTTTAATGTGTAGTGAAAATATTTCCCATTACAATTTTTTTTTAATGATTAATGTATTCAAACTACAGTACCATTATAAAAAATGACGATTGCATTATTTTTTACATTCATATTTTTGCAACTCTGACAAGTAATAGTAGGTATTTTTTCTAAAAATAAAAAAGTATAGGTAATCAAAAATTTATTTATAAAAAAATTACAAAGTACAAAGCTACTTACATGCAAGTAAAACTGTTGCTTAAAATATTGTACATACCTTGATTGACGGCATCCATATTAACTTTTGCCACCAAAATCACTTTTAACATAAGAAACAACACGGCGAAAATTTGCGTTTTAGAGTGTCGCGAACGAAGTAAAGGAGCGCTAAGTTCTAGCTGTTGCTACCGCGGACTGGGATGGCCAATTCAGGTAGCAACTACACCGAAAGATAGCCATGACATCTATCTGCTTTGAGACGCAATCTTAGATCTATTAATTAAAATTAACAAAATTGAGTTTTGGCCACGTTTTAGTTCAAAATACCTGTCCAATCATAAAATCACTTCCATAGCTCAAAAATCCATTTTTGTGAAACATTATCGACTATTTTACAAAATTTGTCACAGTTTTATCGCATAAATGAGCCAAAAAAATCATTTTGATAACAAAATATAAATATTTTACGTACATTTTTTACCATCACTTAATACACGCATTGAACATAATATTTTGTAATAATAAATTTGAAAAATAAATATCATGTATATGTACTGGTTGAGTTTGGCAATTTTTTATTGCAATTTTGAAATACAAGAAATATTTACAGAAGCGATAATCAAGCATTAAAAATACATACATACTTTTAATTATACAAGGTGTCCAAAAATTGCAAAAGTATACAATACTCTGGTCCTTGTTTGGATTTTTTCACTTTGGTCCTAAATAGGCTCAAAATATATATTTTAAATGAACAAAATTTGATATCCGAAAAAATTAATGTAGGTTGTAGAGGGCACTGTCTGCGATACTTTGCATATGTTTAAATGGAAACATCTTTTTTACGCCATAAGCTTAATTTTCATGTATCCGTTTGTCCGTTATTCAATAAAATCGTCCGATAGATAAGAAATGTTCTAATTTTCATGCATCCGTTTTTTAATGACGTTTAACGGATTAATTTGACGACAAATAGAAATTAAGTGTCAGTATATTCACTTTACTAAATTTACCTAATGCTTAATTATCATAGTTACAATTATGTCAACAATTGTAACTTTAACAGTTAGCTCATAGATAATAAATTTAAAGGTAGGTAAATATACCATATAAAAAGAATATACTAGCCTTAATGTACATTAAAATGTATAGTTTTAAAAAAAACAGGTCCTTTTAGTTCTAGTTTGAATTTTTTTTTTTGGTTGTATTTCTTTTTTTCCGTTATTCTTAAATAAAAACATAACCGTAGAACATTATTCACATAACGAACGTAATATTTCCGTTCTACAATCTTATTAAAAAAATATAAAAAGATTTAAAAAAAAAATCTTAAAATAACGTCAAAAACAGATGTGTAGTGACGGATGAGTTTATTTAACCTTTCTCTGTCAGACGTACAAAGTTGAAACTTGACGGACCGATAAAATGTCATAATTTTCCAATTATAATTGGACCAATAAGAGCGCTCCCGGATGAACGGACTGACGGACAAACGGATACATGAAAATTAAGCTTTAAGCAAAATTTTCATGTATCCGTTTTTTAATGACGTTTAACGGATTGATTTGGCGACAAATAAAAATTAAATTAAATTTACCTAATGCTTAATTGACATAGTTACAATTATGTCAACAATTGTAACTTTAACAGTTATCTGTCTAATAAATTTATAGGTAGGTAAATATACCACATAAAAAGAATATACTAGCCTTAATATACATTAAAATGTATAGTTTTAAAAAAGCAGGTCCTTCTAGTTCTGGTTTTAATATTTTTTCGTTCTTATTAAATAAGGACAAACAGTAGAACATTTTTCACACAACGAACGTAATTACTCCGTTTTACAATCATAATTAAAAAATACCTATTTTGCTACTTGGGAGATACATGAAAATTAAGCTTTAGTGTATTCAGGTTTTGAATTTAACAAATTTTGATTGTCTAGAAGTAAAATAGAAAACTTAAACGTAAAAAAACATTAAAAACCCAAAACGAAACTACACAGTGGTACAAAATTAGGGAATGAATAATTTGAATTTTTTTGACTGCTGTTGTTGTGTCCCATTACTTTTGGACCACTATTACATCATGGAAAAACTAATTCTAAGCAGATTATAATAATAATAATAATTATAATATTTTTTAATCAAAATATATTAGTTTTTAATCAATCTCTTTTTAGACACCTCGTATTTATTTGTAAGATTTACGCAAAAGCATGTTATTTTTAAAAGCCAAATACAAGATAAGCATGAAACATTTTTTTATTTAAAATTGTAAGTGTTCAAATTTCAATGAACCCAGACATAAAAATAAATAAATAATAATGGAAATATGCATAAAAATAAAGTGATCCCAAAAACAATACTACCAAGAACCCGCTAAACTTGGAAAAGAATCCGTTGAGATAAAACAAAAAATTAAAAACTCACCTCAGTTGTATTATTAGCATAATAAGTTTGCTGTTGGTCAGCACTGTCTTGAGAAAATTGACTTTGCTGCGCATCATTCCACTGCTGGCTCTGGTTTTGCCAGTACCGCTGCTGATCCGGTTGCGGTTGTTGGTACTGATTCGCATTACTAACGTCTAAAAATAATTTTGATTGCGAAAATATGCGCCATGTGAAAAATGTGCTTCGTACCGTTTTCCGGCGGCTGAGTGAAGCTCTGCTGGTTTTCGACAGGGGTGGTTTCGGGCTGCCACTGCTGCTGTTGCTGTTGTTGTTGGTAGTGCTGTTGCCACGTTTCCTGCGCACCAGAGTCGTAGCTTGCTTGCTGCAAACTCGACTCTTCCACCGGCGGTTCGGAATACACAATGGCTGCGGCCTGAGTTATTAAACCCGCCTAAAATATTTCAATTTTACTTTGCACTATTATAATACATAGCTATTCGCTAAAGAAGTATCGGGTTTTCGCAAAGCGCGCGCCATCTGGTGGACTTTAAACATTTTTAAATAAATATGTAATTTTTTCACAAAAGAGAGGAAAGCAGAAGTATTGCACGCCGTTTTAACATTTTTAAAATAATTTTTTAATTTAAAATTTTATTGTTTTAAAATTTTCCTAACTAAAAATTTTAGGTTTACATTCATAAATTTATAATATTTTCAACTATCATGTATTGAAAGACAAAATTTACTAACAAACAGTTCACTTCTGTATTATTTTCTATCAATTTTTGCACTAATTTCTAACTATCATTTTTTAATAAAAATAATTTCTCAAGTATAATTTATTTGGGTGGCATTTTGTTAACTTAAATAAATATTTTATAAAAGTATTGAGATTAATTTGGTAAAGTTAAATTTTTTAGTATTTAAAAATAGTATCAAGCCATTTAAAATAAAAACACATATAAAACATTTTCTACCAAGATAGTTTAAAAAGTTAAATTTTTGTAAACTCAAAACTATTGATAATTATGATTATAATCAAAGAATATTTTAAAGTTTTTTTTAAGTTTAAGTTTAAAAATATTAATTTTTAAAAAATGGAATTTTAATATTTTATTCCTCAAAATTATTGTTTTGAATTTGTAAAGAGTCATTTAAATGATAGTCGATAAATTTTCAATACAAAAATTTGAACATTACATTTAAATGTTAGTTTTAAATTTTAAAGTGGTAATTTTTGCATAAAAAATTTATCGACTATCATTTAAATGACTCTTTACAAATTTAAACCAATAACTTTTATTTTTAACAATTTTAAATTGATACATTTTTAAGACAAAATTTATAACTTAACATTTATATGTAAGTCGATAATTTTTAAATTAAAAAGTGTAAACGTACCTTTAGTAAAACGCACAGTTTTGCCAAATCGTGCTTGCTCCATAAATATTTGACGCGTTTTACAAATTATCGTAATGAAATGTTTCTTAATTACATAAATTTAATAATAGAACAACATTTTTAGTGCCTATTGTACTAAGTCAATTAAAAAACATCAACGGATCAAACTGGCTGCATCGTGGCTCCGATCCCAGACTCTTGTGCCTTCTACTAAAGCTACGTTTACACTTTGTAATTTAAAAATCATCGACTTAGATTTAAATGTAAAGTTGTATTTTTGTCTTAAAATTATTAAAAATAAAAAAATTTCGTTTAAATTTGTAAAGAGTCATTTAAATGATAGTCCATAAATTTTTAATCCAAAAATTACTACTTTAAAATTTAAAACTTACATTTAATGTAATGTGAGAATTTTTGTATTAAAAATTTATCAACTATCATTTAAATGACTTTAAAAATTTAAACCAATAATTTTTTAGAATAAAATATTACAACCAAAACTTTTAAAAATCAATATTTTTAAACATAAATTTTAACAGTGGCATTTTATATTTAAAATATTTTTTGACTATCAATTGTTTTGTGTTTAATAAAATGTAACTTTATAAATTTCTGTTAAAACATAATTTAAGTGCTAAACTTTAATCTTTAAACTTTTAACTAATAAATGCTAAAACGGCGTGCAATACAGAAGTCTTACTCGACAAATTTTGTTCAATTGCACAGCTAAATCGCGCACGTTATTTGTGTTTTACGTTGCAAGGAAAAAATTAAAAAACTTTTTTAGTACCTACTCGATTTCGATTGATTATTCCTTATGTCATTGATCAATAATCAATAGTTACGTTAGTGTGTGTATTTTATCTAAGGGATCATGGTGAATTATTGTGTTTTTAATTGTAAATAAAATTCAAGAACTAAATCGTTGCATTTTCATGTTTTGCCAAAGGATACAATTCGGTAAGTACATTTGTTGGTGCAGAATTAACTAATGATAACTTTACCTAATATAATTTATATTTAAGTTTAGACATTTTTAAGAAATTAGTAAGAAATAATTTTTGCACAAACATAACCTTAAAATCAACTATTTTTATCTAAGATTTTTATATTGAAATTTCACTTGAAATTTTCATGACATTTATGAAATTTATTAAAATTTCCTAAATTTCTGAAATTTCATGAAATTTATTGAAACTTTCAATTTTATGAGCCAAAGGCATTGTTTATCCGTTTTCCGATGCAATTATAGCAAAAGTAAAAGTTTAAATTAATCATGACTTTTTAAAAAAATTTAAAGTCTGATTTAATTTACAAATTAAATTGGTAACTGAATTAAATTATTTAAATTAATTACTTATAGTGTATTCAAATCCAAGCCGAACTAAACAAAAACGCCCAGACGCTTGATAACTCGTTCTTATTGGTCGATTCGGAATCTGTTGTAAATTATTATTAAAGGTCCCAGGGGAGGCCGCATGTGAAATTTATGCGAAATTTTCGTTAAATTGCGAAACTTTTTCGGATTGAAAATTTCATCTGAAATTTTTAAAAATTTCACTTTTCCAACTAAATGAAATATTTCAAGTTAGAAACTTTCAAAGTTGAAATTTTCATTTGAAAATTTCAACTGTGCCAACCCTAATTAGGTCATCAAAATATTGTTATATTAATATAACAATATTTTGATGAAATCGTCAACCTAAAAATAGTGGTAATGTCATTTTGACATTGCCAATTATGTTTGAACTTTATGTTTACGAAAATTCTCATAATCCATGGATACCCTGGCAGGCCATCAAGTGTTGACGAAAGAAGGCGAAATAAGGAGCGCAGAAGACGTTTTCGCGAGAAAAATAACGACGATAATCTACTACTTTTCGGCCGGCTACGTCCAAGAAAGGGGCAACGTGCTGAAAACGTTGAAGAAAGTGTATCTGGAAGCGAAAAAGCGCGCGATCGGTTGGGAGGTGGTCTTCGTGTCCTCCGACGCCACCAAAGAAAAGTTTATGAGAGAATTTTTTTCCGGCAACCAGGGAAACTGGTACGCCCTGCCCTTCGAGGACACGGCCGGCGTGGAACTTCGCTACAAGTACTACATCACCAGCCTTCCCAATGTTGTGGTTGTCAGAACCGATGGCGAAATCGTCACTTTATACGGCAGGGAAGATTTGGAGAAAATCGGGATTAATGTTATAATTACTTGGAATTTTTGACTAACACAATTGTGTTATTAATAAACGGTTCAAATTGGTTGTGTTCCGTAATTTACTGCCATTACTATCGGTAATTTTACTGTCAGTAGCGAAAAAAGACCTTTCCGTAATTTATTCAGTACTGACGCAATTGTAAAATCGGAACGCGCCTCAGTAGCAGCAGAAAGTGACAATGGTTACTCAAGGTTATGATTTGCAATTTACTGACATTTGACAAACTTTACTTTCAGCACAGCATAAATAAAAAATAAATATAACAGTTATAAGAACTATAAATTTTTGTTTATGGCAGAGAAATATGGAAAATAAAATGTTATCGTCGTCCGCGTCGAAAAATGTATATAGGAATAGGAAATATAAAATTTCACTGACACCACAACAATACGCCAAATAACAAAAAATATATATATATATTAAATTCGTACGCTGAATACAAATGTATAACATTTTCTAGGTACTACCTAGTAGGTAGTTTCTATTCTATATATTCTATAATAATATCCTCCTTTGATTATTAATTCGTGTCCTTCATCACTGCTGCTTGTACTTTCAAGTAATATTTTTTTAAATAAATATTGAAATAATTGTTCCTAGGTATTCACCAAATACCATTATATCCTTCACTTTATTTTTTATGTTTAAAAGCTTGGTTATGTATTTTACTGGAGCAACAGCACCTCTCTGCCATACATTTATAAAAGGGTAGTATTTACCACTGAGCTCAGTAACTGAAAGTGGATTTCGGAATGCGTTTTCAGTACTGACAGTACTGACAGTAAATTATCCCTTGCGAAAAAAATGCCTAAATTTTGGGCATTAATGCCTAACTTAGGCATAAATGCCAAAAATTAGGAATTAATGCTGAAAAGTTAAGCATATATGCCTAACTTGGTCATTTATGCCCAACAGTTAAGCATAAATGCCTAACAGTTAGGATTGAATGCCTAACTTGGGCAGTTATGCCTAACTGTTAAGCATAAATGCCAAAGAGTTAGGATTGAATGCCTAACTTGGGCATTTATGCCCAACAGTTCAGCATAAATGCCTAAGAGTTAGGATTGAATGCCTAACTTGGGTATTAATGCCCAATAATTTAGCATAAATGCCAAAGAGTTAGGATTAATTGCTCAAAAATTTGGTATGTGAATTCAATGATTCAATGTGTTGAGATTAAATACCTATTTTGGGCATATAGGTATATGGCTGGTAGATGCTACTTTTTTGTCTAATATGTAATAAGTAAAAGAACATAGGTATTCAAAGACCAAGCTCATCCTCCTTCGGACATCACATTAAATACAACTCCCACTCCTTCCGCCCAGCATCGAAGGCAAGAATCATACATAACCTAGATCTCAACAAATACAGCCTTAAACTAGACCTATTTGAAGATTTGGAAATATCCAACTCATTCAAAAATAAACCTGAACAATGCTTGCTCACAAATTAATTTAAATAGAAATTTAAACCATTATTTAAACATTTCCTATAAGCATTTCATGATTGATAATGAAAAAAAACATTTATTGATTCCGTCCTCCCCCCACCATTGCTTATTTTTTAAATAACCTTTTTAAGTTGTAACTACTGTATTTAATTGATTTTATTAGTTAATTTAATTTAAATTACCCGCTAATTTTAAGATTATGAAGTTGGCACTAGTTAATTAACGTTTAAACGTCAAAATTAACGTGGTTCTTCTGTAAAAGATAAAATGTACAGTCCTGGTTTAGGTGTACAGTTCTGTGTTGTCCGCTGAATTGACAAGAGTCCTTGGGAGGACAATATGGGGCTCACAGCACAAAATTAAGCTGATCAGTGCCAAAACTCCAAAATCTACATTAGATTTGTGAAGATGCAATAAGTTCCCACAAAGGATGGTCGAAATATTAAAAGATTGAATAGTCATGTGCAAACCGCCCAGTAGCGTGCCGTGGGTCTAAGGGCGGGAGGGGCGAGCTATCTTAAGGGCGGCAATTTTTTTATTTAATAAAAAATAGGGACTTAAAATCAGGTATAATAGTAAACGAACTGACAATAATTATTATTAGTGACGTGTTTAATAAAATACATATTAGTTTATATTAACAATATTTATTAAAATTAAATTATAACAACAACCTTTGTGTTTTTACACCTTTAATAGAATCTAAAACCTTATCGTAATCTATCATTTGTGCTTTTTCAGATTCAATACATAGTAAGGCCAAGTTGTTTGTCCTTTCCTGTGTCATGGTGCATCTTTGATAGTTAATAATTTTGTTTAGTCTGCTAAAAGTTCTTTCCGCTCCTGCGCTATTATTTGGTATGGTGTGAAAATTTTTTAATAGATTGCATAGAGCTGAGTATGACGAAACTAAATTATTTGAAATTAAAAACGGCAAATATTCTTCTGTTGAAAGATTATTATTGTCATTTTGGATTTCCGTTAAAAGGCCACAAAACATTCTATATTCGTCAATAACCGAAGTACCCACATCTTTGCTATAAAATATTTGAAGATCCATAAGACATTTAATGTTTTCTTCATTATCTTGAAATTTTACCAAACATGAAAATTTTTGTGCAAGGGATATAAAGTCTTTAAATCTACTGGACAAAGTTGTTATAAATACATCTAAAATTGTGTAAAACATAGATATTTTAAATTTTTCTTCAGCATTTTCGATAACAAAATCCCTTTGAATGTCGTCATGAAATTTTAAAAATAAATAGCCTGCCTATAATTTGTATAGTAAATAATTACTTGGAAAGATCGTTGGAAAGGGCGCTCTGGGCAGAGGGGCGGGGGGGGCGATCGCCCCCCCTGGCCCCCTATACGGCACGCTACTGAAACCGCCATGTAGTGCATCGTGGGTTTTTTTTTTGCCCTCTATTTTTTTGTATGACTTCCGCTGCGTGTATCGTGATTTCGTTTATGTTACACAGAACAGACATTAGCTGGCCATACACAGACGTTATTTCGCGCGGTTTATCGTGGCGTGTTGGGATGTAGCGGTTAGTATGCACGAAAGAACGGCATGGCAAAAAAAGCGTCATTCCATACACTTGATAAAGTATTCAAATGATTTAGCAAGTGATTGCGCGTAGTATATCAGTTTCAAAGGAAAAATCGTATGTGAGTGGGCAAAAAGTGTCACGTGACGCGGAATGTGGCGTGTGGCGTGTGGACACTGCTGAAATGATGTACGCCACACTCCAGAGGAAAGCACGTCTGAAATACCTTCCCGTTCTATCATTGCGCGAGGCGATACTCACTCACGTACATGATTTTCCATATATTTTTGCAGATAACACGATAAACCGCGCGAAATAACGTCTGTGTATGGCCAGCTATTAGTGTATTAGTGAAATAAGAATGACTTTAAATTATAAGTGTACCGATAAGTTTTGTTAAGCTCGAACCGTAATACTAAAATAAAAGATTGTTTTATGAACTATAAAGACTGAAGTGATATTGATGGACATATAAGTTTGAAGAATAAAATAAATAATCCAGATGAAAACGAGAAGAAAAAAATAATTAATATTGAAAAGGAAGGGAGCGGCTATAGGAACTCCTAGACTCGCCCTCCCCAGTTATAGGAAAAAAGTTTAAGCTGGCCAATTCCCGGAAGGGAAAAGCCAAAAAAGAAGAAGAAGAAGAAGAAGAATAAGATAAAATGTAAAATTTGTTATGTTAAATTCCCTTCAGGGCTATATGTTTTTCAACTTATGTTCACTGCTACATATAAATGTAAGCTCGCCTTGACAAGTAAGTAAAAAATTTTAACCCACCTATTGAAACTAATGTTTACTTACTTTTCAGGGCTAGCCCGGAAGATGTCATTAGATTAAATGACGAAAGCGCTTGGCTACTCATTTTTTTTAAATAAATAATATACCGACATACAAAAATACACCCCTTTTATTAAATGAATAGTTTTATTGAATCGATTAGGCATAATGCCTAAGTTCGGCATTATTCCCAAGTTAAGCATAATGCCTAAGTTAGGCATTATTCTTAAGTTAAGCATAATGCCTAAGTTAGGCATTATTCCCAAGTTAAGCATAATACCTAAGTTAGGCATTATTCCCAAGTTAAGCATAATGCCTAAGTTAGGTACTCAAAATCATGTCCAACTTTTTAGGCATTAATGCCTAAAAGTTAGACATTAATACCCAAAATTTAGGCATTTTTTTCGCAAGGGATTGTAGGTTATATTGAACGGTTGTCAAGATGAATTGTCAAAATTCGTAGTTAAAAATGTGAACACTCGTGAATGTTGTCCAATCATTGGACTTCAATGTTGAATGGGTATTTTGTTAAAGCCACTGGACGGTAATACTTGTAGTGGCTTAATAATAATTATAATGTATATACGAGGTGTGTTCAGAAAAAAACGGGAATTGTTAAATTTCGCGGGTTCGGAGGGTCCGGTTGTCATAACCTTTTTTTTATTACGTTGGTATATATGGCCCCGAAGTATGTTAAAAACTCTAACTGTTTTCATTGTTTACTTTGTCTGTGGCAGCCGCTAAGGTTAGACGTGTTTTATGAGCTCGGCGATTTTTCGTTCGTTAAAACAAATGGATCAAAGAATTTGTATCCAATTTTGCTTAAAAAATAAAATAAATTCTGTGAAATGTTAACAAAGTCCTATAGTGAGTCTGCTATAAGTAAAACAAGAGTTTACAAGTGGTATAAGAGTTTAAAAGATGGCCGTGAAGACGTTGAAGATGACGAACGCCCCGAACGCACAAGCACATTAACAACCGATAAAAACATGTAAAAAGTGGAAGAAATGGTTATAAACCATCAGAGAAGTCGCTGATGATGTTGGTATATCGATTGGCTCATCCCATGAAATTTTTTCGAATGTTTTGGGTATGAAACGCGTGGCAGCAAAATTTGTTCTAAAATTGTTAAACACAAATGACGTGTGCGATTTAGCTGTGCAATTGAACAAAATTTGTCGATTAAGACTTCTGCCTTCCTCTCTTTTGTGAAAAAACTACCTATATTTTTAAAAATGATGTACAGTTCATATGATTTAAATGTATTGATTACAATTCTTAAATTCATTCAATGCATTCGAAGTCCACCGCACGTTGCGAAAACCCGATACTTCTTTAGCGTATAATAAATATTACTGTCAATTTGACAGTGTCAGAGTATTTAATTAAGGTCTTCAGCAGAAGTACCATTTTTTAAAAATTCTAAATTAAACATTACCATTGGTAATGTACATTTCATTTTTTTTATTATTGTACATTTTTCCATGAATAAGCAAAGTTGCAAAAATGTTAATGTAAAAAATAAAGCAATTGTCATTTTTATTTTTATTGGTAAATTATCAACAAAAATAAAAATGCCAATTGCATTATTTTTTACATTAACTTTTTGCAACTTTGCTTATTCATGGAATGAAATGGCGTTTTAAGATGGAAGTAGCAAAAAGTCTCATTTTAAGTACTTTAGTACTTATAAAAGTGATCTAAAATAACCTAAATTATTTTTTATCCGTCCAAAAATGTTAAAGTAGGCAAAATAATTTTCCAGAAAAATAAATATATCAAGGTGAACCAAAAACAAAAATGTTAAAAATAGATGTGACTTGATAAATAAAACTTAATTTAGAACAATATACGGTTTTGCCACTCTACAGAGTGCCTAAAACTTATGGTAAAAAACATCTATTTGTTTAAACCTGTATATTATAAACGTACGTGTATTTTTTAGTAATTTCTAAAATGTGAGCGATTCTCCATTAATGTATCTACAATATTCTTTAATATTCGTTTAAATCCGACATGAAATTCATCGAAAATTTGTGTGGATCGATTATTTTGCCTGTGAGTGTATATTCAAAAACTGTACTCACGTGAAATTCGCTTTGCACCGCTCTCAGATCCTTGAGCCACGTTTGATCCGGGCGGCTGGTCTCCTGACTCCGGACTCCGAACTGCGATTCGTCCACGTCGTCGTCGTCGCCCACCGGATCGGAATATTTCAGTCGGTCGGCCAAATCGCAGACGGCGTCCACCAGTTTCCCCGAAACAGTCGAGGGGTTTTTCACGACGTATTCCGAGAGTTTTTCCAGGTAGGAGAGGGACTTTTCCGGCAGGCCCCGGTCGGCCAGCCTAGTCGCCACCAGGTACTTGTACACCTGAAATTGGTTAAACATTATTTAGATTGTCCATTAAGAAATTCATTAAATAAAATTAAAAGTGAGGTAAAATACTACTTTTGCATATATCTACACTCACAAGCAAAATAATCGATCCACACAAATTTTCGATGAATTTCAATCGCTAATAATTTTTTTATTTGATTTCGGATTTAAACAAATATTAAAGAATATTGTAGATACATTAATGGAGAATCGCTCACATTTTAAAAATTACTAAAAAACCGTATATTGTTCTAAATTAAGTTTTAATTATCAAGTAACATCTATTTTTAACAGTTTTGTTTTTGGTTCACTTCGATATATTTATTTTTGTGGAAAATATGGATTTTTTTTTAAAAACATTGCAATTTTCAATATTTTTCCTGTATGAAGAACTAAGGTTGCTATGGTCCATCCATAGCCTATGGAGGATGACAGTGACAGTTTTGTTGAATCATCCCATACTTGGACATGTCATATACAGCTTTCAAAAGCTATCAAATTGTTTTTTGTAAATTAATGTGTTAATTTTCAGGTGTCTTCTTACTTTTAAAAATGTCTCCGACTGATGTTGCCCTTTGTACTTTACTTCTTATGACGTTTAAAACACTTGCCACGTAATACTGTGACCGTCCATCCTGGATTAAATTAATAGCTCTGGCAACATCAGTCGGAGATATATCCATTTTTTAAAGTAAAAAGACACCTCAAAATTTAAACATTAATTTGCAAAAAACAATTTCATAGCTTTTGAAAGCCGTGTATGACATGTCCAAGTATGGGATGATTCAACAAAACTATCACTGTCATCTTTCATAGGCTATGGATGGACCATAGCAACCTTAGTTCTTCATACAGGAAAAATATTGGAAATTGCAATGTTTTTTTTTTAAATTCATATTTTCCACAAAAATAAATACATCAAGGTGAACCAAAAACAAAACTGTTAAAAATAGATTTGACTTGATAATTAAAACTTAATTTAGAACAATATACGGTTTTGCCACTCTACAGAGTGTCTTAAACTTATGGTAAAAAACATCTTTTTGTTTAAACCTGTGTATTATAAACGTACGTGTATTTTTTTAGGAATTTTTAAAATGTGAGCAATTCTCCATTAATGTATCTACAATATTCTTTAATATTTGATTAAATCCGAAATGAAATAAAAAAATTATTTGCGATGTAAATTCATCGAAAATTTGTGTGGATCGATTATTTTGCTTGTGAGTGTAGATATATGCAAAAGTAGTATTTTGCCACTCTACAGAGTGTCTTAAACTTATGGTAAAAAACATATTTTTGTTTAAACCTGTATATTATAAACGTACGTGTATTTTTTAGTAAATTTTAAAATGTGAGCTACTCGTCATTAATGTACAATATTCTTTAATATTTGTTTAAATCCGACATCAAATAAACAAGTTAATTGCGATTGAAATTCATCGAAAATTTGTGTGGATCGATTATTTTGCCTGTGAGTGTATTTGTAAGAAACAAACTCAAATCTTTAAAACCAATGTCCAAATATTTACGGCCGCGTTTTAGCTCAAAACACCTGTCTGCGCGTCGCACAGTATTTCAATTCTCGAAAATATCGGCAAAACCTCAAAAATTGACATTTTTTTCAGGTATATTTTGAGTCAGATGGGAAGTTAATACCTGTCTCCATTCTGTATTGAAAAAAAATTATATAAAATACGTATATTTTGTCTTGTACATCAGTTTAAAACTTGACGCTTTCAGTTGAAGGTACTTTACACGCGATCGCTGCGGAAAATTGTTTATTGTTGAAAAGTGAATAACTTGTGTTTGGTGTGTCCGATTGTTATGCGGCTTGATGAAAGGTGATCTTCAAGGTATGTAAAATTCAGATATGTATTTGTTTTTCGTAGATTTTGCTTGTACAATGGGTTATTGTAACCGACAAGATCGGTCTGTTAAAATCGCAAACTTTGAATCGAGGCTTTAGAACAATGGAGCTACAAAAATTGTAATGAATTCTAAGGCATCAGTTCAAGATCCGTTGAATAGCTTAGAGTTTTGTCTATCAAGCCATCAATAAATTAGCTGCCCCAACTTGCCCCCGGCTCTTTAAAACTACATGTTCTTGGGCGCTCAGGCACGGTTGTGGTAAAAAACATCGCGATTTTAAGCCCATGTCGAGCGCGTATCTGTGTTTTTTCTTTATAAGATTTTTTTTATTTCTGGGTTGCGTTCATGACGTTTACTCGATTCACTCGGATTTAACTCAAAACGTTTATTACAACAGGCTGTCTAGACTTTCACTTGCGTAAATCGTTCGTGACTACTAAGATATTTAACACCGATTTCATATATTTAACCTACCTCTTGTAGGTGCGTTAAAACAACTCCGTATGCGCATTGTAGTGTGTTAATGTCAAATTTGAATTGTGGTTATTTGTGTTGACAATTTTTTTAGCGAATTAAGAAATCGTTGCTAAAATATTAAGTAAAAGAAATAATACAAATTTAAAATACTTTTTATAAAATCTGTTATATTTAAATTTTATAAATTTCTCGGGAGAAAACAATGGAATATGTTTTCCATTGGCTTATGGCATCTTCCGATCCGTATATTTCTAGCTTCAGAAAATTTGCTCCGAAAAAGAGCAAATCTTTGTCCCGCGAAGCAATAAAACTGTTGTTATCTTCTGATGGTTTTCCATGCTCTGCTAATGATACAACGAGCGAATCCAGTGTCGGAAATTGTTTAATGTAGGTATTAAATAATATCATATAAATGTAATTATAATAAACTAAATTAAGCTATTTTATAAAAAGATGTTTTATTACATTTTAAAAAGAACCTCTTACGGGTTTTTAATTAATTTCGACAATATTTGATAAAAATGTCCGCCATTTGAGGTCCACCATTTTGAATTTTGGAATTCTGATTTCAGATTCATTATCAGCGACCACAAAAACCCCTGTATGGTGATTTTCAATTAATTCCGTCATTTTTTTTTACAAATATGTCCGCCATTTTGGATCTACTATTTTGAATTTTGGGATTCTGATTCCAGATTCGTTATCAGCGAGCCTAAATAGCTCTTTATACAGATTTTTAGGAGAATCCGACTACTCCTTGATATTTTGCCGAAAATTTCGAGAATTGAAACACTGCGCGTCGATAAAAATCCTTACCTGGAACTCCGGTATGACGAACTGCGGGTCGTTCAGGCTGCACGCGTACTCGTAGATCTCCGTCATGTGGACGGCCTCGTTCGTGGCGAAGCGCGCCAAGTCCTTGGCGCGGCGGTCCGCCCCGAGCAGCGTGACCCTCGCCTCCGGGTCGTCGCGCCCGCCGAAGCCCACGTCCGACATCAGGTAGCAGAACTGGGCGGCGTAGAGGGCGCCCCTGTGCGACAGGGTGTCGCCCAGCAGCGTGATCGCCTTGCAGTTCAGTTCCGGGCGGTGGTTGGAGTTCGACAGGATCATCGCCAGGTGGGGCCGCCAGTCGCCCCATTTTTCCTCCGAAACGCACTGAAAGAATGTCCAAAAATTTAAAGGACTTCATTGCTTGGGATGACATTACAAAACTCCCAGCACAAAGATCAGTACTGAAGTCGCATAATCTACAATATATTTGTGCTTTGGATTTGAAATTTGAATTTGAAAGTTGTCAATGATACCGTAAAATCATCATTTAGGGATTATTGATTTTTTTTTATTAAAACTTACTTCTTGCACATTATTAATATGTCAGACGAAGATTTTATTAGATAACAGTTTAAAGATTAAAGTTTAGCACTTTAATGATGTTTTAACAAAAATTTGCCAAGTTAGTCAATTTTTTTTAAAATATAAAATACAACTGTAAAACTTTAAGCATAAAAATATTGATTTTTAAAAATTTTAGTTCATATATTTTATTCTACAAAATTTTTAAATTTTATAGTAATTTTTAGATTAAAAATTTATCAATTAATGACTCTTTACAACTTCAAACCAAAACTTTTTATTTTCAACAATTTTATATTGATACATTTTTAACACAAAATTTATAACTTTACATTTAAATGTAAGTCCACAATCTACACAACAAGGTCTGTTGGATCTCGTACTAAAAATACTAAAAATCACTGCAACACTGCACATCATTTAATAGCGGCCATTTTTGTTGTTTACAATTCTCGTGCTTTGGGTTTGTACAGATTAATAATTGTTTTAAATGTTGTGTTTCTTACAGAGAGACTTGCAAGCCTTAAAAGAGACCTCAAAGTGGTAAGAACAATCATTTTACTCCTCTTTTGTAAAAAATAAACCTTATTCTATCAGGGCTATCAAATGTCAATTTAAAGGTGAATTTGTGAGTTAGAAAATAACCTTAAAATTGACATTTCACAGCCCTGATAGAATAAGGTTTATTTTTTACAAAAGAGGAGTAAAATTATTGTTCTCATCACTTTGAGGTCTCTTTTAAGGCTTGTCGATTAAGTTTTCTGTTAAAATTACAAAAAAAAATTGAATCACCATTTTGGGCTTTGTGCTGTATGTGGTGAAGTGGTGGTGTGTATTTTATAAAATAGGATTCTTACCGTTACAGCAGCCGGCATTCTTCCCGACAACAATTGATAAAGCGTTTGCAACGGGTCGTTCATGGTGAGCCCGTTGGCAAATCTCATCATCACGTTGGCGTACGTTCTCTTGTCCAGCTTGCTGGCCAAGAACAGAGCGTGGCCCCAGAGTCCATGTTTCATTGCCCATTCTAAAACGCAAATCGAAAAATTGCTTTTCATCGTCCTAAAAACCGTTTTAAACTCCAAAAAACTTACCAAGAGCTTCCTTGCAAGATCCGTACAACAAGTACTCCCTAAATTTCAGCGTGATTTCCTCCTCCTTCATGACAGACTGCATGCTACCGCTTATAGCCTCCGAGTTCGGCTGATTACTCGCCTCAGAGTGCAAATTATTGTCGCCAGCGGCGCTGCTGATGCTCGACAAAACAGACGAAGGCCTCACCAAGCCCTCTCTGCTCTTGTTTTCCTTCAAAAGCAGTTCCGCTATATCCGTACCGACCACCATCTAAAAGACAACATTTTTACCACCTATTTTGGCTTTAAAATGCTATTTTGAACATATCTCCAATAGAAAATATTCACCAGCTAAAACACTTTTGTGGTCCGGGCACGAAAAAATTAAATTGGATATGGGCTTTTCCATCAATGAGGCAAAAAGGCAGAGTCGTTATTTTTTTATAGTTTCTCTACCGAAATCGACGAGACCCGTATTTTTTCTTTTTGCTTAAATTTGTTTTGTTCACCCCTAGGAAATTTTTGAAAAATAGACAGAAACATCGATTTTTCTCTTTTTACCAGTGACACTTTTTCTTGAAAAGGCGATTACTTGGCCAAATGTTTACTACATAAAAAAATATATATAAAAAATTAAATAAATTCACTCAATTTTTTTATTTTTTTTTTTAAGGCAAAAAAAATGGAGGTAAAAATGACATTGCCACATTTGTTTTACTATATATTTGTTTTGTTTGAATAATATGAACAGCTTTCACTTTTTATAAAATAAAATAAGAGTTTAGGGGTGTAAATAAATACTCAACATTTTTTGGTTTTAAAACTACTAAATAAAATGATTCAAATATTTTGAAACGATTATAAAGTTATATCTAACCGCCCCATAGTGCGGCCATTGTAGGTAATCTCTGGCAATAAATAAAAAACAAAGTATGAAATCAAATACAAATTTGTTATTTCTAATCATAATTAACCTGCGCATTAGTTTCTGGACCTCTTGGGCTTAATACTTATTTCCCTTCCTGATAGAGCCTTAGTCACAGACTGCCTCACTCATATCTGTTAACCGACCAACATTTTTCGGAATTGTTTGTGTTCCACAAAAAAATATGGCAATGTCAAAATTTTGAATTTAATTTTTTTACTCTTAAGAAAAAAACAATTACAAAAAAAATGTAACGATCCACAGTGTTTCAATTCTCGAAAATATCGGCAAAACCTTAAAAATTGACATTTTTTTCAGGTAAGTTTTGAGTGGGTAGTTAATACCTGTCTCCATCCTGTATTGAAAAAAAATTATATAAAATACGTATATTTTGTCTTGTACATCAGTTTAAACTTGACGCTTTCAGTTGAAGGTACTTTACACGCGATCGCTGCGAAAAATTGTTTATTGTTTATAAGTGAATAACTTGTGTTTGGTGTGTCCGATTGTTATGCGGTTTGATGAAGGGTGATCTTCAAGGTATGTAAAATTCAGATATGTATTTGTTTTTCGTAGATTTTGCTTGTACAACGGGTTATTGTAACCGACAAGATCGGTCTGTTAAAATCGCAAACTTTGAATCGAGCTTTTAGAACAATGGAGCTACAAAAATTGTAATGAATTGTAAGGCATCAGTTCAAGATCCGTTGAATAGCTTAGAGTTTTGTCTATCAAGCCATCAATAAATTATCTGCCCCAACTGCTCTTTAAAACTACATGTTCTTGGGCGCTCAGGCACGGTTGTGGTAAAAAACCTCGCGATTTTAAGCCTATATCGCGCGCGTATCTGTGTTTTTGTTTTACAAAATATAAGATTTTCTTTTATTTATGGGTTGCGTTCATGACGCTTACTCGATTCACTCGGATTTAACTCAAAACGTTTATTACAACAGCGATGTTTAGACTTTCATTTGCTTAAATCGTTCGTGACTACTAAGTTTTTTAACACCGACTTTACATATTTAACCCACCTCTTGTAGGTGCGTTAAAACAACTCCGCATGCGTGTTGTAGTGTGTTAATGTCAAATTTGAATTGTGGTTATTTGTGTTGACAATTTTTTTAGCAAATCCAGTGACGGAGATTGTTTAATATATATGTAGGTATTAAATAATATCATATAAATGTAATTATAATAAACTAAATTAAGCTATTTTATAAAAAGATGTTTTATTTACATTTTAAAAAGAACCTCTTACGGGTTTTTAATTAATTTCGATTTTTTGATAAAAATGTCCGCCATTTGAGGTCCACCATTTTGAATTTTGGAATTCTGATTCCAGATTCATTATCAGCGACCCCAAAAACTCCTGTATGGTGATTTTCAATTTATTCCGTAAATTTTTTGACAAATATGTCCGCCATTTTGGATCTACCATTTTGAAATTCTGATTCCAGATTCGTTATCAGCCACCCCAAAAACCTTTATATACAGATTTTTGGGAGATCCGACTACTCCTTGATATTTTGCCGAAAATTTCGAGAATTGAAACAATGTGCGATCTAAACATTTTTGGCCAAGATATCTGATTTTCAATAAAAAATGTCACTCGTAAAAAGAGAAAAATGTTATCGTCCATTTTTCAAAAATTTGACTGCTCGATTTGACCCATATGTTGATATTTTCCGTCTTTAGGATCCCAAAGAACATCCCCACATGATATATGTACATATGCAGCTAAAACACTTACCCCATTCTGCCTGATCAGCAAAATGAGCAGCTCCCACATCAAAACGTAGGAGTCGACGTCGGGAACGGCGTCGCCGCCGAACGCCGCCCCCTTGATCTTGCTCTCGCAGTACTCGATGATGGTTTTCTTGTGCGTGACCCCCCTGACCAGCGGCCCGGGGAACGAGTCGAGCTCGCGGAACTCCTCGTCGTTCTGCAGCGCGAGCTGCAGGCTGCAGACCTCGACGAGGGCCGGCTGCCCGTCCAGCGGATAGTTGGGCAGCACTCTCAGCAGCTTGCCGGACGCTATGGAGGCTTTCGCGTGCGCGGTGGCGAACTTCGCCGGCGTCATTCTGTGCGCGGAAGCGCTCCGATTTTCGAGGTTCGTCGTGGAGGAGTCGGTGTGATCGAAAGGGCGGTTCAAACTACAATTTATCGTTCGCGGTCACGTTTTGCGATTTTATTTGTCAGTTTAAGGAAATTATGAAAATTATATTAGGAATATATAATCAGGGGCGTAGCGAGTGTTAGAATGATTCGTCACATGCAGATGAAGTGATGTCTAAAATTTACAATTTTAGGCGGACTCCGCTAAAATATTAGTATGACCTATCAATTTTCAATAAAGAATAAGAATTAAAATATAAAGAGAGTCGAAAAAAAATCACTATTAATATTTTTCTATTTTTTTTAATAATCAATAAATTTTTTAATTTGACAAGAGACTAGAGAAAAAAGTAAAGTTTTATCATAATTTAATTTTTATTAAAAATAGTAATCTTTTAATTTATTAAACAATAATTATACCTAAAATTACTTTACAGAAATCTATGAATCATTTACAAATTGTTAGAACTAAAGTCTACTACAGCTTTTTTTAAATGTTCACCATAAACAGGATGTTCAAGTAAATTGATTTTATACTTATTCCAGTATTTTATAAACTCGCGAAGGATCGACTTCCCAGCCTGCTCAGACCATGTGCCCAACCCAGCCCCGTTCAAAAATCTAATACAATCTTCCGTAGACGATCTTCGTTAGACTAATAGAAGCATTTTTGCGTGAAGATGGTGAATTATTAGATTTTAATACTCGGGTCTTGAGAACTAAAGAAACGACTCGTTCTTGAGTTTTCGGCGTAAATTTTTTTTATAATATTGACGACATTTCCATGTCTTTCTGAATTCGTACATATATGTTTTTTTTCCTTTACCAACTCTTGTGAAACAGATTTTGCCCAAAATAATTTTATTTTTGGTATCCTGGACCCTTTTTCCCTTGTTTTTTGTATTTCCCCTTCCTCGTGTTACCTTTCTTGCACGCACACACCTCATTTTGGATATTCCTAGTAGAGTTTGTAATAACATTTTCTTTTTCAAAGTCTGGCATTTACACCATCTTGAGTGGTTTAACATTTTTTTCATATTCGCAAAGAGTATGCCTGCATGTACCTACCGCAAATTGCAGTTAAAAACTTGATATTGCTTAGACTATATTTCGGATTACTAAATTTAACAACCAATCTTTTCAATCTTGCAGTTATTACAAACATGCTATTGGGCACTGATTTTCCAAAAATTATCTTTTCACCGCATTGGGCACAGACTATACCTTTATTTTCTTCATGGTTCAATTTAAATCTTGCGTTTGTAGTCATTTTTATTTTAAAATTATCGAGAGAACGATTCTCTATAACCAATAGATACTATTAACTGTCACTGATAACAAATTACTGCCTATAATATATATAATAAGTTGTTTTTTCGCTGAGGCACGGCCTACTTTGTTTAAAAAACTGCTTAAAGCTGTGTAAGCGTGTTAATAAGTTAATTGCACCATTGCACCTTTTTTCTTGCAAATGTATTTTGAATAGCTACAGAAATTAATAGTTATTTACGATATAAGTGGGATAAGAACTTTATTAACGTACGCATGCGAAATTTTCCCAACGAGTGCGTAGCACGAGTTGGGCAATCGCAAAAGTACGTTAATAAAGCGTTATCACACGTATATTGTACAAATTTTGATCTACGCCTCTAAATGAAAAAATAAACGGTAATTATTTTTGTCTAAGACTTAATTTAGGGTTATTTTGACATTTTGACTTTTTTATTTGATTGGTTAAAAGCAGAGAAAAACGCGTGCGTTAATGAACTTCTTATCTCACTCAAAATGAGTGGGATAAGAAGTTCTTATCTCACTGGCGTAGATAAAATGTAATTTAAACTAGAGATTCTCTAGTTTCATTCCTATCTTATCCTATTCACCCGACGGATATCCATTTTTGAGTGAGTATTGATCTATTTAATATAATATAATATATTATAATATATTATATTAAATAGATCAATACTCACTCAAAAATTAATCTACCAATTATATAGAATGACATTATATAGAATGACATGTTATAAATCTAATTTAATTAAGCGGATATTGATTTTTCTGTTTTTTTTTTAAATCCAGAAAATTGCAAAAAAATAAAAAAAGAGGATCAGCTAGGATTTTGAAAAATATGGTTTTGGAGTAAGAAATCTATGCATATTCCAAAAATACAATCCGTTTTGGTTGACATTTTTATGTGACCTGAGACGTGTTCAGGCACACCGTGATAAGGTGTTCCTAAAATGCCTGTACAAAATGATACCACATATTCATGAGACCAAAATAATGCGATTTAAGTAAATTTACCTTTATACAAAAGTTAATAATAAACAAGATACAAGGTGTCAAAGTTGAAAGTTCGTTTTCGATTTTATTAAATAACTTTGGAAAAAACAAACGTTTTTGCACAAAATTTGATATTCGGGAGTTTTTCAGGACGGGAAAATTAAATTTTCTAAAACTATAAATGTAGGTTGTAGATGGCGCTGTCTGCTAACTTTGCATACGTCACATCTTTTTGAATAGAGGTAAATTTAGTTATATCGCATTATTTTAAAAAATATATATGTTTTGGCGTATACAAAAATCATAAGATTATAATTCTTTATACTTAAAAAAAAATCGAAATCTAGGGAAGTTATTTTTTTGTAATACTGAATCCATTTTTCCTGGTCCCAACCGAGCAATTTTTTTGTTGCACAGTGTTATCGAGAACTCCTCGCTACGTCCCTGTATATAATAAATATTGGAAACATTTAATAGGCAGAACAAGACAATTGAATAAAAAAATCGCACAAATACTAAAACAATCTCATTTGAGTTTTTTTAACGATTTTTTCATTGAAGTCTTCTATTATAATAAGCAAGCAAAGCAAATGCAATCCTACACTCTACCTGATAGATTTTAGCCCCTCTATTACACAACCTACTTACTTTTTAGGTCAAACATTACATTACCCAAGAGAACGAGATTAAAATTTACTTTTTCGTATTAGTCGAAGTTTTTACATTTTGTTTTTTAAAGTAATCCGGCTGTTTCCTAAAGTGTGAATGAATGTGATAGATGTTAGGTTCGAGACAGCCGGATCACTGCTTTAAAAGGGCCTCACCTAGAACTGTCCGGGCCATAGTGACCGGAAATGCTATGCGCATGAGCATCTCCATAGTAACCGCTCATGTGGGGCACGCTCGATTGACTATAGTAACTCTGTCGCGTACACCTAGAGACACAATGGAACAAAAGCTTCAAATTTGAAAACCCCCTGCACAGTGTAATGCCGATTTCGCATTGAAATAGTAGAGTGGAAAGATCAAGTGAGCAAAAAAAACAATGTTTAGCTGTATGTGTAATAGACTGGGCCAAAAAAATTGACCATTTTTTTTTTTGAAAAATATTGAGAATGTCATTCAGAATGACAAAAAAAATATTTCGTGAAAATTTGAGCCCTTAATATTAATTTTAAGAGGTCTATCATCGCTATTTTTGATTTTTAGTCATAATTTGATGTTTTACGTTAGAACTGTAAAAACATTAAAGTGAAAAAAATTCCTTTTTACTTATTTTCATATAAAATTAAATTCTCTACAAAAAAGGTCTGACTGAAAATTTTCGTCAGACGAGCCGTTTCCGAGTAATTGAGCTTAATAAATCGATGTGTTTTTTCGATTTGCCCTTTTTACTTTGAAATTTTGTAAATGAATGAATATTTAAAAAAGCTCACGTCGGATTCTTAAAGGAAATTTATTGTTCTACAAAAAAGGTCTCTTAACATTTTTGCCTAAATTTAATTATTCAAAAGTTATTCACGAAAAAAATCGAAGAAAAACTTAAAATTTCAATTTTTTCTTCGTGAATAACTTTTGAAGAATTAAATTTAGGCAAAAATGTTAGGAGACCTTTTTTGTAGAACATTAAATTTCCTTTAAGAATCCGTCGTGAGCTTTTTTAATTATTCATTGATTCATTAGTTACAAAATTTCAAAGTAAAAAGGGCAAATCGAAAAAACACATCGGTTTATTGAGCTCAATTACTCGGAAACGGCTCGTCTGACGAAAATTTTTAATCAGACCTTTTTTGTAGAGAATTTAATTTTATATAAAAATAAGTGAAAAGGAATTTTTTTCACTTTAATGTTTTGACAGTTCTAACGTAAAACATCAAATTATGACTAAAAATCAAAAAAAGCGATGATAGACCTCTTAAAATTAATATTAAGGGCTCAAATTTTCACGAAATTTTTTTTTGTTATTCTGAATGACAATCTCGATATATTTTTCAAATAAAAAAATAGTCCATTTTTTTGGCCTAGTCTAATGTGTAATGTTGAAAATGTTCTTTTAGCTAACGAATCACAAAACGATAAAACGAAACCTCGCAAACTCAGATAAAAAACGAAAGCTTACCTGTCCTTGTTTAGGTCTTCGTTCGCAGAGCTTCTTCCGGAGTGCACGGAGGCGCGGTCGTCGCCTCCAAAGGAGGAGGAGGCGTTTCCGGTCGCCTGCTGGTAGTACTTCCGGTACCACTCGGCGTACGCTTGCGGGTTGGTGCGGCGCAAGTTTTCGTAGTACTGGTACTGCTGGTAGTACGGGTTGAACGGATCGTAACCCTAAGATTAATGTGCAAAATTTATAAAAATACACACAACCAATCCTATATGGAAACACTCAGTAATAGAGTAATTGCATCAAAAATGAAAATCCCTAAAAACCTTTTTAATGTAATCTAGAGGTAAAAACACATTGCAAAAATATTTTTTTATATTCCAAAAGTTCAACCCGGCCCCAAAATATCAAATTGAAAAAAAGGTACTTTTCAAACGTTCCGAACTCCCGCCATATTGCATGACGTCATAAGCTTCACCAGCTGTCAGAAATCAAGATGTCAACAAATAATAAACACCGATAAAGTTTATGTTTAACATGGAAAACGCGAAACCAAAAATTGGTTGTAAATATTGTTTTGTGCCTTGTTGTACAAATACAAACTGGAAAACTCCTGGGAAAGTTGTCCCTTCAATTATCAAAAGCAAAGTTTATGACCCTACACTGAGAGTAGTTACGGCTCAGCCGTATTTTCTTGAATTTATTAATATATATTAAATATTTAACATACCTATTCAAACCATATACCTAGTAAACGACATTTTATTTTACTTACATTAAAATGATCCTTAAAATGAGCAATAAAATGGTGACGATGTTTTGATATCGCGCCGAGCTATTTTAATCCACTTTATCCTTATTTTCCCTTTTGGCACGGTGATAAACCTTTTCCCAGGAGTTTTCCAGGTTGTATTTGTGCAAGGCACAAAAGAATATTTACAACCAATTTTTGGTTTCGCGTTTTCCATGTTAAACATAAACTTTATCGGTGTTTATTATTTGTTGACATCTTGATTTCTGACAGCTGGTGAAGCTTATGACGTCATGCAATATGGCGGGAGTTCGGAACGTTTGAAAAGTACCTTTTTTCAATTTGATATTTTGGGGCCGGGTTGAACTTTTGGAATATAAAAAAATATTTTCGCAATGTGTTTTTACCTCTAGATTACAATAAAAAGGTTTTTAGGGATTTTCATTTTTGATGCAATTACTCTATTATTAGAAAAAGTCTTTTACTTAAATACAAGTTAGTTGATAATAAAAAGCAGCTTATACTAACCAATTTTATTACAAAAAAAAAAGAAAAAAAATAATAAAACAAATTTTATATCGAACATATAACAAAAACTGTAAATTTCTTTTAGAATAAACTTTAGGTAAATTAGAATTTAAGAAGGAATAATAGGTTTTTGTAAATTAAATAATAATTACAGGGTGATTCCATAAAAGGAAAATTCGAGGGTCAATATTTGATAACACAGTACGACAAAATTTGAAATGTTATCCACGGCATTCGGCACATAATTTAGTAGCTTCGATAACAGAGACTGTATAGTTAGAAAAAAAATTATTCACTGAATAAATGGAAAACCATTACAGCTACACTTTAAAATTATTTTAATTATATACAGGATGTTGCACATTTACGAAATTCCTAGTGTTTCACGTTTGTGGTCCATTGCAAGTTTCTGGGGAAAGGAAAAAGATATCGATTTGGAATTTTATGATATGTATGGTTAAATGAACTTCCAGATAATGTGTAAAAAATCTACATTTGTTTCGTAGCCTTGTAAAATCAATTATTTTTAAACAAAGATTGATTGATAATTATTTTAAAGCCTATTATAAGTTCTTTATAATTTTTAGGGGTAAATAAGTAAATATATAAAAAAAATGTGTACTTACAGGATATGGGTTGTAGAAGTCTCTGCCATCCCTGGGTTTTCTGTATGGGTCTCTCTCTTTATGCCTGTGCCGAGGATCGGCTCTATCCTTGAAGGATTCGTGCATCGAATCGGAACGACTCGTGGGTCTCGAATTTTCCGCGTAGTCATCCTCGTATCTGTTGTATCCGTAGTAATCGTTTCTCCTGGGGTCGCCGCGATAACTTCTGGGCTCCCTAGGGTCCCTAGGATCCCTAGGGTCCCTAGTATCCCTAGGATCCCTCCTGCGCCTGTCCTTATCCTTATTGCGCAAGCTCCCGTACTTTTTGCTCTCGTAATTCCTATGATCCCGTCTCGGATCCCTACATTTTCAAAGATTTAAAAAAACACTCAAACACAAAAGTGTCATTTTAATGTAAGATACCGAAAACCGGTATGCTGGTTATGAAACGAAAACTGACGTCACGTGCGAACCAGTTCTTACTAATAATAAAAATTAAATCACAATTGTATCGGAAACCCACTTCAAAAGTGTCACAAGTAAAAAAAAGCAGTTTGGAGTTTTTTTTTAATTTTGACACTTAAAAGCGGGCGTGCGATATTATTACCTGTATAAAAAAAGGCTCAAAAAACTGCAAAAATTTTAGGAATTGAAAAAATAATCGCCAGAAATCAAAACAATAAAAAAATTTGAAATCATAATTTTTTTTAGAAAAATCCTATTTAACTTCACAAACAAAAATAAAGTAAAAACCATGAAAATCAGCCTAAAAAATCAGAAAATCATGAAACATTTTAAAACGGAAAAATTTTGGAAAACCATAAAAATTAAAAAAAAAACAGTTAAAAAATTGCAAAAATTTTGGGAATTAGAAAAATAATCACCAGGAATCAAAATCATTAAAAATAATTCAAAACTATTTATCACTAAAAAAATCAGAAAATCATGAAAACAATCAAAAGTTTTGAAATCATAAAAAATTGTAGAAAAATCCTATTAAACTATACAACCAATAAAAAAGTAGAGTGAAAACCATGAAAATCAGTCTAAAAAAATCGGAAAAACATTAAATATTTTAAAACGGAAAATTTTTGGAAAAAAAAACAGTTCAAAAAATTGCAAAAATTTTAGGAATAAGAAAAATAATCGCCAGAAGTCAAAATCATTAAAAAGAATTCAAAACTATAAAAATCACTAAAAAAATCAGAAAATCATGAAAACAAGCAAAGGTTTTGAAATATTAAAAAAATCCTACCAATAAAAAAAGTAGCGTAAAAAAATCAAGAAATCAGAAAATCATAAAACATTTTAAAACGGAAAAATTTTTTGGAAAACCATTAATTTAAAAAAAACAGTTAAAAAATTTCAAAAATTTAAGGAATTGAAAAAATAATTGCCAGAAGTCAAAATCATTAAAAAGAATTCAAAACTATAAAAATCACTAAAAAATTAGAAAATCATGATAACAATCAAAAGTTTTTAAATTATAGAAAATTGTAGAAAAATCCTGTATACAACCAATAAAAAAGTATAGTAGAAACCATGAAAATCAGTCTAAAAAAATCAGAAAATCATGAAACATTTTAAAACGAAAAAATTTTGGAAACCATAAAAATGAAAAAAAAACAGTTAAAAAAATTGAAGAAATTTAAGGAATTGGAAAAATAATCGCCAGAAGTCAAAATCAATAAAAAGAATTCAAAACTTTTTAAATCACTAAAAAAATCAGAAAATTATGCAAACAATCAAGTTTTGAAATTATAGAAAATTGTATAAAAATTCTATTAAACTATACAAACCAACAAAAAAGTAAAAACCATGAAAATCAGTAAAAAAATCAGAAAATCATTAAATATTTTAAAACGGAAAATTTTGGAAAAGCATAAAAATAAAAAAAAATGCAAAAATTTTAGGAATAAGAAAAATAATCACCAGAAGTCAAAATCATTAAAAAGAATTCAAAACTATAAAAATCATTAAAAAAAATCAGAAAATCATGAAAAAAATTAAAAGTTTTGAAATCATAAAAAATTGTAGAAAAATCCTTTTAAGTATACAACCAATAAAAAAGTATTGTAAAAACCATGAAAATCAGTCTAAAAAAATCAGAAAATCATGAAACATTTTAAAACGGAAAAATTTTGGAAAACCATAAAAATAAAAAAAACAGTTAAAAAAATTGCAAAAATTTTAGGAATTAGAAAAATAATCGACAGAAGTCAAAATCATTAAAAAGAAATCAAAACTATTTAAATCACTAAAAAATTAGAAAATCATGATAACAATCAAAAGTTTTTAAATTATAGAAAATTGTAGAAAAATCGTATTAAACTATACAACCAATAAAAAAAGTAGAGTAAAAACCATGAAAATTAATAAAATAATAGCCAGAAGTCAAAATCATTAAAAAGAATTCAAAACTATAAAAATCATTAAAAAAAATTGGAAAATTATGAAAACAATCAAAAGTTTCGAAATCATAAAAAATTGTTTGAAAAATCCTATTAAACTATACAACCAATAAAAAAGTAGCGTAAAAACTTTGAAAATCAGTCTAAAAAATTAGAAAATCATGAAACATTTTAAAACGGAAAAATTTTGGAAACCATAAAAATAAAAAAATTGAAAAAATTTAAGGAATTGGAAAAATAATCGCCAGAAGTCAAATCCTTAAAAATAATTCAAAACTATAAAAATCACTAAAAAAATCAGAAAATCATGAAAACAATCAAAAGTTTTGAAATTATAGAAAATTGTAGAAAAATCCTATTAAACTATACAACCAATAAAAAAAGTAGAGTGAAAACCATGAAAATCAGTCTAAAAAAAATTAAAAGAATTGGAAAAATAATTGCCAGAATTAAAAAGAATTCAAAACCTGAAAAATCATTAAAAAAAATTGGAAAATTATGAAAACAATGAAAAGTTTCGAAATCATAAAAAATTGTTTGAAAAATCCTATTAAACTATACAACCAATAAAAATTAGCGTAAAAACTTAAAAAATCATGAAACATTTTAAATCGGAAAAATTTTGGAAAACCATAAAAATTTAAAAAAAAACAGTTGCAAAAATTGCAAGAATTTTAGGAATTAGAAAAATAATTGACAGAAGTCAAAATCATTAAAAAGATCTCAAAACTATTTAAATCACTAAAAAAATCAGAAAATCATCAAAACAATCAAAAGTTTTGAAATCATAAAAATTGTAGAAAAATCCCATTTAACTATACAAACCAACAAAAAGGTAAAAACCATGAAAAGCAGTAAAAAATCAGAAAATCCTGAAACATTTTAAAACGGAAATTTATTGGAAAACCATAAAAATGAAGAAAAAAAAGTTCAAAAAATTGCAAAAAGAATTATTTTAACATTTTTTTTTGTTTTTTCTTAATTTTTATAGTTTTGATTATAATCGCCAGAAGTCAAAATCATTGAAAATAATTAAAAACTATAAAAATCACTCAAAAAGCTTTTGGTTCGCACATGACGCACGGTGCGAAAGAGCATACCGGTTTTTGTGTATTGTGTAATTACCTATCCCTATCCCTATCCCTATCGCTGAAGTAATCCTCCGTGTCGTCGTCGTACCTGCGTTCCCTGTTGTACCTCCTCTTGTCGTACTTTTTGTCGCTTTTCTCCGGCGTGTACCGGTCCCTGTACTTGTTCTTATCGTGGTGGTACCGCTTGCCATCCCTCTTCTTGCTAGCGTCCGCCTCCGCGCTGTCGCTGCTGTCCTCGCGCGCGCCCGAGCCCTTCACGCTGTCGTCGTCGTCCGTGTTCTCGCCCACGGTCAGGTTCCGCACCGAGTTTATCATGCTGGAGACGTCCTTGTCCGGCTTGCGCTCGGGTCGGCTCGCGTTCGAGCCGGCGGCGGCGTCCGCGGGCGGCGTGTCGGCCCCGATGGTGGCCGAGCGCTGCTGCGGGGTGAGCGACGCCAGCCGGTCGAACTCCGGCTCCGAGTCGACTTCCTGCCGGCGCGCTTCCGGCGAGCTCGGCTCGCCCGGGATCATCCGGCGGAGACCTTGCGAAAAACATAAAAAATTACAAACTTGTAGAATCTACAAAAGTTATTGCCAAAAAACAAAAATTTGGCATGGCAGACGTACAAAATCATTACAAAAAAAAGTTTAAAATCATTGCAAACCAAATCCAAAAATAACAAAATCATTAAAAACTATAAAAATCACTAAAAAAGGGAAATCAAAAAATTATGAAAACAATAAAAAATTGTGAAAATATAAAAAAAATTGAAAAATACTAATAAACTATACAAAAAAAAAACCATAAACATCAGTCAAAAAAAAAATAAGAAAATCATTACAAATTTAAAAAAAACGTAAGCTAAAATCATTAATAATAATTAAAAACTATAAAAATCACTAAAAAAGGGAAATCAGAAAATCACGAAAAAAATTGAAAATCATGAAATATTTTGAAAAATTAAAAAAAACAGTTTAATATATCAAGTAAAAAAAATCATTAAAAAGAATTTAAGAATTTAAAAATCGCAAAAAACAGAAAATCATGAAAACAATAAAAAATTATGAAATTAATAAAAATTTTAAAAGAATCTTAATTAGTAGAGTAAAGTAAAAACCATAAAAATCAAAAACCAAAAATTGCAAAGATTTTAGAAAAATAATCGCCAGAAAATCATAAAAAATTGTGAAATTGTAAAAAAAATAGAAAATGTAACTATACAACCAATAAAAATGAAGTTAAAATTATGAAATTCGGTAAAAAAATCAGAAAATCATGAAAAATTTTGGAAAACAATAAAAATTACAAAAAAAAAATCGTCAAAAAAAAAAGAATTAAAAACTATAAAAATCACTAAAAAAGGGTAATCAAAAAATTATGAAAAATCAATGAAATCTTTACAACCAATAAAAATCCCGAAAAAAATTGAAAATCATGAAAACAATAAAATATTATAAAAACATGTAGAAGAATCTTAATAAACTATACAGGGTGTTTCTTTTAACTTGAGACAGCTCAATATCTCGAGAAATATGCATTTCACGGAAAAATGTCTTAAATAAAAGGTTAATGTGACCAAAGGGGACATTATTTGGTGCTACCGCTAGCCACCCCCTACCCCTCCTTAAGTGTGAAACGGGGGGTAACTTTGGAAAGTCAAAAGGGATGACCCAATTTTTTTCACAGATTTTGGTAGTACATAAAAAAATGAATAACTTTTATTTGAAAGTTTTTTTCAATTTATCAACAGATGGCGCTGTAATTCAAAATTTAAGAAAAAGGGGTTTCCTTGTAAAATGTATTATTTGAAACGTTTGAAAAACAAAAATTAACATTAAATCAACAATAGTCGGCTCTGAAAACAATTTATAACAAAATTTCGTCCTTCCATTTCGACACCAAGTGGAGCACCAGCGTACCTGGTCGGTAAACGTTTGGTGCGGTACCTTAAGCGAACGATTAATCGGACCCTTCTTTATTGACGGTGCATTAAATGGCGAAAAGTACCGGAATTTTCTAGAAAACGATCTGACGGACCTTTTGGAGGATGTACCGCGGTGGATCGGTAGACGTGCTCCAGTAATTTGGCCTGCTCGATCACCTGATCTTACGCCACCAGACTTCTTCCAGTGGAGTTACTTGAAAGAAAAAGTTTACGCTGCAATTCCTACAACTTGTGAGGACATGGTGGAGCGGATCAGGAACGCCTGTGCGGCGATACCGCCCGACATGTTGGCGCGTTGTATGCCAGAATTCATTACCCGCATTCAAAAATGTGTTGAAATGGAATGACGACATTTCGAACATTTGTTATAAATTGTTTTCATAGCCGACTATTGTTGTTAATGTTAATTTTTGTTTTTCAAACGTTTCAAATAATACATTTTACAAGGAAACTCATTTTTCTTAAATTTTGAATTACAGCGCCATCTGTTGATAAATTGAAAAAAGTTTTAAATAAAAGTTATTTATTTTTGTATGTACTACCAAACTCTGTGAAAAAAATCGGGTCATCCCATTTGACTTTCCAAAGTTACCCCCCGTTTCACCCTTAAGGAGGGGTAGGGGGTGGCTAGAGGTAGCACCAAATAATGTCCCCTTTAGTCACATTAACCTTTTATTTAAGACATTTTTCCGTGAAATGCGTATTTCTCGAGATATTGAGCTGTCTCAAGTTAAAAGAAACAACCTGTATAACCAATAAAAAAAAGTAAAGTAAAAACCATTAAAATCGAAAATTGCAAAATTTTTAGAAATTTCAAAAATAATCTCCAGAAAAGAGAGAAATTAAAAACTATAAAAATTACTAAAGAAGGGAATTCAGAAAATCATAAAAGCAATAAAAAATTGTGAAATTATAAAAAAAATTTAAATAGAAAATATAACTATATAACCAATAAAAAAAGTTAAAATTATGAAAAGTGGAAAACCATGAAAAATTTTGAAAAATCATAAAAATTAAAAAAAAAACAAAATATCAAGTCACTCAAAGTTGCAAAAAAATCGTCAAAAGACAAAACCATTAAAAACTATAAAAAGCACTAAATAGGGAAATCGAAAAATTATAAAAACAATAAAAAATTGTGAAATTATAATTAAAAAAAAGTCACGATATTATTATTAAGAATAATTATTATAATTACCTTCCGGAGGCTCGCTGACGCCGGCGGCGTCGGGATTCGACTCCGTCTGCCCCAACACCATCCTGCTCAGGCCCGGCGGCGGCTCGTTGGCGGCGCCCTCGTTCTGCTCCATCTGCCCCAGCACCATCCTGCGCAGCCCGGGCGGCGGCAGCGCGTCCGCCGGGTCGGACGGGGCGTCGGCGGCGGCCGGCGCCGCGAACTCGGACAGCTGTCCGGTCTCCAGGTACTGGTTGCGGTCGTTCATCGGCGTCTCCTGGTTCTCCGGCCACGGCGGCGCGCCGGACGCCGGCCGGCCTTGGTCGGCCTTGGCCGGCGCGCGGTCCGGCACGGTGTCCGGCTGCTCCGAGTTGTCCGGCGGGGTCTCCAAGTTGACGGTCTGGGCGTGGAACGCGTTCGTTAGCGGGGTAAGTTTGCTGGAACGCTTGTAAGGGTTCTTTAAATCTTCCGACGACGATGCAGGGTACAGAGGCGGCGTGGGGTTGTTTATAGGGGGCGGTGGTGTTGGATTTGCTTTTGTAGGCGGTGTCTAAGAAACAATAAGGGGTAATTTTAATCTGTATCACTATCAATGTTTTTATCATTATCATATGTTTGTATCACTATTATATGTTTGTATCATATTGAATGTAAAAATTATTATTTTTTAATTTATATACTACTATTTTATAATTGATATTAACCGACAAAATGTAAATTTTTAGATGGAAATAAAAAGTATTATTATTATTATTATTTCAACGTTAATAATCCACAAACCCAATTTTATTTAGAACAAAACAAAAACTTTTATCAAGGATGAAATATTGTAACCACATCTGTTGACATACTGTATATCAAAACAAAACTATAAAAATCATTAAAAAATTGCAAACAAAACAAAATAAAAAAAATAAAAACAAAAATATAGGAGATTCGTAAAAAATTTACAAAAACATCAAAAAAAAGTTAAAACTACAAATTATGAAAATCATGAAAATTTAATTAAATATTGAAAATATAAAAAATTGCGGTAAAAAATAAAAATTTATAAAATCATAGAAAAGTACAAAAGCGTTAAAATACCTAATTGCAAAAAAACAAAAATTTTGGAGAACCATGCAAAAAAAATTAAAAATGGCTTTTCCATTGTTGAAAGGTAAAAAAAAAATAAAAGGGAAAAATCTAAAATTTTAGAAAATTATTAAAAAATTGCATAGAAAACAAAACAGAAAATGATAAAAAATTAACAAAATTACAGATTATTTGAAGTAAGGTTCATGGGTTTAGGACGTAAAATAAAAACATCCATTTTTTAAGAAAAATTGCAATTTATTTTACATAAACCCACGAACCTTATCTCAAATAAAAGGATACTACACATCCATGCAAAATTACAAATATTAAAAAAATTATAATGAAAAAACTAGAAAAATCGTAAAAATTATTAAAAAAAATGCAAATTAGAAAATCATGAAACATAAAATTGTATATTGTTAAATAACTGCAAACAAACCAAACCAAACCAAAATAAAAAAACATAAAAAATTACCAAAAAAAGGGAAATCAGAAAATTAATTATTTGTTTGTATTATTGAAATCAAGAAAAAACTTTTACCAAAAATAAATTTTTTTAACCCTATCTGTCGACATACTGTATATCAAAACAAAACCATAAAAATGATAAAAAAATTGCAAACAAAACAAAATAAACTTTAGGAGATTTGTAAAAAAATGCAAAAAATCATTAAAAAGAAGTAAAAACTACAAACTACAAATTCAGAAAATCATGAAAATTTAACTTAATATTAAAAATATAAAAAAATTGCGAAAAAAAACAAAAATCTATAAAATCATAGAAAGATACAAAAGCGTTACAATAAAATTTTCTGTGGGAATTATAAAAATACATAATAGCAAAAAACAAGTTTTGGAGAACCAAGAAAAAATAAAAAATTGCAAACCAAACAAAATAAGACAGAAATTTAATAAAATTACAAATAATAAAAAATATATATTGTAAAAAAAAACAAAATTGAGAAAAATCATAAAAAGTACAAATTCAATAAAAAAGAAATAAAAATCAGTCAAGAAAATAAGGTCTTAAAAAAATTCTAAAATTGTAGAAATTACAAAAATAATTGCCAAAAAACAAAAATTTAGGGTAATATTAAAGACGTACAAAATCATTAAAAAAAGGTTAAAACCTTAAAAATAATTAAAACATATTGCAAACAAAACCGAAAAATAAGAAAATAACTAAAACAAAATAAAACGAAAAATTTAGGAAACTCGTAAAAACGTACAAAAACTATAAAAAATCATATAAAAAGGGATAAGAAATAAAAAATCATATAAAAAGTAATAAATGGTTTTAAAAACTAAAAAAGACGCACTAAAAAGCATACAAAAAATTTAAGATTTAAAACGAAAATAGTGTAATCCTGATCTGTCATCTTGACACCTATCAAATTATTGGTTGATATTTTTTTGGGTCTTCCTGTATATAATAATTTTTATAAAAATTACTTATAAATTACAAAATAATTTAAATAAAAAAAGTAAAAATAATGTATAAAAACTGCAAGGAAACCAAAATAAAATAAAAAATTTAGGATAATCGAAAAAAAACGTTAAACATCACTAAAAATGGGGTTTATAAAATTAATTATTTGTTGTATTATTGAAATCAAGAAAATACTTTTATCAAAAATGAAATTTTGTAACACCATCTGTGAAAATTATTAAAAAAACTGCAATAAAACAAAAAAAATTACAAAATCATCAAAAGAAGTAAAAACAAAAATCTAGAAAATCATAGAAAAGTACAAAAGCGTTAAAATAAAATTTTCAAAAATTGAAGGAATTATAAAAATACCATAAAAACCATAGAAAAAATAAAATGGAATAAAACTTACAACTTCTGCAGCCTCTTGCTTGACGCTAGGCAAAATTTCCTTATTCTCGAACGGAATCTCGACATTTTGGCCGGGCAAAACTTCCTGACCGGAAACGGGAGAATGGCTCACGGTGGAACCCCTGGAAACCATCCCGACGTCGTCGGACGACTCCAGCGACATCTGCGACTCCACCGACCACTGAGGCGTGTCCAGCTTGCCCCTCTTAACCACCTCTAGGCGGTCGCCGTCCGCCTTGAACGGCGGCTGCTTGACGTCCGCGCGCGCGAACGAGTCGTTGTCCGGCCGGACGCCGTCCGCCGCTCGCGAGTCGTCCGCCGCCGGCCAGCTCCACGACGCGTCCGACGTTGCCGCGTTGTCGGCGGCGGCGGCGGCTTCGTGCTTGACGGCGGCAACGTTGTTGGAGTTGTCCTCGTCCCCCCAGCCCCAGTTCCACGCGTCCGTCCCCTCGGCCCCCGGTTGCTGGTACGCGTTGTTCTGACTGTACTGTTGTTGGTTGTATTGCACGTTACCGTAAGCCTGCTGCTGCTACAACAATAACATTTAAGCCCGAATCAGGGTGGAATAAGGAGGTGATATCGGTTTTATCTCTAAAGTAAAGAAGCAGCGTCCACATAAGTCAGTATTTCGTTCGTTTTTCGTTAGATGGCGAGTCAAATAAGAACCTAAGATTTTACCAACGAAATCCATATATTCTATAACAACTTAACTTTTAACAACATATTATAAGATAACCAAACCCCAAGGAGAGTCTTCTACCCTCCTTATGTTCTGTGCTCCTTAACGACAATTACATCTTTTCTTAAAGCATTATTATAATAATTTGAAGAACGATTGGCAATACTGTAGTATTGCCAACTGTTCTACCAAAATGCACAGTCGCCACAAACGCACAAAAGTGACGTTGAAATGGTTTTATTTGAATTTTAATTAAGCTTAGTGGTCTATTCTTTGAAGTTAATCAATGCAATTTTACTAAAAATGGGAAAAGTTTGTTGTGCACCGGGATTAAAACAGGTTCTACTTCAATGCGCCATCTATACAGACTTTTAACAAATACAGACTTATCTGGCCGCCTTCAACGACAGAGTTGAATCACCTCCTTCTTCCACCCTGGCCTGAATTATAGATTGCCTTCCTTCCTTCCTCCCGTAGAAGATGAACATTACGTAATTGTCACCATTAACATTTCCCGTGTAAGAATTTTTAATACTTTGTGATAATATTTTGCAATTATAGTAATAAAAAAAACAAAGAATAAAATATTTTCTTAACAAAATCATATTTTGAAGTTATTTTAATATTTTAAAGTATCAATAATTGTTAAGTTTAATTAAAATTAATAACGGGCAATGTTAATGGTGACAATTACGTCAAAAATGTTTATTTAAATCGTAGTGCCAGTTATAGATTCCCGTCCCGTAAGGACGGCATTCCTTCCTCTCTTAGAAATTTTTAAGTTTTATCTTTCACCGTAAAGGTCTTTGACATGACCAATCACAGTGCTTGTTATGGACATGCGCTGTAGGGTGACAGCGCGTAGACACAAAATATTTAAAATACATGATTGTTTAGTATTATTTAAGATAGGTGCTCAGTTTATTAAATAATTTGTGTCTCTAAATGGGATATTTAGATATTGTTTATGATCAATGTCTTTCATTTTTAGAAACGTTGCTTTGTAAAACCCCGTAGTTTCCCGGTCTTGGTAAAGTGGGCGAGTCTTCCAACGTCTTGTTCGATGTTTTTTTTTTCATTATACTGCCCTACTATGGAGAAAGGCAGTAACTACAAATGCGTTTTCTTGTGCTATGATAAAGCTATGAACATTTTGTATCTTAATTCAACAAAGCAATGCAGTAAACTATCTTATAAATTAAATAAATCAGTTAAATGGTAAATTCTCATATAACTTGTTTCGATGCTGTATCCACTTATTTTTGTGAAAACTAATTCTCGCTCAAGGTTTTTTTTAGTGTAATGAGCATGTAGCATATTAAGGTAATGGGAACTTAAATTATGACAACCCTAATCTATTAATTTTTTCCTAAAATGCAGGCTTTATGTTGCAAATGTCGCGTAAGTTACCGGTCACCAACTGCAATATCCTAACATTGATGAATATTTTAACAAAATGGCTGTTAAAACAACTAATGTTAGTGCTTGATTAACTAAAAATAGACTTAAGATTGACGAAAAATTATTTTATCCGAAATCGGCAGTAAAGTAGAACTTTACTGCCGATTTATTTTAATTTACGATTGTTGACTACTTTACTGCCGATTTCGGATAAAATAATTTTTTGTCAATCTTAAGTCTATTTTTAGTTAATCAAGCACTAACATTAGTTGTTTGAACGGCCATTTTGTTGAAATATTCATCGATGTTAGGATATTGCAGTTGGTGACCGGTAACTTACGTGACATTTGCAACATAAAGCCTGCATTTTAGGAAAAAATTAATAGGTTAGGGTTGTCATAATTTAAGTTCCTACATGGATTTTGTTTTTTAGGTATATTTTGTTGTTTTTTAAGAAAAAAGGAGGTTGTGATATGTCATTTTAAAAATAATATAATAAACTAGAATCTAAAATTTTTTTTTATTACTTTCAAAAAAATAGTTTTTTAGCACGACAACTAAATTAATATAATTTTTAGGAGATTGATGGCAATTTTAGGAGTATTTTAGGAGTGTTTAAGATTTAAGCCAAATTTTAGGAATTTTATGTGTTTAAGGAGATGTGGGAGCCCTGTGTATGGCACGCCGTTTTAACATTTATTAAACAATTTTTAATTTAAAATTTTATTGCTTTAAAATTTTCCCAACTAAAAAATTTAGGTTTGCATTTATAAATTTCAAATATTTTCAACTATCATGTATTGAATCACAATATTTTTGCAAAAATTTCAAAGTTTTCTAATAAAAATACTTTCTCAAGTATAATTTATTTGGGCAGAATTTTGTAAATCCTAAATTAATTTTTTATAAAATTATTTAGATTATATTTGTAATGATACAATTTTTAGTATTTAAAAATAGTGTCGAGACATTTAAAATAAAAACACGTAAAACATTTTCTACCAAAATAGTTTTAAAAGTTAAATTTTTTTAATCTTAAAACAATTGATAACCAAAAAATATTTTAAATATAAAATGCAAATGTAAAAGTTTAAGTTTAAAATATTGGTTTTTAAAAATTTTAGTTTTAATATTTTATTCTACAAAATTATTGGTTTAAATTTGTCATTTAAATCACATTACATTAAATGTTAGTTTTAAATTTTAAATTTAAAAATTAAAAATTTATCGACTATTATGACTAAAATTTTTAAAAATTCATATTTTTAAGCTTAAAGTTTTACAGTGGTATTTTATATTAAAAAATGTTGTTTACTTTCAATTGTTTTAAGTTAAAAAAAAAATTATAAATTTCTGTTAAAACATCATTAAAGTGTTGTCTAATAAATGCTAAAACGGCGTGTCATAAAAATGTAAGCAAAAACAAAATTTACCTGAGGTGGCTGTTGGTATCCCTCAGTGTTCTGATAGTATCCGCTCTGATCGGCATAGTTGCCATATTGCGCGTTCTGATTGTACGCGCTATTTGGCGGTTGTTGCCAATAGCTCGGTTGATCGGTTTCCTGCTTATGTTGGTATTGTTGTTGTTGCAGCTGCTGCTGCTGCTGCTGCAGGTGTTGCTGATTGGGTTGTTGTTGTTGTTGCTGGCCGTACCAGTTGTTTTGTTGCCATTGATTCTAAATTGTGCAACAATAAAAAAGGCAATGAGTAGACATTCTTTTATCTCAACATTCTAAAATGTATTTCTAACTTTATAAATCATGATTGGCTTGTCATATTTCGTTGTTTTGAAAATTTTTAAATTTGGAGGTAAACAAAGAATCTTGATTTGTAAGTATTTCTTTGGGGATATTCTTTTTTTACCAAATGCAAAATTTTAAAGTTAATTTATGGGAATCTATACAATAGAAAACTATACAAAATACAAAAAATAATTGTTGTACAAACATAAATATTCAAATATTCAAATATTTTAATACTTGGGTCCTCCAAAAAACGCCGACAACTGCATTTTAAACAACTAAATATAACTAAGAATTTATGACAACAAAATATTATAAAACCTACATAATACAGGGTGTTATGTAATTAATGTAATATATTAAAATTGGTAGCTCCTTAAGCCTGAATTATAGATTGCCTTCCTTCCTTCCTTCCTTCCTTCCTTCCTCCCGTAGAAGATGAACAATACGAAACCCAATAAACATTTTTGACGTAATTGTCACCATTAACATTTCCCGTGTTAGAATTTTTAATACTTTGTGATAATATTTTGCAATTATAGTAATAAAAAAAATCAAAGCATAAAATATTTTATTAACAAAATCATATTTTGAAGTTATTTTAATATTTTAAAGTATCAATAATTATTAAGTTTAATTAAAATTAATAAAGGGCAATGTTAGTGGTGACAATTACGTCAAAAATGTTTATTTAAATCGTAGTGCCATTTATAGATTCCCGTACCGTAAGGACGGCATTCCTTCCTCCCGTAGAAATTTTTAAGTTTTATCTTTCACCGTAAAGGTCTTTGACATGACCAATCACAGTGCTTGTTAAGGACATGCGCTGTAGGGTGACAGCGCGTAGGCACAAAATATTTAAAATACATGATTGTTTAGTATTATTTAAGATAGGTGTTCAGTTTATTAAATAATTTGTGCCTCTAAATATGATATTAAGATATTGTTTATGATCAATGTCTTTCATTTTTAGAAACGTTGCTTTGTAAAACCCCGTAGTTTCCCGGTCTTGGAAAAGTGGGCGAGTCTTCCAACGTCTTGGTTGATGTTTTTTTTTCATTTTTAAAATGTATAATACAACAAGCTGCCTGGGCAATTAAAATTGTGATCAATGCACTAATATATAAATGTTTATCTTTCATATTTACACACAATGGGTAAAACGCAGAATATAAACAAAAACAAATGTCAACCATTTTAGGTGTCATCGCGCATGGTTACGGAATTTTACACGGAAATCTATAAATTGACTTTTTACAAGACGCACAAATCGTACGGGCACGACTACGGAAGGAAGGAAGGAAGGCAATCTATAATTCAGGCTTTAGGGTCCATAAAGAAGCACCTGAAATTTTTTTTTTCTAAATTCTAAAGACTAAAAAAAATTTATAATAACCTTTATCCTACCAAAAAGTACGCCACTGATCGACTAGGAACTTTAGGCAAATCTGGTTGCCTAATTTAATTTATTTTTTATGTTATGGTTGGTAACAACCAGCGTTTTCAGATTCTGTCAAAAAAGTTGCCAAATTTTGTTTTAATTATAGCTTAATTACAAAAATGACAAAATCAACAATGCAAATTGTTAATTTGACATTTTTATTAATTGTTGATTATGTCATTTTTGTAATGAATGTAAATTCAAACAAAATCTGGCAACTTTTATGACAGAATCTAGTGCATTTTTTTTTATTTTAGTTTATGTGCTCAAATTGTAAATATCTTAACTAAGGGAAGTGCTTTTGGATTTATTTAAACAAATTGAATGTTTAAAGTTTAACCTGTGAACTTGTCCTAATTTCATCTAAGTGAACAGAAAGAAAAAAATTAATTTAATAATAATAATAGCTTTTAGTTAGTCGAAAATCAACGTATTTGATTGGTTACTTCAATGGCGCTATATTTAAAATCTAACTTGTGGATAGATTTTAAATGTAATTAGTAACGAAAACAATAACTTTGTTTTCTACCATGTGTTTAAGGTACTTCTGTGATTATGCTGTTTAGTAATTCTCAAGCAACTTTTATAAACTAAAGAAATTCGCAGATTTATGGAAAAGCAATGAGGAAAACAAATGTATGTAAATGTAAAACAAGTGTATTTAGTATTCATTTGTAAAATCTGTGATTTTTTTTAATTTGTAAAACTCGTTGAATCCTTATCATACTTATTCCCAAAAGTACCATTTATAGGTATATGGTAAGAAACATTATTTTTGTTATTTATGATAGTCTACCAAAAGTAACTGTCATTATTTTTAAATTGAAGAATACTGTTAAATCTATAAATTTTATTAAACAATACATGCCTACCATCTGAAAGATTTGGTCAAAGTGTCGTTTATAAATAATTATAATACAAACCTTAGAAACAATACACAATAAAAACACACAAATACACAAAATCTTACAAAAATTCGATAACTACGGATATAATTGAACGTCAAAAAGGTCAAAAACGTCAAAACGTCAAAAAATTATAAAATCCGCGCCCTCTCTTGGCTTGGCTAAATATTATAATACTGTCCCGACATCCGACATAAGATATTTATCTATTGGTTTGGTCTAGGATCTTATCTTTAAAAAGTAATTTACTGTCATGGCAATGGGGTAGTTAAATTTTTTCTGACCTATACTTTTTATGGTTTTATTCAAGGCGTTTTGTATTTTTAAACATTTCTGTGAAATCGGAATTTCAATTGAGTTTACCGTTTTCGAGATATTTACAAAAAAAATCTCCTAATTACGTCACTAGGCTACCCTGGTGGAAATAATTCTACAACATTCTACAACATTTAACGCGAAAGCTACAACTTTCTACGCGACTTTGCTACAACATTTAATGATTTTCTACAACTTTCTACACTGCTACATTATTTTAAATAACGTAGAAAATTGTTCAAAGTTGTAGCTTTTGCTACAATTTTCTACAAGATATTACGCGGATTGGGACATTATTGTTATATTTCGTAGAAAATTGTTAAAAGTTGTAGCATAGTAATATATTAGTAAGCTACAACTTTGAACAATTTTCTACAAGATATTACGCGGATTGGGACATTATAGACCTATCCCATAAAACAGACTTTTGGATAGCGCGTGCCTGAAGAAGAGTGGTATCTCTTTCTCTTTTATATAATTAAAAAAAGACGACGTGCTTTTCAAGCACGCGCTATCCAAAAGTCCGTTTTATGAGATAGGTCTATTGTTATATTTCGTAGAAAATTGTTAAAAGTTGTAGCATAGTAATATATTAGTAAGCTACAACTTTGAACAATTTTCTACAAGATTTTACGCGGATTGGGACATTATTGTTATATTTCGTAGAAAATTGTTCAACGTTGTAGCATAGTAAAATATTAGTAAGCTACAACTTTGAACAATTACTATGCTACAACTTTTAATAATTTTCTATAGAAATATAACAATAATGTCCCAATAACAATAACGAAATATAACAATAATGTCCCAATCCGCGTAATATCTTGTAGAAAATTTTAGACGTACGAAATTTGTTTAAATTGTTTTTTTAAAAATTGTTGCTTGTCCAATTTAAAACTATTATTTTATTATTTTAACTTTGCTAAATCTAAGTGTTTATAATTTATTTTTTTAAAAGAAAAGATTAAATTAAAAATACTTACTTTGTGGCGCAACATTTGCTTTTTTGGTGGGTGATACTTCTTATAATTAATGATTTATAAGAAAACATTATTAACTTTAATAGCAATCTATTGTAGTCGCTGATGTCGTCTACATTGACTACAATATTGTTTTTTGTATATTATATTATATTATTATATTGTACATATTATGTTATATTAAATTTACCATCGATAATTTTTTAAGTCCCTTAGAGGTGGTTTGATTTTCTTTGGTTTTTGGCCGGGCTGAGTCTGGAATGTTAGGAATTACATTTCTTCCAGATTGGCTGGTTGTAGATTCCTGACTATCATTACTTTCCATGGGTTGGGCTTCTGGTTGATCATTAAATTTTGGAATTACATTTGCAATTGTTAAACCTTCATATTTATTACTTATAACTAGTTCAGGTTTCTTAATATTGCCTTTATTCACTCTCTTAAAAGGAATTGTTTTATTTGGGATTTGGAAATTTTGTTAATTATTTTCTGGATTGTTTTTATCATTAGCGGTGTTTCCATTTAAAGAAGTTATACTATTGCTTGCAGACAGGCCTTCGTCTGCCTTTCTTTTTATATTTTTATCATTTAATTCTATTGGTGTTGTCATATTAGTATCGGATTGGTCAGTTAGCTCTTCGAAATCGTCTGAATTTATTTTTGAATTTTTAAATAAACGTAATTTATCGAACTTATTATCTTTTCTAGCTTGAATTCTCTGCTTATGCTTCAGGCCCTGTTCAATCGTTTTTCTGTATATTTTCTTGTTTTTATGTTTTTTTATTAATTTGGGAAATTAATCAACTGACAATGGAAACTTCTGTCAGCTGACAACACTGACTTTTCTGGTTTTTCTGCTTTGTTGCACTTTTTTAGCTAATTTAATGATATTTTGTGCTAACCTTATATGTTACAGGCTTCTTGCTTCAATATCAATATATTATCGTCTATTTATCAATATAATTCTCTATAATTCTTTATTTATCGCAACAGGACAAAATATTCTGACGCCTTTCAACTTCAGAAAGTAAAAAATGATGTACCTATAGTTTTACGTTGAATGTTGTTGAGATTTGTTTTGAGTTACAACTTTCTACAACAACAAAAAGTTGTAAAAAATTGTAGAAAATTGTAGTTATCGCGTTGAAGGTTGTAGAATGTTGTAGAAATTTGTTATGAGTTGAATATTGTAAAAATTTGTTATAAGTTACAACTCCCTACAACAACAAAAAGTTGTAAAAAATTGTAGTTTTCGCGTTAAATGTTGTAGAATGTTGTAGAATAATTTCCGTTGAATGTTGTAGAAATTTGTTATAAATTACAACTCTTTACAAAAACAAAAAGTTGTAAAAATTTGTAGAAAATTGTAGTTTTCGCGTTAAATGTTGTAGAATGTTGTAGAATTATTTTCGTTGAATGTTGTAAAAATTTGTAATAACTTACAACTCTTTACAACTCTTTACAACAACGAAAAGTTGTAAAAATTTGTAGAAAATTGTAGTTATCACGTTGAAGGTTGTAGAATGTTGTAGAATTATTGTTGTAAAATGTTGTAAAAATTTGTAATAAATTACAACTCTTTACAACTCTCTACAACAATACAAAAAGTTGTAAAAAATTGTAGAAAATTGTAGTTTTCACGTTAAATGTTGTAGAATGTTGTAGAATCATTTCCACCAGGGTATTGACAACGTTGTCAGCTTTTTCTATGGTTGTCAGTGTGTTTAGTTTAAGATTCTTACGATAGATGGCGCCACGTTATAATATTTTAGTTTTAAAACCACTTGATCTATAATTTTAGTTGAGAAGAAGAATAAGAATTGATTTTTTGACGTTTCTTTTTTTCTGGTTATGTTTTTTTTAAATTTAGATTATTGAAAATTAATGTTATTGTTATGTTATTTGTAATTGATATTAGATAAGTGATTTATTAATAACGGACTCCAAAGCAGAGGAATCTTGTGGAATGGTTGGTTACATTGAACATTGGAGCTTTTAAACAAATAAAGTAAGTATCTATAATTATAATCATATTTTGTCGTAAATGCATTTCATTAATATAATGCCTAGTTCTTTATATTCTTTTAGATATTTCTTGGACTCTAAAATATCAAACAGTAATATGATACCTCGTAATAAGGAAGATAGGTACTTAATGAATTTGGTGACCATCTTTCGAAAGATCACTCAACTGACAGTGACAGTATTTGTACATAACCTCTTCGGGTATTTTCTGACATAACCGAATGAAATCATTAACAAGACAACTTGACAAAAGGGTAATTTTCAACCAATAGAAATCTTAGAATGTTGGTCACATGGCGAGGTTTGTGACGTCAAAATTTATATTTTTTGTAAATATCTCAAAAACGGTAAACTCAATTGAGATTCTGAAATGTTTAATATTACAAAACGCCTTGAATAAAACCATAAAAAGTATAGGTCAGAAAAAATTTAACTACCCCTTTGAGTCTTTGACTGACGTTTAAAAAAAAGATTTTGCAGGTATTGTAATTGTCTTTGAGAAAACATATGTCAACAAAGCAGTCATCCATCCATCATCAAAATTTTAGTCATAACAAAAACCATACAATAAATAGATACAAAAATGTCGGACTGTTGCAAGGTAAAGTAAAAATGAATGAAAAATTAATTTTTCATAGAAGCTTATCTAAATATGCAAAAAAGAGTTTTAAACCCCTAAAATCGTAAAATTTCAGTGTAAAGGCGGCAAAAAAGGTGAGGCGCCGGCGAAAGAGAAACCGGTGGAAAAGAAGCCGGAACTCAAAGGCTTCAAGGTGATCATGGTGCGTCACGGAGAGTCGGAATGGAACAAACAAAACCTCTTCTGCGGCTGGGTGAACGTCGATCTGAGCGACAAAGGCAAAGAGGAAGCGAAATGCGCGGGCGAAGCGTTGAAAAAAGAGTGCGCGAAGTTCGACGTGGCGTACACGTCGGTGTTGAAAAGGGCGCAGATAACCTGCGACACGATACTGGAGGTGCTGAATCAGGTAAATTTACACTTTAGCGACTTTTCCAAAAAACGTTAATGTAATGTAATGTAATTCAAGAATTAAATCTTTGCATTTTCATGTTTTGCTAAAGGATTTAATTCAGTACTTATATTTGTTGGTACAGAATGAACTAAGTAAAAATAACTTTACCTAATATAATTTATATTTAAGTTTGAACATTTTTAAGAAATCTAACAAAAAATAATTGTTGTACAAACATAACCATAAATTAAACATTTTTATATTTGAGTCAAGTACATTTTAAAATAGTAAACGACAAAATATATCTACGAATTCATGGCAACATAATTTTTCAATAATACCTAGATAATTTAATACCCGTTTTTGGTATTTTACCTTTGACTGGAACTTTTTCACCCTGCGCCGATTGTTTAATAATAATAATAATAATAATAATAATATAATCTTTATTTCAAAATTTGCACAGACAAAATTAATTAAACAGTATATATACAAAAGGGAAACATGTCATGTTTATGCACTTTTACATCCCTCCACACCTATTTCTTGCATTTTGGCAACCCTCATGCCGTTTTTCGGAAAAGTCACTAAAGTGTAAATTTAATCTGAATCAGAAAGACATACCCATCGTGAAGTCTTGGCGGTTGAACGAGAGGCACTACGGCGGTTTAACCGGACTGAACAAAACCGAGACGGTGCAGAAGTTTGGCGAGGAGCAGGTGCAAATATGGCGACGCAGCTTCGATACCCCTCCACCCCCGATGAAGTGCGACCATCCGTACTTCGAGGAAATCATGAGGGACGAGATTTACAAGTGCGGGCCTCCGATGGAAGAGTTCCCGAGGTTCGAATCGCTAGAGTTGACGATCAAGCGTTGCATGCCCTTCTGGAACGACTGCATAGTGCCAGAAATCAAGGCGGGAAAAAAGGTTTACATTTAAGCGTCATTCCAAATAAAAACACCAAATGGGGTGCGCTGCTTGATTTTTTATTTTGATAAAAAAAATTGAGGATGATCTTTTAGGTATCAAATATGAAAATCCGTTGCCGTTTTCATTTTTGGATTCTTTACTTTTAATCGGCACCCTTTAGAAATCTGAAATCGTGTCAATTTCTTACTCTCTTATAGTGGGCCAGAACTTTTTTTCTGTGACAAATATCGAAATGATTTTAATTTTGTTTTACTGTTCAGTAAGTGTGTTTTCGATATAAATTATTATTATTCATGATAATTTGCCAATTTTTGTGATTTTTGTCTGGCTCCTGTGCCTATTCTGCTAAATCTAGAAAGTTGCTTTTTTCAGGTATCAACTACTTATACAATAGAAAACGTAACTATTATTTTAAGTTTCTAGACTATCATTTTCTTTATTAAAAAATTTTTTGAAACTTGATAATTCTTAAAATTAGTCAATTTTGCCCTCATAAATCATTATGTTGAGGAAAAAATAAAAATTTGAAACTTTCAGGAAATGTAGTCCCCACCTTCATCTTTTCAGTCCAGTTAGTCTTGTTTTGTTATTTTTTTTCCTTTAAAAGATATATTTATTTTTTTAATGCCCGTTTAGTAGCGATATTGTTTTATTTATAATTTAAAATTTAGATGACTTTCATGTTTGGTGGAGAAGTATCAGAACTGTCAAAAAATTTTCATAAATATTATTTGTGCGTATTTAAATTGTGGTTTCAAAAAGTTTGCAAGTTTGCAAGTTTGCAAGTGTAATAAATGACATTTCTCTACCAAACATGAATTCAAGTCAAAGCCATCTAAATTTTAAATTATAAATAAAACTAACAATATCGCTTTTTAACTGCATTAAAAAAAATATTATATCTTTGACGTGGATAAAAATAATAAAACAAGACTCACTAGACCGGAAAGATGAAGGTGGGTACTACATTTCCTGTTTCAGATTTTTATTTTTTTCTCAACATTTTTATTTTTTCCTCAACATTTTTATTTTTTCCTCAACATAATGATTTCTGAGGTCAAAATTGGCTAATTTTGAAAATTATCAAGTTTCAATAATTTTTTTAATAAAGAAAATGATAGTATAGAAACTTAAAATAATAGTTACGTTTTCTATTGTATAAGTACTTGATACCTGAAAAAAGCAACTTTCTAGATTTAGCAGAATAGGCACAGGAGCCAGACAAAAATCACAAAAATTGGCAAATTATTACAAATCTTTAGTGGTTTACCATTCTTTTATGAGATGAACTAATTAGATAATAATAATTAATATTGAAAACATACTTACTAGGCAGTAAAATAAAATTACAATCATTTCAATAATTGCCACAGAAAAAAAGTTTTAGCCTCTTATGAGAGAGTAAGAAAATGACACGATTTCAGGTTTCAAAAGGGTGCCGATTAAAAATAAAGCAACTAAAAATTAAAACGGCAACGGTTTTTCATATATGATACCTAAAAGATCATCCTCAAATTTTTACATTAAAATAAAAAATCATGCAGCGCACTTTTAAACTCATTTTTGGTGTTTTCATTTGGATTGACTCCCAAACTATACGAATTTGTATTTATTTTGTTTTTTTAAAGGTACTTATAGCAGCGCACGGCAACAGTCTTAGAGGTATCGTGAAAACTCTGGACAACTTGAGCGACGAAGAGATCATGGAGCTGAATTTGCCCACCGGAATTCCTTTTGAATACACTCTGGACGATTCCATGAAACCTGTACCAGGAGGTAGTATGAGGTTTTTAGGGGACCCTGAAACCGTTCAAAAAGCTATGGAGGATGTCAAGAATCAAGGGAAAAAGACTAAAGAAGACACAAAAGAAGAAGGCAAGGGAGAAAAGAAATAGGAGAAAACACCTTCTATAATAAACATTTCAAAAAAATGTATTTCTAAATTTAAAAATTAAACAATTTTTTATTGTATTAAAATTTCATTTCAACAAAATCAAAATTGGCTTAATAAACTTTTTATACAGGGTGTTATATAATGAATGTAATATATTTAGTACATTGATACCAACCAACAAAGTAGCTGCGCGTTGCCAGTTGTAAAAAGTTGTTACTAAAAATTTTTCTTGCAAAAAATAAATAAAAACTCAATAAATACAAAAGTTGTATACCCTTAAGCTCTAATATTCTTCTGTATTTATTCACTCATCCAGCTATTAGCTTAAGCAATGATTGGAAAATTTAGTACCTATTTTAAAAAATCCATAACCACAAAATTAATTTTTTCATCGGTTTTTTTCTTTCTGTTTACTCAGATTGGGACCAGTTCACAGGTTAAATTTTAAACATTTAATTTGTGTAAATAAATCCAAAAGCACTTCCCTTAGTTAAGATATTTACAATTTGAGCACATAACCTAAAATTTGAAAGAAATGCACTAGATTCTGTCATAAAAGTTGGCAGATTTTGTTTGAATTTACCTTCAGTAAAAAAATGACATAACCAACAATTAATAAAAACGCCAAATTGACAATTTGCATTGTTAATTTTGTCATTTTTGTAATTAAGCTAAATTTAAATAATTTTTTTTTAACTTTTTGACAGAATTTGGAAACGCTGTTTTTACCAACCATAACATAATAAATTAAATTAGGCAACCAGATTAGCCTAAAGTTCCTAGTCGATCAGTGGCGTATTTTTTGGTAGGATAAAGGTTATTATAAATTATTTTTAGTCTTTGGAATTTAAAAAAAAAGTTTCAGGTGCTTCTTTATGGGCCCTAAGGAACATCCCATTTTAATATATAACATTAATTACATAACACCCTGTATAACTATATAACTATTTTGGGGGATTTCATAAATATGAAAAACATATTTTATTAACAAGAATAGTTAGAATTTAATAATGCATCATAAAAATAAATAACAAAAAAATCTGGGGATTTTGGTTTTTAATTCCTTAATTTGGGGGATTTTTAAATTCCGATTGGGTAAATTCCGCTGACCGATCTGGCAACCCTGGATGAAATTAGGACAAGTTGACAGGTTAAACTTTAAACATTCAATTTGTGTAAATAAATCCAAAAGCACTTCCTTTAGTTAAGATATTTACAATTTGAGCACATAACCTAAACTAAAATGCACTAGATTTTGTCATAAAAGTTGCCAGATTTTGTTTGAATTTACTTTAATTACAAAAATGACATAATCAACAATTTAAAAAAACGCCAAATTACAATTTGCATTGTTGATTTTGTCATTTTTGTAATTTAAAATTTAAGCAACATTTGGCAACTTTTTTGACAGAATCTGGAAACGCCGGTTGTTACCAACCATAACATAATAAATGAAATTAGGCAACCAAATTAGCCTATAGTTCCTAGTCGATCAGTAGCGTACTTTTTGGTCGGATAAAGGTTATTAAAAATTATTTTTAGAATTTAGAAAAACAAGTTTCAAGTGCTTAATATATTCCATTAATTACATAACACCCTGTAGAACCCTAAATGGAAGATTTTCCTTTTATATTTTAGAAGCATAGATTTTTGTTAAATATAGAAGACTTTTATTAAATATCGAAGGCCTGGCAACCCATGTAACACATTTTGAATTTTATGATATATTTTTAATATAATTTTTTTGGAATGTGTATAATCTAATTTTTTTAGCCTAATTTAACCCATAGTTAAATTATTTAATTAAAAAACATACTTAAATTTGAATGTTTGCATTAAAAACGGTTTTTATCAAAAAAATATTTATAGTATTAAATTGTTTTTAACTGTTAGGTACCTTTAACGTGTGTTCATATTAAAAACACATTTCCAGTGTACTTATTGTATTACTTATACCTACTTAATTAAGTGTTATCAAAGGTAATTTAAAAACATTGCCAAACGTGTTTTAATCACTATAAAGGTCAAAATAGGGTTAAATATTGCAAATAATTTGAAACTGACGAATTATAGAGGAACAATATACTAATCGTTAACTTACCTCTTGCATATTAGTGGAATGTTGATTGGGGTTGTACATTTGCACTTGGGGGGCTGTTGCGGGGTTGGGGACACTCTGTCCCCTTCTTTTATTCACCCAAGACATCTTATCTAAAAATTAAAACTACATTTGTAGAGGATCATCTAAATTTGACATTTTTTTGACATAAGCCTAACCTCACTTTACTTGACAACACCCCTAAATTAAGTTTTAATATTAACGTGAGGGTTGATTTTAATGAATTGTGTTCTGTATTATGAAAAGAGAGGCTGAAAATCAATTTTTCGATCTATTATTTGCATATTTAATGTTGAAATTGCGGTAAAATATGGCAGTTACGTAAAAATAGTTATTTACAAGTATTTTGGATGTTTCATTGTCTTAAATAGTTATAATTTACCTTAAATAACATTAAACATATGTTTAAAGCTGTCTATTAGCACCAAATAGTCGGAACTTCCGTGACTTTCATTTCCACCTAATTTCATTAATAACTTATTCACATTAAACGGTTCACAGTGTTCAAATCATTCGCTTATATTAATTTAATAAACAGTTTGATAAATTTAAAAATAAATAACAATCACAGTCACAAAAATCTTAATACAAAAAGAACAACATGTAAATCTGGCAGACTTGGGATGTCTTTGTTTAGTTGACATGCATTTAATTGGTTAGAAAGAGAAAGCAAACATTGACAGAAATTGTAAAGTCGATAAGAATACCTGTACTCTTCTTCTTCTTCTAACACGTTTATTTCGCATATGCCTTCTTTCTTTTTAACAGTGACGTACGAGTTTACGTGGCACAAGTGCTGTGTAAAGTTTAATCGTATACGGGGGCATACGTTGTATACTTTAAAGTTAAGTAGGACATACAGGAAGCACTGAAAAGTGAACAGGAAAAGGTAAATTAAGGCGGGGTTACGCAATTTGGCCCACAGATGGCGCAGAAGTCTGTTGTTATCATATACTTACCAACTTATATACTTACCATACTTAAGTATATGGTTGTTATAATTAAAAGTAAAAAAAATAATATTAAGGACATATTTATTAAAACGAAATTATAAATAAATAATAGTTTAATAATTTTTTTAATACATAATCCACTCTACAATAATACTATACACAAAAGTTTACAAATATTAACTAATTAACTGATGGGCAAATTAATTAAAAAAATTTTATTTGTCGTTGGCCCTGTCCAATATGCTGGTGAAGTCCGTGCTTATGGTGGGGTTTTCAAATTCTAGATCATCGTCCTTATTCAAAACGATATTTCCCTCCCTTTTCGAAGTAGTTCGGGAAGGTCCCGGAGCTCGAAACAGTTCTTCTGCACTATCATCATCATCTTCTTCGTTATCGACTTCCTCTAGAATAAAACTTGTTCAATATTTACATAGGACCTATACGCTAAAGAAGTATCGGGTTTTCGCAAATTTTGTTCAATACCACAGCTAAATCGCGCACGTTATTTGTGTTTTACGTTGCAAGGAAAAAATTAAAACTTTTTTAGTAATCGATTTCGATTGATTATTCCTTATATCATTGATTAAGAAACTCAACGCTTAAATGCTTGTATACAAGCATAACTATATATAGTTACGTCAGTGTGTGTATTTTATCTAAGGGGTCATGGTGAATTATTGTGTTTTTAATTGTAAATAAAATTCAAGAACTAAGTCGTTGCATTTTCATGTTTTGCCAAACGATCCAATTCGGTAAGTACATTTGTTGGTGCAGAATTAACTAATGATAACATTACCTAACCCTGCTTAAAATACCCCATAGAGACCCTGTTCAAACCGATAGATATTTGTATCGGAATGTATGGTGTTTCTATAGGGTGTATCGGTATGTATAGGACCCATACCCAGACCGCAAAATCACATTCCCTGCACATGTCAGGAATATTCCCATTCCAATCGTCCCAGAATATTCCCAGGAATATTCCTGGCATAATCAAATGTCCGCTTTTTGAATAACCCAGGCATCATAAAAAGAATATTCCATATATCTGCCTGCAGAAGACTCAAGGATTGTTAGGGGAATATTCCTTGATATAATTTGGGGATTATTCCCAGCCCTTATTGCCTCTTATACCCAGGAACTTAACTTAAGTATATATGGCTATAGCCATTATTGAGTTACTGAGTAGATCAGTCCCACTCTAATCATTGTTTGGCTGTGCCATCACAGACGCACATCTCCAACTAATATTATTAACCTATCGGTATATATAGTTATCAAGCGTGCGTAAGCAACGGTGAGAGGTATTGCAACTAAACTAATGAATATTCACTGGGAATATTCTTAGATGATGCTTGGAAGTTTTAGAGGATCATTCTAGGAATATTCCCAATGAATATTCCTAGAATGAAGCGGATTATTCCTAGGTGATAGGGAATATTCCTGGAATATTTTCGAACCTTCATTGCAGTCTGGGTAGTTGGGATTTATGGTTGTTCTATAGGGATATCCACCCTTGATTTATTTGCTATTGGTTTCAATGGGAAAAATAAACATAAATGTAGAAATTACTTTTTTTCCCATAGGACCCTATAGGTTTTAATAAAATTTTGTCAAATGTTTTATGGTTGCTCTATAGGGATATACCCATACATCCTTCATTGAGTTATTTTCTATCGGTCTCAATAGGAAAAATGTAAATGTGTTGGTGTGTCTATGGGTAAGTTCCTATACAATTTCTATCGGGCCGTATCCGGAAAAAAACCATGGACAAATGCACATATTGAATCAGGTAGCGCCCGATAGATTATTTTGTATAGGTCTCTATGGGGTATTTTAAGCAGGGAATAGGTATAATTTATATTTAAGTTTGGACATTTTTAAGAAATTAGTAAAAAATAATTTTTGCACAAACATAACCTTAAAATCAATCATTTTTGTATTTGAGTTCTCTAAAAAACGCCGACAACTGCATATACAAGAAAATATACGAATTCATGGCAACATAATATTATATGTAACAGGTACATAATATAATGGTAATTTTCGTTAAATGTACATTTGCTGTCCCCAGCTAATTTTATTTTTATTTTTGACCTTTGTTGATAAGTTTTGTATTTATTATATTTAAATACCCCCTTCCTGTTAGGACCCATCGTATTTTTTTTGTAATTACTTTATGTTTCTATATATGGCAGAAAAACTAGGTGAAATGTCCTGTAACCTAACTGTCCCCAGAGGCGATTTTTTAATTTAAATTATTATATTCTTCTTCTTTGCAGGTTTCTTCTGAAAAAATAAATTATTTTTGAACAATGGAAAGTTCTTTTATTCGTATATAAAAATAAAATAGTTTTCTTCAAAGTAGTTTAAACAGAAAAAAATATTAAAGTTGACATTCAAAAATCTTGTCTTTTTCCTAACGTCGTCTTCTATGCCGACTGCTTCGAAATAGAGACACGAGATAGAGATACTATCGTGATATTTCCACATACTTAGTATGTGGATATTTCTAGAGGGCATACATGTTTGATAGTTCGGCAACAACAAGTGAGCACGTGTAAAGTGTGTGAATTTTTTTATAAATATTTTAAAGGTAAGATTTTTTTGCGTACACTTTTGGTGTCTTTTACAAAACGCTACATAAAACTCTTGTTTTAGAAGTTAACTTTTTTATTTTCATTTTGTATTATAGCATAGTAGAAATTCCAAACAAATGCCGAAAGATATTTACATTTAACAGTATTTCTGAAAAATAACGTTTGAAAAAGTCAAAAGCAATGTGTCATAAAACGTTCAGGAAGATGCGTTAGGAGGAGGACAATGTTTAATTTCTTCCTTGTGTTCCTTCCCTATTTCAGATTAACCTTACCTATAAGTTTTATTTCTTTAAAGTTTATTTTTGTTATTTATAAACTTATAGAATTTTTTTGCAGTATATTACACTGTTCTATCACAAAGGAAAAAAAATCGATCAAATTGACCTGCCTGGACAAAATATATATACAAAATGTACATTTAACGAAAATTCGCCCATTTACCGTTGAGTGAAGACTTTCTTAATCAACGCTTTTAATAATGCTAAAAGCTGTTTAAATTTAGACGACTTATTTGTTTGACGATTTTTACTGAATTGAAATGTTATCACTACTAAAATGTGTATTTATTGTATCTAATAGGTACCTACAATATTTACAGAGACTGTATGCAATTTATTTCTTCATTCAGATTAACACTGTTTATTTGAAAACCGGTAAAAACTCAACCCAGGATTTCCTCTCGAAATCCACCCAACAACACAACAAATCGAGCCACGGTTTTTTTCGATATTTTTTAACATTTTCCGGCTTTATTCTCAAACACTCGTTTCTAACATAAGCTGATTATTAAAAGTTGTACTTTTGTTACGATGATAACAGCCGAGTGGTGGCGCTACTAGCGATACTTCTTTAATGTATATGTAGGTATACATACAATATAAATATACATGTATATTTATATTTTTAAGGTTAGAACCATACAAATTATTTTGTTGGAACAAAAATACTTACGCAAATAACTTGGGAATCTGTACCGATCTCTCCATATTTTATATATTAAATAGGAACCCATTGCTAATATTGCTAATATAGCTATAGCTATGACTATTCTGAAAAGATTTACCTGCAAACAAACGGTTTATCTTATTAGAATTCACATTTTAAATAGGTACAATGTTTTCCTTAAAAATCTTACGGCAATAATCTACTCCACTAAGTAATCTATAAAGTCATTTTTAATAGAGAATTACAAAATAAAGCAATTGCTAAGATTTCTTAAGATTTTTTAACAGCGAAACGGTTAACGGTTGTGAAAAAAATATTTTCTTTAATATACCTAGGTAGGTACTATAGTAGGGTGAAGTGGGGTAAATGCACCCACCCAAGTGCAAAACACAAATTGAATAGTTAATATAATTCTTTAGAACAATGGTAAGAGTCCAGTCTTTGGCCTGTATACAACTCCCTTAGTGGTGTATCTCATGGCAGATCTAAACTCTGCGTTAAAGGTAATACGCCACCACAGCTATTTTTTTTGTAAAAATATATACATGTGGGTGCACTTGCCCCATATTTGGGGCAAGTGCACCACCACCGGCTAGTTCCCATATTATAAGTACGAACGTATTCACGGGGCAAGTGCAACAAACTCACAGTTTTGTGAATTTTTTGCAATTTACCGCAAGTAAATTGACTTATTGGTTATAAAGTTATTACATTTAACTCGAATATTTAGGGAAATTATCAGGCAACAAAAAATCCATGATTACAAACTGATAGTTTTTATTCTCAACTGTTTTCTTTTAAAACCCAATTGGTGCACTTACCCCAAAAGCGCACTTACCCCACTTCACCCTATATGATGCATATATTCATTAATACAATAAAATGCATATATAAACTATAGTTTAAAAGATATAGCGATTATCTTTAAAAGATATAGAGAGTATCTTTAAACCATGCATTTTAATGCATTAATGCATAGGACCTTTTTTGTAGAAAATTGAATTTTTCATAAAATGGTATATTATGTATCAAGTTTGATAAACGCCATTTTATACACGAATTTAATTTAGGCACGCGCGAGCTTGCGAGCGAGTGCTTAAATTAATGAGTGTATAGAAAAGTTTATAAACGAGGTGCATACTATACTTTTTCTACGACAAATAGGTACTTATTATTATCTTAAAATGATTTAAATCAAAAATTTGTATAGAGCGCCATCTATGAAACAATAGGAGAATCTGTGTGTCACCGTCAAATGTCAAATTTAGATATTTTATAAACACAGATTAAAAAGGTTATAAATCTAAATGTATTTCTTGAAAATTGACAATAATTCACAGTGAAAGTAAAGAAAATGTTTTATGAGCACTTTACAGTGGAGTCCGTGCCCGAATTTAAGTTATAGTTTACTGCCGGCGAAATTAAAAGGTCAGTACAATGTTCATATATAAGTTTATATATAAACTTTTCAAATATTGGAGTTTAGAAACTATTTAATACTTTTGAATTTTTGTATTGAGGTAATAAAATAATTTTCATTTAGTATTATTTTACAAGAAAGGCAATTTATTTTAACGATTGTATGACATTAAATGTCAATGTCAAATTTTGACAACTGTCAACTAACTTAAAACTAACTTCAGCCCGTGACTAAAAACCTGTTGCTAACTTCAGCCCGTGACTAAAGCGCGATAAAGCCGCAACTTGTCAATGTGTATTTAAAAGGTCACTCTTTATTTAATGCTCTATATCTTTTAAACTATGCATTTTATTGCATTATTGCATAGAACCTTTTTTATAGAAAATTAAATTTTCTACCAACATGTTTTAAATTTGTACCTGTATCTTTAACCGTTCTGTCGTAAACTGCAAAAATACTACTAATTTCATGTTATTTTAATAGATAAACTTTAAAATTAAAATAAATGTAAAATTAGGAGCTGAAACTTAAATTATATTTTATTATTTTTTACTAAGGAATACACCATTTCATTTTTCTGCAATCACTATGTTACACCTTGCATGTATGGTTATACTTACGGTAGGGTCGTTGTCATAAACCTCTTCCCAATCCTTCAGGACAACAATTCTAGTTTTATTTATGCTTATGCCGTTTTCACGAATTCCTTGGGAAACGCAACTGTAAATTCCCTCGTCTGAGGTTGATAACGACTAAAACAAAAAATTTACTTAGGAAGAGAAAAAATAATTTTTACAAACATATAAGGGTTGTTTTCAAAAAACACCCGCCTTCCGCTGTTCGTAAGTTTGAATTCCAATAACTTTGTTAAAAATTATCGGATCTTATTGATTTAAAAACCTAGTGAAAGCCTAACAAGCCCTTAGTAAATTCTTTCAGAAAATGTTTGTTTAGTTATTTCAGAATAATTTTTTTTAATTTTGAAACTTGTGAAACACACATTTTCGCATGTCCCATTAGCGTTTTATAAAACTTACATATGTATATACATCTTTTTTTTTTAATATTGAATAACCAGAACTTTGTGTTGCTTTATAGCAATCCATAACATCCTTAGTTAATAAAGTAAACAATTTATATTTAAATTAATTAATTTTAATCTACTTTTTTTAGATTTGACTCATGTCCCAGACATTTGTTCCGTTGCGTTACGTCCGTCCCGTTACCGATAGAATATTTAAAAGAACATATAGGTATATATAATATATATTATATTTGGCAACTTTTTTGGCACTCACGTGATTAACAAATGATGTTCGGACGTACACATTACCCAGCTGAATTTATTTATTCAATCAGGAAGGAGATATCGGTTGAAACAGGTGCGGGTAACGCGAATGTAATAATTGTTTGTCCGCTAAGTTACTCAAAAAAATAATAAAAATAAGGTAAAAAAAATACTATTTTTCATTTTTATGTTTATTTTAGGGCACTAAAGCTCATTGAGAGTAATTAATGACTGTAATGTTTTATTATTATTTTTTAAATATGGTTTCACAAAACTTTGTCCACTCCGTTACCGAGTACTTTACGTTACCTTATGGTAACGCAATGGAATTTAGGGTAACGCAATAGAATTTTTCGTCAACAAAGTGGATATTTACCGTCGCTTTTATTAAAAGTAGTTTATGATAAACCAATTTAAAATTATTTGTGATTACAATTCATGATATAGATTACATCTAAGTTGTTATTCTGCAAGTAAGCACCATTACAAGGGATTTTGTTTATGTATTACTCTAAAATCGTACCACCCTATATATAAAACTATAGTTTCTTTTTTACGTTATCTGATTAAGTCCTTTGTGTACCGCAGTCGGTTGTGATACCAATGTATATTTCGTTACTTTTTTTAGTTTTAGTTAAAAAAATACTTAAAATGATTTTTATACACTATCACTTAATTGGTAATACGTGTTTATAAATTAGAGTTTAACTCACTAATACAGTGACTAAAAGAAAATATGAATGGTATTGTTTTTTTAACAAAGCATCGGAATGGTTTTTTTTTTTTAAAGTAACTTAACGAACATAAATATTTAAAAAAGGCATACAATTTTTAATAAAAAATAATATTGGAGTCAAAAGTTTGTGAACTAAGTACATTTTATTTCAAATTATTTTTATAACAACTTTTTTTATTGAATTAAATTTTGGATTTCAAATTGGTAACACAGTGGAGACATATAAAGCTAGCTAAAAACATTTTTCTGAAAAAAACGTAAAAAAAATTAAAAAGTGCACTGCCTGTCTTAAATGTAAGTAAACAAAACTCTAAACATTTATAAAAATCCAACCAAAAGTCAATTTAAGCAAAAAAAAATTGATCTACATTTTCCTGAAAGCGGGTGACCCATAAACAAAAAACGGTATGATATTCTATATAACTAGGTCAAAGATTAAATATACTCTTTCTCGAAAGAGTATATTTAATCTTTGACTAGGTTACGAACCTTAACAGTCAAATTTCCGGACAAAATAGCAAATCTGAATTTGGACTGGTCATAGTCCGTATTCGTAGCACTTATGATTATGTCTTTGTTGGGCACATTCCAATACCAAAAATTGTGATTTTGATCGTTGCTTCTGCATGCGATGACAACGTCGCCTCCATAGGGGACCTCCATGGTTGCCAGACCGTTGAGGTCGAAAACTGCGGGCATACAATCAACGCCAGCTATTAAAATAAGCAGCACCTTTGATAAAGTTGTGCAACCGACGGGTAATATCATGTCACAAGATGAGATTCAGGAAACGCACTTTAACACGGAACACACAATGAATTGTTTATTCTTCCATAAACCCAATTCGATTAATTAACTTTTCGGAGGGAAGATTTACAAGTGCATCGCACGAAATTTGTTTTTTATTGGTGTTTTTCTAAAATGCAACGACGTCAAGACTGCTATGATTACACGTTATTTTTAAATTTAGATCTAGCACGTGACAACGACAATCGCTGTCGCAAGTCGCGATGTTGAAAAAATCGCACTTTTTCACCTGCTTTCATTCACAATTCTTAAAAATAATTTTTGTATTTTTTTTCATATTTTGATAAAAAATCACTTACAAGACAATTTTTTTTAGGATAAACTCAATTCGCTTGGCACTTTTTTAGAAAAATCAATTTTAATTCAAACATTAATAATTTTTAATCAATTTTTTGAGATTTTTAATTAGTGAACTCCAAATAATGACTAACAGCTTTTAATGTATTTTTTACATAAAATGTGCAATTCATTAGACTAGTGAACTATTGTCATATGTCACTTGTCACATGTCTAAAGTGACCAGATTCTGTCAAAAAATAACGGGACATTTTGTGTAAATTAGCCTTAATTACAAAAATGACACAATCAACAATAATTAAGTAACGTCAAATTTACAATTTGCATTGTATCATTGTGTCAATTTTGTAATTAAGGTAAATTCATACAAAATGTCCCTCTATTTTTTGACAGAATCTGCAGTGACCATGGTCACTTTACACATGTCACATGTCGAAATCGTGATTGAAAATACCGTTGCGTTATTTTACCGTTTTTTTTTTCAATTTGTCGCAGATTTATTTATAAATTAGATATAAATAATTATATTTGCATTGATTATAGTATATAGTGCAATGAAGCTAATAAAAAACCATGGACTCACTCGGATAATCGCGAGAGAATTTGTTTGTTTTGTCTTAAAAAGAAAAAGAAAACATGTCTAAAATATGTGGAAAGATTCTGGAAAAAGTTCAAAGCATATTAGTAATAATTTAGTATATGATGTAGAAGATGAACGATTACCAAAAGTTGTATGCAAATGTTGTGAAATTTTATTATAAAGCAATAAAACAAGAACTTTATAGAAACACGTTAAATTTGCCTGATTTTTTTAATTGGAAATAATCGGGTATAATTTTATAAAAAGTGCTAAAAATAAACCCCCTTCTTTTTTAATGGCTTTATTTTTAGCATTTTTTATAAAATTATACCCAATAATTTCCAATTAGAAAAATCAGGCAAATTTAACGTGTTTCTATAAATTTCTTGTTTAGCTGCTTTATATAATAAAATTTCACATACATACAAATTTTGGTAATCGTTCATCTTCTACATCATATACTATACTATGCTTTGAACTTTTTCCAGAATCTTTCCACATATTTTAGATATTTTTTCTTTTTTTTAAGACAAAACAAACAAATTCTCTCGCGATTATCCGAGTGAGTCCATGTTTTTTTATTAGCTTCATTGCACTATATACTATAATCAATGCAAATATAATTATTTATATCTAATTTATAAATAAATCTGACACAAATTAAAAAAAAAACCGGTAAAATAACGCAACGGTATTTTCAATCACGATTTCGACATGTGACAATTCAAGGCACTCTAGATATGGAAATAAAATTTAAAAAATGATTTGACCTGTCAAAAATTGACAAATGACATATGTATGTATTCAGAATTTTATTTTGAATCGAAATATGTAAAAATACATACGGTGTTTCATTAAAAAATAAAAACTTCTAAAACTTCGCAGGAATTTTGAATTTTAACATTGGACACAGAACTGACGGGTAAAAGTGAGTACAAAGATTATCAATTTTTAAAAATTGCTATTATTCGAATCTATGATAAAATATGAAAAATACATTATTTAATGTTTTATAGTTGGTAGTGATAAATTGAATATATTTTAAAATAAAATCACTCAAATATTTGATTCAGGAGTTGTGACACGCCAAGGTACTGTGTATGTTTTGAATATTTATTAGGTTTTTCTACAAAAGTGCTTTTGAAAAAATACATTAAAATTGGGTGGACAAGTTAAAAAAACCTGGATCTTTTGTAATATACTAAAATATTTACAATAAATATTAAAATACCTACTCTATTGACTGATGACATCAAGTTGTCCAACTGTTGTAGAATCCCACATATATTTTAACTAAAATGTGTAACAAAGGTGGATTGACACGAAGTAAATAAAAGAGTTTTTTAAATATAATTTTTTTCATAGAATTCTTTGTTTTATTTAAATCACATCTTTTTTGGCTAAACTCGGGAATTAAAATAAAAGAAATAATTTATTCAAAAATTTATAACAAAATTTAATATTTTTTTTACAAATAGTATTCAGTTAAAGTACCATTTTCCAATAAATAAACTTTATCGTAACCCTGGAGGCTATTTATTTTATGTGCTATACTAATGATGGTGCAATGAGGAAAATGTTGATCAATAACGGTTCTCAAAAATTGTTCAATGTCCACATCGACGTAGGCGGTGGCTTCATCCATGATTAAAATTTTGCTTTTTCTCAACATGGCTCTGGCTAAGCAAATCAATTGTTTTTCGCCGCCACTATATTTTGCAGGGTCTATTTCGTCGTGTAACGTTGGTACTACATGGGTTATGTTTAACTTTTTTATCACCTCCCATATTTTTTCATCTGTGTGTTGTTCGAAGGGATCCAAATTATCTCTCATGCTCGAAGAAAATAATACTGGGTCTTGAGGAATAACATCTATATTACCACGCAGTGATTCCAAAGGAATACTCTTTATATCAATATCGCCAATGGAAATGTCTCCATCATACTCGTACAGCCTCATAAGTAACGATAACATTGAAGATTTTCCGGATCCACTTTTACCAATTATTCCAACCTTTTGCCGAGGTTCAACGGACAAATTTATATCACTCAGAACCTGAATTTCGTCATAGGCCATGCTAACATTTTTAAATTTAATCGATGCTTCTTTGGGAAAATCTTCAAAATCAACGCCATTTTTATTTTCCTGTTCATTTTCCGTGTATTCCATGACTCTTTCGAAAGATGTCATCATCATTTCAGAGTCTGTGAATGTTCTGAACAACATTGTTATGTTTTTAGTTATAGAAAATAGTTCTACTAGTGTTAAACCCACATTTCCAGCAGAAATACCTAAAATTGTATTCATTATTCAGGTGTTTTGACGTTTTTGAGTATACCTTGAAATCTAATTGATCGATTTGGTTAAACAAGCCCTTAAATTGAAGGTATTTGATCCCTCTAAAACTTTATTTTACATACTTTTGATATCGGATAAGTATTTTGACGCTAGCGATTTTAATAACTTAAAAAATTCGTTTTATGGCAAAAATTGAGGTCGAAAACTTACATATCGTCCTGGGAAAGGTTTAAATCAAACAGATAACTCCAGTTTGAATTTTTTTTCGTGAAGCTGACATTAAAAAAAAACAAGCTAATGTTGATAAAAATACATGGAAAAATGGCGAAGTTATGAATTTCTTAGTGGAAGACCAAAATTCAGCTTTTTGACTATTTTTATTTTATTTTTTTTCTTTTATTTTGTAATATGTTTATTCTTTAATGAAAACCTAATTTAAGTGCATGATTGGAATTTTTGATTTTTTTTTACCGAAAACATTATTCAAAATTTAAATTTGACATGACTCCTCAAACGTGAATTCTTTTGTTTCTCGTATTGGCATAGTGACATTTTACTGCTATTTTTTGTCATTTCAACAAGGTATTTTCATCATAGTTTTATTTAGTTAATAAAAAGTGTAAAATGAGTAAAAGAAGTAGAGAGTTCGAGTGCGTAAATAACCCGGACAATCTGGGTGACGTAAGTGATGAGCACGGAGAACGTTTTCACCAGCAAATGAAGGCTATGGAGCGGCGGTATCACGGCTTCTGGGATGCAGCCATAATGGGTGATTACATTTGGTCCCTCATACGAGAAACGGAATACGAAAGCCACAAAAGACAAAGAAGGAGTCAGAATTTTTTTTAAACCTATGCTTATTACAACAAAATAAAACTTTCAATATCTTCAACGTTCAATATTTATTGTTCAATATTCAATATATAATTTAATATCAATATTTAATGTTTAAAATAAAAATCAATGTTCAATATTAAATTTTAAAAAATTCAATAAAATGAAAAAAACGTAAAAATTCTCCAAAAACTGAATTTAGGTCTTCCACTGAAAACTTCATAACTTCGCCATTTATCCATGAATTTTTATCAACAGCAGCTTATTTTTTCCTTTAAGTATAATCTATACGTAAAATAAATCAAACTGGACTTATCTTTTCGAGTTCTATCTTTCCCAGAAAGATATGTAAATTTTCGACATCGATTTTTGTAAAATAAGGACTTTTTCAACTTCATAAAATCTCCAGTATCGAACTACTGAGCCGACACCAAAACTATACACGAGAAAGTTTTAGATGGCTCAATAAGCTTTGATTTAAGTGCTTGTTTGGTCAAATCGATCAATTAGAACTCGAAGTATACTCTAAAACGTCAAAACACAGTAGAAAATTAAAAAAAATTCATATCTCGAAAACGCTTTCATGATTTTCGCGTTTAGTGAGCCAAACTACACAAGGAAATCATAGTGAGACTGTATACTAGGGCTCAAGGAACTTTGCTTTGAATTTAAGTATTAAAGCTGATTATACCTGTCAATATAAACATAAAAGACCAAACGATGGCATAGATAACTATAAAACAAGTAATATTCATATAAAACAAATATCCTAGAGATGCCACCATGCCGCTGTAATAAGTTGACATGTATGAATCATGATATTCTTCGAAAATTTTATTTTGAACTTTCGAGCAATTGTGAGCTCTAATAGTTTTTATTCCATCCACTGTTGCATTTATATGTCCAATAAATGGACTTCTACCTAAAATAAATTATTTAATAAAATACTTTATCCAACACATGACAGTTATGACTGTCAATATTAATGTCATTTTAGACAAGTAAACTATCAAATAACACACTAGTGTGTTACCTCATTTAAGCTTAAAAAAACATTATTTGGTCAATTAATTAATTTAATCCTAATTGAGGTATAAAAAATGGTATTTAGTTATAAATAATAATTATTATTGAGGTATAAAGAAACTATTTATAGTTTACAATTATTTAATCAATTTAGTTCGCAGATTAATTTGCAAACAAAAAGACCTCCTTTCCTTAAGCAGTTATTCATGATGGATTTTTTAACAGTGCAAGAAAAAATAGAAATGATTTTGATTTATGGAGAAGCAGGCAGAAATCTTGATGATGCTGTTAATATCTACGCTCAGCGTTTTACGGAAAAAAATCGATCACGTACTTCATTTCACCCCACAGTCAAGCAGTTTACTACAAACGGGAGTGTTCAACCGAAAAAGAGAGTTCGTCGAGCAACAGTCACAGGTGGAAATAATGAAATTAATGTATTAGCAGCAACGGCCGCTAATCCTCATGCAAGCACACGATAATTATCTAGAGATTTGGGAATATCCCATATCAGTGTTAGCGGAATATTAAAACGAAATGCGAATGAATAAATGCATATTTCAAAGTTTCAAGTTAAATTACAGTTTTTTTAATTTTTTATAGAATTCTTTGTTTTATTTAAATCACATCTTTTTTGGCTATAACTCGGGAATTTAAATAAAACAAATAATTTAATCAAAAATTTATAACAAAATTTGATATTTTTTTTACAAATAGTATTCAGTTAAAGTACCATTTTCCAATAAATAAAGTTTATCGTAACCCTGGAGGCTATTTATTTTATGTGCTATACTAATGATGGTGCAATGAGGAAAATGTTGATCAATAACGGTTCTCAAAAATTGTTCAATGTCCACATCGACGTAGGCGGTGGCTTCATCCATGATTAAAATTTTGCTTTTTCTCAACATGGCTCTGGCTAAGCAAATCAATTGTTTTTCGCCGCCACTATATTTTGCAGGGTCTATTTCCTCGTGTAATGTTGGTACTACATGGGTTATGTTTAACTTTTTTATCACCTCCCATATTTTTTCATCTGTGTGTTGTTCGAAGGGATCCAAATTATCTTTCATGCTCGAAGAAAATAATACTGGGTCTTGAGGAATAACATCTATATTACCACGAAGCGATTCCAAAGGAATACTCTTTATATCAATATCGCCAATGGAAATGTCTCCATCATACTCGTACAGCCTCATAAGTAACGATAGCATTGAAGATTTTCCGGATCCACTTTTACCGATTATTCCAACTTTTTGCCGTGGTTCAACGGACAAATTTATATCACTCAGAACCTGAATTTCATCATAGGCCATGCTAACATTTTTAAATGTAATCGATGCTTCTTTGGGAAAATCTTCAAAATCAACGCCATTTTTATTTTCCTGTTCGTTTTCCGTGTATTCCATGACTCTCTCGAAAGATGTCATCATCATTTCAGAGTCTGTGAATTTTCTGAACAACACTGTTATGTTTTTAGATATAGAAAATAGTTCTACTAGTGTTAAACCCACATTTCCAGCAGAAATACCTAAAATTGTATTCATTAAAAAAATGCACAACTTAATATTTTGTGAATTTTTTATGGAAGCGTTTTTTTCTACTCCTATTACAGAATTTGACCGTTCTAATATCACTTTTATCTATAGAATGACATATATTCCGTAAAGAATGAAATATTTTATCATCGGATGACAGAATAAACACTCGTGTCGACATCTCTGTTTTTAATATCTAACAAATTTTAGACCGATCCAACCTCACTTTCTTCCAATTAAATTATTTTTCTATGGTATTTTTTGGAAACATAGAAAAGGTATAGTCTGAAACACTTTTGAAATTGCATATTCCGCTCTCGTGAAACCGTCAAACTCGTCTTCGGCTCGTGTGACAATTGTTTAAACTCTTCACTCGACCGGAATATGCTTGTTACAGAATATACTATTATATGAATCTTCAATTGTTTTTTTATAAATTTTCGGAGGTGTTTTGACGTTTTTAAGTATAGCTTAAAATCTATTTTCGATTTGGTCAAACAAGCCCTTAAATTGAAGGTATTTGATCCCTCTATAACTTTCTTTTACATAACTAGTTTTGATATCGGATAAGTAAAATTGAGGTCGAAAATTTACATAAAGTTCTGGGACAGGTTTAAATCAAACAGATAACTCCAGTTTGAATTTTTTTTGTGAAGCTGACACTTAAATAAAAAAACAAGCTAATGTGTAATACATGGAAAAATGGCGAAGTTATGTGGATTTTGGCACACCCATATCTCAGTTATTAGACATGGGACCCACATCAAATTTATATGAGTTTATAATGACATTATATAGACAAATTCTGCGCAAGCAGAATTTAAATTGAAGTTTGCGAAAAAGTGTTAGTTTTTAAGTGTGCTCCCCAGCCTCCTGCCCCCCCAAATTAAGATAATTCAAATTAAAGTGGTACAATATTTAATTCGCTGAAGTTTATCGATAAATTTCAAATTTTATTAAAAATTACAGATTTTATACCATTTCAATTTTTTTAAATTTAGTAAAAGAAATAATAAAAATTTAAAATGGTATAAAACCTGTAATTCTTGAATTTTAATAATAAAATTTTAAATTTGTCGATAAACTTCAGTGAATTAAATATTGTACCACTTTAATTTGAATTATCTTAATTTGGAGAGGCAGGAGGCTGGGGGGGGGCACACTTAAAAACCAACTTTTTTTCGCAAACTTCAATTTAAATTCTGCTTGGGCAGAACTTGTTTATTTAATATCATTATAAACTCATATAAATTTGATGTGGACCCCATGTCTAATAACTGAGATATGGGTGTGCCAAAAATCCACCAGCCACCACTGCAAAATTCAGCTTTTTGAAGATTTTTATTTTATTTTTTTTCTTTTATTTTGTAATATGTTTATTCTTTAATGAAAACCTAATATAAGTGCATGATTGGAATTTTTGGAATTTTTTACGTACTTTTTTTTACTGAAAACATTATTCAAAATTTAAATTTGACATGACTCCGTAAACGTGAATTCTTTTGTTTCTCGTGTTGGCACAGTACTGCTATTTTTTGTCATTTCAACAAGGTATTTTCATCATAGTTTTATTTAGTTAATAAAAAGTGTAAAATGAGTAAAAGAAGTATAGAGTTCGAGTGCGTAAATAACCCGCACAATCTGGGCGACGTAAGTGATGAGCACGGAGAACGTTTTCACCAGCAAATGAAGGCTATGGAGCGGCGGTATCACGGCTTCTGGGATGCAGCCATGATGGGTGATTACATTTGGTCCCCCATACAAGAATTGGAATACTAAAGCCACAAAAAACAAAGAAGGAGCCACAATTTTTTTAAACCTATGCTTATTACAACAAAATAAAACTTTCAATATCTTCAACGTTCAATATTTATTGTTCAATATTGAATATTTAATTTAATTTCAATATTTAATGTTTAAAATACAAATCAATGTTCTATATAAAATTTTATATAATTCAATAAAATAAAGAAAAAACGTTAAAATTCTCGAAAAACTGAATATAGGTCTTCCACTGAAAAATTCATAACTTCGCCATTTATCCATGAATTTTTATCAACAAAAGCTTATTTTTTTCCTTTAAGTATAATCTATACGTAAAATAAATCAAACTGGACTTATCTTTCCCAGAAAGATATGTAAATTTTCGACCTCAATTTTTGTAAAAAAGGACTTTTTCAACTTCAGATAATATAATATATTATATGGGGTGTATTATCTTTGAAACAATAAAATCATAGTGAGACTGTTAACTAGGGCTCAAGGAACTTTGCTTTGAATTTAAGTATTAAAGCTGATTATACCTGTCAATATAAACATAAAAGACCAAACGATGGCATAGATAACTATAAAACAAGTAATATTCATATAAAACAAATATCCATGCCGCTGTAATAAGTTGACATGTATGAATCATGATATTCTTCGAAAATTTTATTTTGCAATTTCGAGCAATTGTGAGCTCTAATAGTTTTTATTCCATCCACTGTTGCATTTATATGTCCAATAAATGGACTTCTACCTAAAATAAATTATTTAATAAAGTAATTTTATCCAGCACATGACAGTTATGACTGTCATTATTAATGTCATTTTAGACAAGTAAACTATCAAATAATACACTAGTGTTATAATCCACAACTCACTAGTTATGGATTATAACTTACGTTCATATTTAAAGTAGTATTCTATTTATGTATTACTATTACAATACATTATTCGAATTTGAAGTCATTGTAAAATTCGTTGGTTCATTGGAACCAGACGCTCCCATATCGGTACAGCTGCTGATAGTGCTGGAAGACGCCGACGCATAAGAACCTTGTATTTTTTCTGCAATTTGTATTTTGTTAGGCACCGATTCTTATAGGTATCCTTCTGCTACCGTCGAGGACTTCCATCCTCCGTGACGCTTCAAAGTAGTCATGTTAGCCACTGCATTGGCCAAAAGAGTCGCCGAAGACCTTCACAGGCAGTGACCGGTGTAGAGAGCTGGTTCCTCCAATTTCAAAAACATTGCAATTCTTGAAGGTATCTTCGACAACGTATTTATTCCCACACACTGGCTGGTACGCCTCCCATTTTTGTAAAAAACAAAAAAGCGGCTAGAACTAGTATTCTTTGGTCTCAAAGACATGTATTTTTTACACAGATTGATCGGGTTGACTGTAAATCCTTCTTCAAGTATGGTGAAACTTCTCAATTTCTTGGTTTTAGTGTCTGGCAAAACTACGTGAAAATATTTCCCTTTGTCTTTAATATTTTCTATTTTCAAATTGACCAATTCATCGCATCTACAAGCACCGCTAATCCCCATTATCAAAGCCTCTTTCATCAACAGGTACTCGTCGTCGGGAGCTTCGTTCAAAAACTTCTCTATTTCAGGTCGTTCTAATGTCTTGGACTTCTTTGGTTTGTATCCCTGTAATTTGCTTTTCAAAAAGCTCGTTAGATTGCCATATTTTGAAATGTCGATTTTTTTTATAAAGAAAAGTCGAGCGAAGCATCGAGTATTTGGTCCATAGCGACGATGGGGCTAATTTTTTTTGCAAATGTAAAAAATAAGCCAATGAAACATCGATACCTTTTATCTTACGGAATTCCGTAAATTCTTCCAAGACTCAAACATTTTGAACTCCTTGTCGTAAGCATCTCGGGACTTTTCTGGCAAAATCTGCATTGCTGCTTCTTCCGCTTCCGTAAGGATATCCTCAGGAACGTAATTTTCATCGGTTTTCTCCATTTTCTATACGTTTTTTTCTTCAAAAAAGCTTCCCTTTTCTGCAGGGAAAACTGACAAGTGTCAAAATTTATTTAAACATTTGCTAACCATGTATCATGCCCGTGGCAACCAAACAAACAACCTACTTTGACCAAAATGTAAAAAAGTCACTGTCAACTCGTTCTGACATTTATAGGGTACTGAGACGCAAGTAGCTTTGATTTGATCACAAAGCTTATTAATTATTATCTCATTATAAACGATTTCTTCCACTTGTTGGATAAAACATTGTATGTCACTCGTGGTATAAACCTTTCTCGCGTGACTTACTTTCAACATAACACACTGGTAACTTACTGGACGTTTCCAATCTTTTCAAACTTCTTGTGGAAGAGATGCAAAATTTCCATATCAAAGCTAATATTATCGATAAAACCAGTATTGGTAGAATCAGTTTGTAGTGAACCATCACAATCAATATAATTATTCCGCTAAGACCACTTAGTGCCTAAAAGTATTTTTTAATATTTTACACTGAAAACTAAAAATATATTCACCCTAATAAAATTAAGAAAATTCATTGGCAGAATTTCGTCTATATTATTAAGATCCTGCGAAAATCTGTTTAAAACACTGCCAAGTAGATGCGTATCAATGAATCTCATAGTGCTGTTCAATATTTTCGACGTTAATTTTTTATGCACTTTGATGCTCACAGTTTTTGCGAAATCATAGAAAAGCAAAACTTTTATTAATGTCAACCCAAGAGCTAAAAACAGTAAAATCCCGTACATTTTGGTTGTTTCGTTTGATTTTTCTGAAGTTATGGAATACGCTGTGGCATTTTCGAGAAAAGTGAGCTTTTGTTGTTCAATGTCGATCCTAAAACAATACGTTCGATAAAATGTACGCAGAGAAAAAGCTTTCATATTGTGAATGGGTTAACCATTGAGCCAATGGTGCAATGTATTTGCAATACCTGAATTACAGCTATGATGAAATAAATGATTGTCTTACATTTATTTGTGCAAACCTGCTTAAAATTAGTTCAAACATAAGAAGTCATTGAATTAAATTATGATTCTATTAAAGTTGTATTAAAACTTCTTAAATCTTAATGATAAACTATCATTGGAATAAATTAAATTTATGGTTTCTAATGACATCCTAGTCTTGACATGATATAAGTAATGAAGTAAAAGAGAGCTCCGTTATGTTTAAGTTAAATCACCGTATTTGCTAAACTTAAATTATCGTATGAATGAAAATATTAATGCATGTAAAACTTACAGTTTGGTCAAATTTTTTGTAGAGTTATTTTCAGCGTATTGAGATGCGCCAAACAATAGCAATATTAAAATATATACGAAGTAACCCCTACCAAATTTCATGTACTTTAAGTAATATTTCAGTTGGACTTTTCCTGAATTTTGGATTTCTGAATAAAAGTTTTTGGGTTCTATTACTAGGTTGGTTTCTTCTGTACATTCATCTATATTTCTTTCTTTATGTGGTGTTGTTTGCTCTATATCACCAACTATACATTCATTAATTACTTCTTTTGATACCAGAGTGTTATTAGTGATTAATTTAGCTTGTCCATTTTCCAGGGAGAGGATATAATCTGAAGCTTTCACAAGATCGTCATTTTGTGTAACGATGAGGCATATTTTGTCTTTCAAATAGCCCACCATCCCGTTAATTATCTGACGTTGTATTTTTTTATCCAAAGACGATAAGCAATCGTCCAGTAAATAAATGTCGCTATCTTTATAAACTGCTCTAGCTAAGTTTATTCTTGATTGTTGTCCTTTGCTCAGGTTTGAGCCCCCATTTAGCAAATACGTTTCCTCTCCGTCCCGAACATTCATTAAACCCCAATCCAAACCACACACTTTCAGCACTTTGTGATATCTTTTCATCTTGTAGTCTTCGCCGAACAAAATGTTTTGTTTGATGCTTCCCGGAAACAACCAAGGGTCCTGACTGGCGTAAGATATTCTTCCTTTGCTTACCAAGTTTCCCTGCGAAGGATTTTCCCTTAAAATAGCCAGAAGAAGGGTGGATTTCCCTGAACCAGAACCACCTGATAATAAAATAATGTGTTTTTACCTATTTAAAAATATATCTTATGAATGTTAAATGTGCACCAAGATATTGGCCCAATATTCGTAATAATATTGGACCAAAATATCTTTCGGCAGATTTTTTCTAGCATGGTCCAATATTGAAACCCAACATTGGCCCGAAGTTCTTTGACATTATATAACCGATATTGGAAATCCGCATTGGCCCGAAGTTGTTTTACATTATATTCTAGGAAAGTTGAGGGAGAAATTGAAAGAAAAAAAGATAGCCACCTAAAAGTGATATGTCACGATCGTGTCGACAAACGTTTGTTCCAAAATCTTTAAAAAAATTTAACAATAAGACAAGTCGTGTACCGTCTATGTTATTCTTAATTACGATGAAATGCTAAAATCGTTTGTATCGTGTGCTAAAATGATCGGCTTGAGCTTTATTAACGTAATAACGAATTTTATTGCTAATAAGACAAGAATATCGCATATTACCCTTGTTATTCTTACGGTAATATGCAAGAATGGCCTTTACTATTTTCACCCATTTGGTGCTAAACAATAAGGATGGTAGCCACCCCCCAACTTAAAACCGTTCCTGCGCCACTAGTATAGACATATCCTGGAAACAAACGTGTGTGGTTACATATCACTTTTAGAAATCCGAAAGCATCGTTGTTAATGATATATTGGCGTAAAATAATATGTCAATACAGGACCAACCTTGGATTAACATGGGCAATGATATATTAAATTATCATTTTATGCCAATATACACAGTAAAAAATTTTGCCCGTGTAAATTTTTTAGTTTAGGGGTAAAAATATTAGAGTTGATTTGTAAGTGTAAAAGTTACACTACAAAATACACTAGGTAGCATTTAGTGCTATTAACTTTATTAAACACATTTAAAGAATATGAACATTATTCATTGGTATATTCACACTATTTATTATTAAAATAAATCAAAAGGATAAAAAAACTTAATGCGAGTGTTTATTACCCTTTAATGTGTTAAATAGTGACAAAATGTACACTACAGTGCATGCCAATTTCTTTGTCTGTTTTGATGTTACTAAGAGCTCTTTTTTCTTTAAACTACTATAGTGCACATTGTATCACAATTAAAGTTAAATTACACCAATAGTGGCAAAATAGAGTGAAAAAACTGGTAATGACCAAAATGCGTTTTAAAATGTTTGATTGGTACCTATCTACCTACGCAGTGCATGTCCGGAGATACCGAGTTGTGGAAGTGTGGCATTTTTGTTCAGTTAGATTTTAGTTACGGTAAATCCATAAGGGGACATTCTTGTTTTTTGGTAAGTATTATACTTCCTTTTTCTTTAAGCCTTAATACTCAATAAATACCAATATGGTAAAAGGATGTCCATACCCGACCTATATTATATCTCAATAATTTACGGCAGTAGGTCGGGTACTTACTTGTAATATTAATAATATAAATACATACACACTTCATTTACCTTTTATTTTCAAGCGTAATGGTTGTTATATTAACCTATACCTACATTTTTATTAATAATATGGAAAATTTGTACACGTGTGGTAAATCCCCGACATACAGCCGCCTGACGCCTGTCTACCAATGGGATCACCCATTTTTTATAACAGAAAAATGGATTACTGATGAATTCTCAAGATAATTATTGCTTACAAGTTGACAGCCAGTAAAACATTGCATTGATCTAAAACTTTTACGTTTTAAGGAACCATTTTGCTTAAGCCAGCCATACGACGCAAATATAAAATTATATTTTAAAAGGCACCGATTTTGATAATTGTCATGGATTTTTGTTCCAAATAAATGTTTATTTACCTTTTCGTTTTATTCACTACCACCAATAGGTTTTACTCAAATAATAGTGTTAATTTACACTAGAAGTTTGCACTAAAAGAGTAAAAGTACCTTTCTAAAATTAGAACTTTTCCAAAGTAGTGTTAATTTACACTGAACAAAAGTGGGATTTTACCCAGGAAGTGTAGAAGTACACGATTTTAGGTAAATTAACACTTTTTAATACAGTGTAAAATTTCTTTATCCTCATTGCTATAGTGTTAAATCATACTTGCTTACTTGGGGAAAATTACACTACAAATTAACTCTAATTGTAGTGTTATAAAACAACACTATTTAGTGTGGACCTGTGTGAACTCTAATTTTTTTTACTGTGTATGGCTAACATCGGCTAAATAAATCCAATATTGGCCCCAGATAAAATATTGGGCATAGACATACAAGACCAATATTTTATGCTACTGGGATAGGGTATCTTACCTATAACACTGGTTATTCCAGTCTTAATATCCAGCGATGCATTGGAAATTACTTCCTTTTGTTCAAATTTGACAGTAACATGTTTTAGAGATAACTCCGGTTTCTCGATGAACTCTTCAACTTTTTCCTCCATTTCTTCCTCATTTAGAATTCTATTTATTCTCGTTATGCCTCCTTTGAAGTCAGCAATGGCACCGATAGCCACTGGAACTAAAAATGTTATTATGATTCTCACCGATCTAACGCACGACATGATATAGAACACCAACGAAGCATCCAAATAAACTTGCATGTATACGTAAGACATCACCAAAATGTATATCATAAGATCTGGACATAATTCACACAAAATTTGTATTATCGATTTTGCGTACGCGTCTTTCAGCATACCATTTACCTCTAGTCTGAAAAATTACATAAACTTATATCAAGCGTTTGTAGCTAATTTGCCCAAACCCATACTAATATTTTTTTGGTACATTGCATTTACCTTCTAATGTAAGAAATTTTCTGCAGAAAAAAGTTTTCCAAAGACAGCATTTTAACGACTTTAAGTGAAGCCAAACATTCTTTTGTAGTTTTGATTCTTTCTCCTGTTTTGTAATCAATATACACTCTAATGTGTGAAATGTACTGACCAATTAAAACTAAAATCAAAATTATTTGAATTTATTTAGATCATTTACCTACATTTACTGGCCCACAATCACAATTAGTAATTGGACATTTTATACAGTAATTGGACACATGGACCATAGTTATTGGACATACAATTTTTATAAACACATAACAACTTTACATCAAATAACATAAATTGCTTAATAATTTTTAGAGATAAATTGCTGTTTTAGGTAATTTTTTATTTCGTTTTTGTAAATATCATATAATTGATATATTTCTTTCTCGGATTCCTCATCCCTTTTCTGGATTCTGAAGGTAACACTAATTCCTTGGTCTGACTTCTGAAATACTTTGTTGCATGATATTTGCATATATATATATAAGTGTGGTACCTCTAGTTTGTGAAGCATTTATAATGTTTAGGCCGGAACAGGATGATTTATATATATCTAATATTTTTTCGGGTGGTATGTTAAAAGTATTTTCCGAATTTATTAATTTTGTTGCCATTAGTTTTATATGTTCTCTATCATGCACTGCATTTAAATCACTGTTATTCTGCAAGATGTCCTGTGACGAAGAAATCTCTATATTACTTACTCTCTAAAAATGAATTAGTCAAAAATGTCATGGCGAAAAAGCAGCCACTAATAATTCTCGTCAACATCAATTTGTATCCAGGACATTTAGCAGTCAATTCCTATGAAATATTATTCGCTGAATTCGAAAATGTCGTCAAAAGTTATAAAAGTGGAACAGTTTTTGAAATATAATCAATTTTACATATAATATGGAATTGACTATATCTCAAAAACTGCTTAACTTTTATAGTTTTTGGTGGTCTTTTCGGATTCAGGGGACAATTTTACATAAGAATTGTCTGGTAAGTGTCCGGGACACAAATAGAGTATACTCTATATATCATACATGATATTGGACATGTGTCCAATAATAGAAATTTACATTTTTTACCAACCAGTAATTGGACACTGAAAATTTTACTGTTTGTTTTCAGAATTAAAATTAAAACGCATTAAAGTGACAATGTTTAAACCATGAGGAACAGATTTATACCACACACTGATCTGTACTTTTTTTAGAAATATTTTTTATTGTAATTTAAACACAGCCCTGCTCTTAACAAGAAAACAAAAATCTTACCACCAAAGTAACGTGCGAAATTTTTTGCCCTATATTGGACCCAAAATAAAGTAGTTGTATATTATTACCGACTGAGATATTTATAATTGTATGCAGCGTCATCTAATGATTTGACTTTAAGGCTACTATTTATAGAAGTCTTGTTTTAAGTATGAATGTTAATTGTCCAATAACTATAAAGTGTCCGATAACTGTCTACTTTACCCTACCTTCAACTCCAAGTACGAGGAACATAAACAATATTGCCGATAAAGATATGGCTCCCATATTAACATACAACACGACACAAGTCATTAAAAGTTGTATTATACATATAATAAAATCCATGGAATATTTTAAACCTTTTTCGACAATAGCAACATCCTTTGTCATTAAAGAAATAACATTCCCAACGCTAATCTTCCCCAGGACCTCGTTGGAAATTTTTAGAACTTTTCTGAAAATAATCGAAGATATGGCAACCCTTATTTTAATGCTTATATTTGCAGTTGATAAGTTGTAAGATGATTGAATCAATTGGTAGGCGAATTCCAATACCATAAGTTCAAGACTATAACCAAAAGCTTGCATTAATGTTGTTTCCCTTTGATTGAGTTTGAAGTACGATATAAATTTTCCCACCAAAAATGGATGAAAGATACTGAAAGTTAAAGAAGGCATTTTAGTCATAAGAAACTTAGTCGTGTCTTTTAGAGCATATGGGCTTTCACACCAAAGTCTTTAGACAACTTGAATATATATATACGAGTGGCATAGAATGTTTTATCCAACAAGTGGAAGAAATCGTTTTTTATAAGATAATAATTTTATAAGCTTTATGATCAAATCAAAGCTACTTGCGTCTCAGTACCCTATAAATGTCAGAATTACTTGACAGTGACTTTTTTACATTTTGGTCAAAGTATGTTGTTTGTTGGGTTACCTCGGGCATGATACATTGTTAGTAAATGTTGAAATAAATTTTGACACTTGTCAGTTTTCCCTGCAGAAAAGGGAAGCTTTTTTGAAGAAAAAAAACGTATAAAAAATGGAGGAAACCGATGAAAATTACGTTCCTCAGGATATCCTTACGGAAGCGGAAGAAGCAGCGATGCAGATTTTGCCAGAGATGTCCCGAGGTGCTTACGACAAGGAGTTCAAAATGTTTGAGTCTTGGATGAATTCAAGGAAGATAAAAGGTATCGATGAAAATATTCTGTTGGCTTATTTTTTACATTAGCAAAAAAAATTAGCCCCATCGTCGCTATGGACCAAATACTCGATGCTTCGCTTGACTAATCACCTTTATAAAAAATCGACATTTCAAAATATGGCAAACTAACGAGCTTTCGGAAAAGCAAATCACAGAGATACAAACCAAAGAAGTCCAAGACATTAGAACGACCTGAAATAGAGAAGTTTTTGAACGAAGCTCCCGACGACGAGTACCTGTTGATGAAGTGGCTTTGATAATGGGGATTAGCGGTGCTTGTAGATGCGATGAATTGGTCAATTTGAAAATAGAAAATATTCAAGATAAAGGAATATATTTTCACGTAGTTTTGCCAGACACTAAAACCAAGAAATTGAGAAGTTTCACCATACTTGAAGAAGGATTTCCAGGCAACCCGATCAATTTGTGTAAAAAATACATGTGTTTGAGACCAAAGAATACTAGTTCTAGCCGCTTTTTTGTTTTTTACAAAAATGGGAGGTGTACTAGCCAGTATGTGGGAATAAATACGTTGTCGAAGATACCTTCAAGAATAGCAATGTTTTTGAAATTGGAAGAACCAGCGCTCTACACCGGTCACTGCCTGAGAAGGTCTTCGGCGACTCTTTTGACCAATGCAGGGGCAAACATGACTACTTTGAAGCGTCACGGAGGATGGAAGTCCTCGACGGTAGCAGAAGGATACCTAGAAGAATCGGTGCATAACAAAATACAAATTGCAGAAAAAATACAAGGTTCTAATGCGTCGGCATCTTCCAGCACTATCAGCAGCTGTACCGATATGGGAGCGTCTGGTTCCAATCAACCAACGAATTTTACAATGACTTCAAATTCGAATAAACAGTTAGCGTTTTCCTTTAATTTTAATATCAATGTGAATTCTGCTTGTAATAGTAATAAATATTTATTTAGAATACTACTTTAAATATAAACGTAATAATGACAGTCATAACTGATTTTTCATTCGTGAAAAGAAATGGATCAAAGAATTTGTATCCAATTTTACTTAAAAAATTAAATAAATTCTGTGAAATGTTAACAAAGGCCTATAGTGAGTCTGCTATGAGTAAACAAGAGTTTACAAGATGGCCTTGAAGACGTTGAAGATGACGACCGCCCTGAACGCACAAGCACATTAACAACCGATAAAAACATGGAAAAAGTGGAAGAAATGGTTATAAACCATCAGAGAAGTCGCTGATGATGTTGGTTTATCGATTGGCTCATCCCATGAAATTTTTTCAAATGTTTTGGGTATGAAACGCGTGGCAGCGAAATTTGTTCCAAAATTGTTAAATTTTGAACAACATTTTTGGCCAAAAACAATACTGTAATGATGCCCCAGCCTCCATATTCGCCAGACATGCCTCTGTCTGACTTTTTCCTATTCCCAAAAATAAAGAGAACCTTAAAGCGCCGTCGTTTTGCAAGCATAGATGACATTAAAAGCGCATCGCTGAAAGAACTAAAGGCTATCCCAAAGATCGAGTTTTAGAAGTGTTTCAAGTATTGGAAGAAGAGCTGGCACATGTGCATAATATCCAATGGGGACTATTTTGAAGGCGACAACATTAATGTAGATGAATAAATAAATATTTGTTTCAAAAAACAAAAATTCCCGATATTTTCTCAACACACCTCGTACTTTACCTACTCCAAATGGATTGTTGAGATTAAAAAACTTTGGTGTGAAAACTTGTAGTTGGTTTTACCTTTTAATAATTTTTAATATTAAAAAAGGTGCCATAATAAATAGGAATTGATATTTATATCTCTGGAAGAGGACTTTAAGTATACAGACTTTATTTGATCGTTTCTTTAAATTTTGTATTGCTGCGTTTAATTCATTTCCACATTTTTCCATTTCCAAAAATTCAGGGACTTTATAGAAGTCATTTTCATCTATCTTCTTGTTGTATCCTTTTTTGTAAATTGGTAATAGGAACCTTCAATAATAATTCTTACAGATTCGTTAGAATATTTCTGTTTCTTACCAAAACGTGACAAGTGAAACCCAATTTGCTCTGTCTTTGGGGTGAGATTTAGATATTTTTTCGTTAACCATGTTTTGAAGAATATTTAAATAAATATACAATATATATTATATATATATACTTGCATATATAAATGTAGGTATGTTTTAAAAATGCGTTTACAGTGTCATTTATAGCATTTGAAATACTTACTTATTTATGAATAAATTTGATTTATTTTCTGTAATGTTTGTTATGTTTTTATTGATTTAAATTATAACGCAGTACGACAAAATTTGATTTTTTTCTCCCATGAAAAATTCCTATAGATTTTGAAAATATTATACACGGTATTCGGCACATAATGTAACAGCTTCGATAACAGACATTTTATACACGAATTTAATTTAGGCACGAGCGAGCTTGCGAGCGAGAGCTTAAATAATTAGTGTATAGAAAAGTTTAAAAACGAGGTGCATAGTATACTTTTTCTACGACAAATACTTTAAATCAAAAAGTTGTATAGAGCGCCATCTATGAAACAACAGGGGAAACTGTCAAATGTCACATTTCTACATTTTATAAACACAATTATAAAGGTTATAAATCGAAATGTATTTCTTGAAAATTGACAGTTTTTCACAGTGAAAGTAAAGAAAATGTTTTATGAGGACTTTACAGTGGAGTCCGTGCCCGAATTTAAGTTATAGTTTACTGCCGGCGAAATTAAAAGGTGAGTACAATGTTCATATAAACTTTTCAAATATTGGCGTTGAGAAACTATTTGATACTTTTGTATTTTTGTATTGAGATAATAAAATAATTTTCACATTTAGTATTATTTTACAAGAAAGGCACTTTATTTTAACGATTGTATGACATTTGACAACTGTCAACTAACTTAAAACTAACTTCAGCCCGTGACTAAAAACCTGTTGCTAACTTCAGCCCGTGACTAAAGTGCAATAAAGCCACAACTTGTCAATGTGCATTTAAAAGGTCACTTAGTGTCATGGAAACATGTACGATAAAGGGCGTTTTAAAGGTGGGAGTAGAAAAAATTATTTATTTACTTTAAAAAAATTTTAATTATATATAGGTTGTTGCACATTTACGAAATACGGGTGTTTCACGTTCGTGGTCCATTAAAAATTTCTAAAATATTTTTAACAAACTGTTACTTCCGGTTTGACCGGAAGTGGCATCAACTTTGTCAAATTGACAAATGCGCGTCAATCAAAAATAGCTATAACTTTTTTGCTATTAGGTTTTCGGAAATGGGGGTGGAATTTTTGGAATCTTAAAACATTGTTTATAAGATAACATTTTTCAACAAATTACCTGAGAAAACGTAGGGCAAATTAGGCTAACTTAAAAACTTATTAATTAAAATATTTAATAAAATAAATGTTATATTTTATTGTCTCCAGCAAATACTGTCTGCATTACTTTTAAATTTTAAAAACGTTTGGCTTGTCAATGTTTATTATCAGTAATTTTATTTGCAAAACACTTTATTATTCAACAAATTGTTTATAACAACATGAAAAATACCAATATAGATTCTAAAGCAATGTATAATCGTCAAACATATATTTTATATAAGATAAATACAAATCTGTTGTTTTATTAAAAAACAAATCATAAATCAGAAAATTTTTTTTAGTAAAACAAATTAAAATTATTATTTTCTTTATATCACTTTGTATATTATAATTCAAAAAAATATTTTCTTATAACGATTCTTATTAATGATTTGAAATTTACATTTTGAATTAGGTAACTATGCAAAATTAAATTTTTAATGTATTTTAAAACTAAATTGGAAAAGTTGAATCTCTTATAAAATCCACTGTTATAGTTTTAAAACAGTATATCCTGCCTACGAGTGACGTTTATAAATACCGAAAAACCCTTTTAAAGAAGACGAAAAATCTTAAATCCTCACGGGATCTTTTTTATGGTACGAGTGGGGGACTGCAGAATTCCTATAAGAAGTCTGCATGACCGTGACTTTGATACAAATCTGCAAATTGTTTATATAAATCGCGCGAAGAAGTTTAGTGTGTTTTGGAGACATGAAATTTTACCAATTGGTTTTGTTTTTTCCGCTCGCTTTTGTTTTACAACTGACGTCTGCTTTGTTTGAAAGTAACCCATTCCTAAATCCCCAAAATGGTGAGTTTATAAATGAATACAAAAATATATTTAACAGTTGTATTTTTTATTAAAATATTTAAAAGTAAAATGTTTTAAAAAAATTCAACTGAGCTGCAAATATCAAAATAATGTAAATGTTACCCTAAATTTGTAATATATATATACAGGGTGTTTCACATTCGTGGTCCATTAGAAGTTTCTGAGGAACAAAAAAAGATATATATAAATATATAAAAAAATATATATAAATCTATAGATTTGAAATTTTAAAAGCGTTCATAAATAATCCATTTAAGTCTATTTTTCTAAAATATTTTAAACAAGTGACATATACTTTGTTATTTCAAATAAAACACCCCATATATTTTTACATTTTGAAATTCTACATAATATTCTGAGTAGAATTACTATACCAAAAGTGAATAGTTTTCGTTAAAATTTGACAAATACGCGTCTTTCAAAAATAGCCTATAACTTTTTTGATATTAGGTTTGCGAACATGGGGGTGGAATTTTCGGAATCGTAAAACATTGTTTAAAAAAATTCTTGTTAATCTTTAACATTTTTCAACAAATTACCTGATAAAACTCAGGGCAAAATAGCCCAACTTGAAAAGTTAATAACTAAAATTTTAAATATTATTTTATTATCAAGAAACTGTGACGGGTGTGTTGACGGTATCTTTGGTTAACACGTAATCTGTCATTGTTCAAAATTAATTATCGTCAATTTTTCAAGTTGTTACATATAAACAATTTGTTGACTTTGTTGTAAACAATATTACTGATAAAAAAAGCAAGAAGTGACTTATAAAACACATTGACAAGACAAACATTTTAAAAATTTAAAAGTTAAATAATATTTGCTGATTTTGAAAAAAATTTAACAAAGCTGTAGGATGTCAACCAGACAAAAAAATATAAAATTTTAAATATTTCATAAAATAAATTTTCAAGCCTAATTTACCCTGGGGTTTCTCAGGTAATTTATTGAAAAATGTTAAACAATTTACAAGGAATCTTTTAAACAATGTTTTGAGATTTCAAAAATTGTACCCCCATATTCGCAAACCTAATAACAAAAAAGTTATAGGATTTTTGTGATTGACGCGCATTTTTCAAATTTTAAAGAAATAAATTAATAACTCGAAAACTATTGACTTTAGGTATAAGACATGGTATAGTAATTTTATGTAGAGTTTAAAGATGTAAAAATATATGGTGTGTTCTATTTGAAATAACAGACTGAATGTCACTTCCGGTCAAACCGGAAATGGCATTTTGTTCAAAATATTTTAGAAAAATATACTTAAATGGTTATAACCGCTTTTAAAATTTCAAATCGATTTCTTTTTCCGTTTCCCAGAAACTTCTAATGGACCACGAATGTGAAACACTCTGTATTTGTCATTCCACCAATTTTGATGTAGAGAATAACTTTAAATAAATCAACCCCAAAAAAATTGTATTTGGTGAAATGACCCATATAATGATATGTTTGATATTAAGTAACCCTTAACATATTCATAATTTAATACATAATTAATTAACATAATACATTGATAAATGAATTCTGACGTTTTTTTTCATACCAAAATATTTATATACAAGGTGTTCAAACACGTTTAAAAGCTGTACACTAATAATAATAATAATAAATACCTGGGCGATCGAGAAAGGGGCATTTTTAGTTTTGCCATTTTTTTTAATATAAAGTTTGGGAGATTATTAACTCCTGTACCTACCTACTAAAAAATAACTTAAGCGCGCTGTACAACTGCTGCAGAATTTATTTTTTACGGCTTACGTCTTATGTCAACCAATCAAGTATGTCCATATTAAGCACTGTGATTGGTTGACGTAAGACGTAAGCCGTAAAAAATAAATTCTGCGACAATTGTAGACCGGGCTTTAAAAAAAGTGTGAGTGTGTGTATTATAACTTTTTAAAAATAAAACAAGTACAAATTTGAGATAACTTGATATTATGCCACATCGTACGTGGGATCTTGTATAGTACCAGCGACAAGCATTATGCAAAACAAATGCAATTCAATCGGAATTTTCTGTATCTATACTTGTTCCACCCTGTGCGGAAAGGATTTATTTTCCTCGTGTATATCCGTAGGTATGTCCGCTAAATAGCTATATTTTTTCCACTTCTTCTTTACATGCCCATACGTCCGATAATTTAAACATTATTCTACTGTCCAGACTCGTACAACGTAGTTAACTATAATAAAGCACTATTTGTCATTGACAATGACTCATTAGAATTATTTTTATGTATACAGTGCTTGAAATAAATTAACCTCAATATAAATAAAATTATACGAATTATTTTACAAATATTTTGAAAAATTAAGTTATCAGTTTCAGTCAATAATTAAAGAAGAATTAGTTTTATCCATCAACTTTTAATGACTCTAAGAGGTTTAATAAAAATCAAAATCAAAAAAACTGCATAAATCAAGGTGTATTTACCTTTTTGAGTCGTTGACCCCTTGGTGAAGGTTAAGCCCACTTAAAGATAATTATAGATTTTTTTTTTATTTTTTATTTGTGCTTTTATCCTTTTTTGGCCCTTGCAACTTGACCACCAGTTTGATGGTATTATTAAGTGGGTAGCTTGAATAGCTTAAAATAGGATGATATAAATTGATAGTTAAACACCTACAAAAATATTACGGTGAAACTGGATTGTTTACAATAGTATTAGGTATACTGAATACCATATAAATAATTTAATAATATAAAAATATAACAAAAAAAGTAGTTTGTCTTAATAAAGTAAAGATCCCTATTCGACCTTTTGTTACAGCAAAAAGATCATTTTTATAAAGTAAATTTACGTTATCTTTATAAAACCAACACTCTTCCAGATGCAGAAACGCATTGATAAATATAGTTATTATTATTTGTCCAAAAAACAGTTCTTTACCGTTTACAAAAACGTTTTGTAGTATTAATGAAACCCTAATGGTATTATTCATAGAAATTTTGTAAATTTTACAAATCCCCTTTCGTCTAAAATAAAACTTTGTTATAATATTAATAAAATTTATGTAAATTTAACAACAAATTAATTGTTAATTCAATAAACTATTTTCATTGTAACAATGGTCACATTTTCAACCTACTGTTGGGTGTTGGGTAGTTTTTTTTTAATAATTGCAAATTATTTATTATAACAAAAAAATTAACTCATAAGTATTATATGATGCACAAAATAAAACAAATAAGAACTCACTTTTTAAACAACAAGTCTGCTTCGTTTATATAATAGACCTTAAATATTTCTTTTAGAAAACGTCGAAATTTTAATTTTCTTAGTGATGTTTTTGATATTTTTATCATGCTAGATTTTACCACACTTCACTCGCACAAGTGAAATCAATAAGATTATAACACAGACTGTGGATTATAAAGTTATGTTCACCAAGGAGAGCGCTGGCCCTTTCCCCCTCTTTTTAAGGGAAATAACAAAAATTTTGTTACCATTGCAAAACAATAGTAAATATTAAAAAAGTCTTTTTATGGCAATAAAATATTTTTGTTATTGTTCTTAACGTAAGCTATTAACAAAGATTTTTTAACTGAAATAAAATTAATTTGAATTACGATAGTAATTTAAAAAAGACAAATATGCCATAGTAAAATGAACAAATTTTACTATAACAACTGCGCATTACTTTATGTAAGCGCAACTCACACACAACTATAGATTTAACAAAAACATTTTAAGTTCGACAAAGATTTAATATAAACATAAAGTATTTCTTATTGGCATGACAATATGATAACAACTATTACTTTGTTGGATGAACATTTTTTTATGAAAGCTCAACATTGCTGCTTCATTATAGTAAATGGGAATTTTATTAACAGTAAAAAAAAGTTTTTTCTGTAAATAAAAATAATCTTATTACTTTGACAAATCGTAGTTTTTTGTCCCAATAAGACACTGAAAATTTATTAAAAAAATCTAATCTAAATAATTTTATTAAATATTTATTTAAGATTTACAAAACTCTGCCCAAAAAAAATATTTTTATTAAAAAATGATGGTTAGAAATTATTATTAAAAAATTATTTAATAAATGTTAAAACGGCGTACCTACCATAGACCTACGAGTTTAAAAAAAACACCTTATGTTTATAAATTATGTTACCTATGCCTTGAATGCTGAAAAATAATCTTGAATTCTTCTAGGACTTATGAATATCAAGTTGTAAATAAATGGAATACTAAGTGATGGTATCTACTACTTAACTACTAACAATTTAACTTTCAGTAAACCAACAAAACAATCCATTAAAAACTGATAAAACCAAACAAAACCTTAACCAATGGAATCTTGCAGTTATAATCAATCAGGACGCTCAATTTCCTTTACAAGGAAACCCTCCAGGACCGGCTGCTCCAGGATACGTTTGGTTACAGGTAATTAATAACTGTATACAAAAATAATCTCTTAAAAGAAATGAAAATCACTTTGATCCAAAAGATTTGCGCATTTGAATAGGGTCAAGAGCTATGTTTCTTAATCCAAATCAGAAACTATCTTCACATCAATTTTTAAAATTACTTGAGGGGAGAGATTAATTTATTCGTTTAAGGATATTACAAGAACCAAAAATATTTATACGAGGTGTGTTCAGAAAATAACGGGAATTGTTAAATTTCGCGGGTTCGGAGGGTCCGGTTGTCATAAAATTTTCTTTATTATGTTGGTATACATGCCCCCAAAGTATGATAAAAACTTCAGCAGTTTTCATTGTTTACTTTGTCTGTGGCAGCCGCTAAGGTTAGACGTGTTTTATGAGCTCGGCGATTTTTCGTTCGTTAAAAGAAATTGATCAAAGAATTTGTATTCAATTTTGCTTAAAAAATGAAATAAATTCTGTGAAATGTTAACAAAGGCCTATAGTGAGTCTGCTATAAGTAAAACAAGAGTTTACAAGTGGTATAAGAGTTTCCAAGATGGCCGTGAAGACGTGGAAGATGACGAACGCCCCGAACGCACAAGCACATTAACAACCGATAAAAACATGGAAAAAGTGGAAGAAATGGTTATAAACCATCAGAGAAGTCGCTGATGATGTTGGTATATCCATTGGCTCATTCCATGAAATTTTTTTAAATGTTTTGGGTATGAAACGCGTGGCAGCAAAATTTGTTCCAAAATTGTTAAATTTTGAACAAAATTTTTGGCCAAAAACAAAACTGTAATGATGCCCCAGCCTCCATATTCGGCAGACATGTCTCTGTCTGACTTTTTCCTATTCCCAAAAATAAAGAGAACCTTAAAGGGCCGTCGTTTTACAAGCATAGATGACATTAAAAGCGCAATGATCGAGTTTTAGAAGTGTTTTTAGTATTGGAAGAACAGCTGGCACATGTGCATAATATCCAATAGGGACTATTTTGAAGGCGACAACATTAATATAGACGAATAAATAAATATTTGTTTCAAAAAACGAAAATTCCCGATATTTTCTGAACACACCTCGTATTTCTCTTTTGAATGAAGAAAACGTTTTTTAGCTCAAAAAAATGGGATTTTAACAAGAAAACTGCATCTCTTAATTAAAAAGCTTAGGAACTTTCTAAGAAAGAAAATTTGTCTTGCTACAAAAGCATATACTATTGACCTAACCACATTTTATTTTGATTTTAGAGCAAATATCTCTTGGTCCAATAGTATGTATTGCTTTAAATTCTCCTCAACACAATGGCCTTTTCATTTTAATTATTGAAACATGCATTTAACAATTAAAATCAAGGACCTTAGTAGTGAGGGGAGTTCAAGCCTAAATATTAGCATCGTTGAAGACTAGAAGATTGGCTGAAAAAAATGTTTACAAAAAAAATTTAAATGAAATAAGACATTTATTGTTTGATATCAACAAAATCACACACTAATAAAGTAACATAAATTCATATTTTATTACATATTTTAATTAATACCTTATAAGGTATATCTACCTTCAAAAACATTAAACAAATTAATTAAATTTTATTTATTTAAAAAGAGTTTTAATGATTCCAACTCCACTGTGAAAGTACATACAACACGCCACAACACAACACCACCGGCAAAATGTATATTAGAAATACCTATAATAGAATTATAATATTATATAACTGCCCCTAGAAAATGGCGAATTGCAAGTTGCAATGATACAAAACGTACTAAACACGTGTGCCGCCAACGGAGTGCGCGTTTTGCATTGCCTCCCATGTATCAGAAGCTACCAGATTTTGTTAGAAAATTGACATGCTATGGGGATAATTGTGATGTATCTTGAAGAACTTCTTTCTTCAAGCAATAAATACTCTTCTATGCTAAAATATTGTTTCTTGCCGCTAATAATTTTTTATCAAGAGAGTTGACTACTTTAGTTTAAGGGCACCTTTTTTTCAGTGTCTACAAAGTAGACTCTACATTGTTGACTATAGTCAAACAATGTAGAGTCTACATTGTAGACTGTAGACGCGTTGCGTGAAATAAGTGGTAAATATTGAATTGCATTCTCTTAGGTTCCCATTTCGCCAAGTAATCCGCCCTATGTGCCGCCTGTTACTCCAACTAAGCCTCCTAGAGAACCTAGTGATGATAAATTATCCTATCAAACTACGGAAGGATGGGTCACCATTGAGCCTCCAGAAATTCTTTATGGTATGTAACATGCAGTGACTGGCCAAATTATGGAACAAATTCATTGAAAAATTCGGCTTTTTTCCCCAAAAAATCCTTGAACAAGTCTATATTGTTTTTCAATTACCTACGCACATCTACAATTTTCATATTTTCCGCCATTTTTGCAAAAAAAAAAACAAGCTACATGAAAAAATGGCGAAGTAATGAATTTTTTAGTGGAAGACCAAAATTCAGCTTATTTTTTGGAACTTCTGGAATTATCCTTTCGATTTCTATCTTTCCCAGAACGATAAGTAAATTATAAATCAAAGGTCTACATCAACAGACCACAAAATTTAGAAGACCTGAAAAATCAAATGCGGAAGTCATCCAAAACGTTCTCAGAGAATTTTCGTATAGGCTTGCGGATTTTTTAATGAAATGTTTCATGCTTTGCCGATCACTGTATAGAGTAATGTTTTATCTACATTTTACTATTAAAAATATAAAATTTGTTTTACACAGGAAGCGACTTAAACGCAAAATGCCTTAAACCAAACGGCCAGTTTCCTAGCAGAACCTGTGACAAATTCGTGAACTGTTGGGCTGGAGTTGCCACCGAACAATCATGTTTGGACGGTTTGGTGTTCAACCCAAAAGGATATTGCGATTATGCCCAAAACGTTGATTGCAATGGTAAACCAACCGAAGGTATGACGACCTTGTAGCCCTTTAAATAAAAATATACCGTACATAGAAGGAAATTTAAATGTTAAGTTCTCTGTTAGGTCCTCCAGTGAGTGGAACACCAATTGATTCAACTGAATCCACGCCAAATTTTGGATCAACGCCTTCTCAGACTCCTGCTTATGGATCATCAGTATCACCAACTGTTTCTGCAACTGTATCTTCTGGTAAGTATGACATAAAGCATTCTTGTCTTGATTTTAAATGGACAAACAATTATGTGTTTGAAGTATACCTGCTTAAGTATAGGTATTTCCCAGAGCAAAATTCGATTTTAAGAATCTTCTAAGAAGATATGACCCGGAATAATGGAATATTCTTAGAACCTTCCCTTATTGCTAAGAATGTTCTTAGGGACTTTTAAAACATTCAATAGATACCCTTTTAATGATGCAATTAGATCCTTAAAAGCTTCTTCTAAAAATCATTCTAAGGACATTTTAAGAATACGTTTTTGGAATGTTCTTAGAAGGTTTCTTATGAAGCTTCTAGGAAGCTTTTGAGAATATTTCCAAATATGTCAGATACCCACGTTCTAATATGTTGTATTCTAATTCGTAAAATTCTTCAGGAGACGACAAATTCGCATCACTGTCATAATATACCTAATAGTGAAATGTATTTGTCGTCCCCTTAAAAAATTTTGCGACATATTAATAAATATTTATTTAAAAATATGAAATAAACAATTTGACCTCTAAACCATAAGTTGTATGACATTATTTCATAAAAAGTAAAATTGGAAAATTTTGTGGGATAAGTCAGATTAGATTGAAGTTGAAGATAGTTAGATAATACATAAAAATGTTAATTCAGAAATAAAAAATCGGTATACAAATTAATAAATATTTATTTTTAACATAAAATAAAATACCGATAGTAAAAGTATTTTTGTTATAGAATATTGTTTTAATTTGACAAATAACTATAAAAAATATTTTGGATTGTGTTTTTTACTTAGTATTTAATACTAATTACTAATTAGGTACTTAAGTATAGGTATATACCTTTATACGTAGTTTATGGTATATTTTACTATTATATAGGTAGCTGAACTAAATATGCTTAACAGAAATATTCCTAAATGAACTTCTATAGCAATTACTTTCTTAACATTCTAAGCATATATTTAGAGTAGACTAAGTACACAACTACCACTAAGCACAGAAACTCATAGATTATAAAAGAAACCGACTAATACAAAAACGACATTAAATAGCGTCCAAAGACTTGTTTGTTTCTTTATGATGGCGTCTCAACCATTCGAACAAGGACTGCGTACGTTGGTTTTGCGCAGCTACACGAGAGCCCTCTTGCGATATTTTAAAGTATTGGGAATAAACAATTAGCAGATTCCTTTTTAGAACCTCACACTGGGAATGCCCAATTGAATTCAATTGGAATTACCTATGGGTAGCTTTAACCATTCGAAACCACTAAAAAACGGTAGAATCCTAATCGGACTTTTCCATCATGGAAAATACTAGTAAAAACCAATTTCTGTTTTATATCGCTCTCAATTAAATCCAGTAAGTCCAATTCAGACCTATTGATACCAACCAATACTTCAATTGGTTTCTAGAAGGAATTAATCGGTCATACAACATGAAACCTTAATTACTCACTCAAAATTGAAAGCCGTTTAAAACTTAAGAGTCTTAAGTTAAGACGTTTAGTTAGTGCTCCGATGATTATATTTTAATGTAATAACTTTCATGCTAAATTAGAATGAAACTCTTATAAAAAAAACAACCAACCCTAACTATATTCTTTATTTGTAATAGATCCAAAATTGAACAAAAAATGTCTTAAACCCAGAGGCCAATTCCCAGGTATCACATGCAATAAATTCGTAAATTGTTGGGATGGAATAGCAACCGAACAAGAATGTCCTGAAGGATTACTATTTTCCACCAAAGGATATTGCGATTATTCAGCAAATGTGGATTGCTCCAATCGCACTCCACCAAGTGAAGAAAAAATAATTACTAAAAAAGTGAATAAACAAAACACCATTGAAACAAGCATAATAGAAAACGATTGTCCTTTGGATTTCGGCACTTTCAGAAAGAAAAACAACTGCAGCTCTTATCACACCTGCATTGGTGGTAAAGTGGTTGCCAGATACGACTGCCCTGAAGGATTTTCTTTCAATGACGTAATTTTTCATTTATTTTGATGTTTTTTCTTATTATTTTATTTACCCATTGTAGAATATTGGAGTTTGTGATTACTCGTACCGCGTAGACTGCACCAAAGACCCAATAATTAATAGAAAAACAAATATACCACACCACACAAGTAAGTATAAACTTTATTTATATTGCCTTATTATACAGTTCATTTTTTTTATCTGGACTCGTGTTTTTTTGTTAGGTTGGTGGCTAATGCCAGTTTGACTTAGTATTTTTAGTATTTAAAAATGGTACTTCTGCTAAAGAATTTAGGGTATGTTCCGTAAATCAACTTGGTTGGTTTGGTTTCGGTTAAGGTGTCCCGTAAATGAAAAATTCCTGAAAATTATGTAGTTAAGAAACGCGGTTCCTGAAAAATAGGTTAATCAATCGTTACCGAAACGACCGACGCTGTATGATCGGTTAAATCGGTTACCAGTGCTGCAAACCAAATGGAAACAGTGTTGCCCCAAACCAGTGGCGTATTTAGGGGGGGGTCCGCCGGGTCCGGACCCCCCGGGCGCACATATTTTATTATTTTTATTACAAAAAAAAGTTAAAAAAAAATAAAAACCTCAAGACTGTCAACGTACTTTATTATTTATTAATTATATTTAAATATAAAATCATTAAAATCAAAAACCAACTACTTACGTATTAAAGAGAAAGAGGTGGTTTGGCATAATTTAATCAAAACAAAAATGTTCCTTTTTTAGAAAGTTCCTTTTATTTTCTATTTTATCGGATCAGAAGAGTTCCTAATTTGTGATTTTTTAGTTATTAAAGCATAGCATAGTACATATTTAGTAAGTTTTTTTGGACCCCCCCCCGGTGCTAAATCCTAAATACGCCACTGCCCCAAACAAAATTACTGTTTTTTGTTGGTTATCTAACCTAAAAATTTAACACAGGAGCAGACTTCGCATACAAAATACTAGTGTTCGCGATAGTGGGAAAAAATCAATATCGATAGTTTCGATGTTGATAGTTTCAAATATCGAAACTATCGATAGTTTATCGATAGTCATTTATATACCTATTTAGGGATGCACCGGAATTCCGGCGGTACCACTAAATCCGGCCGATCCGGATCGCTCCGGCCGGATCGGTATTTTCTTTTACCAAAAAATTAATCTATTCTCTGGAACTTTAAATAGAGACACTTTCTCTAAACAACTTTTTTACCCACCATTACATGTAGGCATTAAAATACGTTTTGTCCAAAAATAATTGAATTCAATATATAGGGTGTTTTAGGTTTGTTTATGTAACTATAGAAATATTATTAAAAATATATGCAAGTTGTAGTTTTTGACACAAATAAAAAATCTTAAGTTGGGTTATGTTTTTTCAAATAAAGGTGTCCCGTATATATGAACTAACCGAGAAAACCAGGAATTTATTTCAGTAACCAGACCGGTAACTCGTGTGTATTTACGGAACATATCCTTAATTAAATACTTTGACACTGTCAAATTAACAGTAATATTTAATATTGATTATTTCCCTCATTATAATATGAACCAATCATGCAAAAGCCTTGAATTTTCGAATAAATTTCGTTTAAATAAGCGATTAAATCACTAGAACTATTTAACAGCGATTAAATTTTAGCCTCCATATTGGATTTTTGTTTACGATTTTATGGTGTTATTTACAAGTTTTAACAAACATTTTTTAAAAAACAATAAAAAATAAGTTATCTAGTTTACGAAATATCAATTATTACTTATTACATACCTTAAATTAATGAAATTTTCTTTAAAAAAAATATTTATAAATTTTGACACATACGTCAGATTTTATGAATTGTCAAATAGTTTCCTTTAATTCGAGAAATAATCTAGACGTATATCACTCAACCTATAAATTTAATCTGTCAAACTATGCTCAGTAATTTTTTTATTTGATTTTTCTTTTTGGAAAATAGTTTCTTGCAAGATAATTAAAAATAAAACCCCTCTACGCGGTCTCGTGATTTTATTAAATTATTTTGCATTCAACATTTTCCAACAAAAATCAAACAAAAAACTACTGAGCCTAGTTTAACCAATTAAATTCATAGTTCTCATGATATAATATATGAAAATTTACTTGTCAATTATAAATAAAAAAAAAATTATGCCAAAAATAATAGCAACGAATTCGAATGTAAAAGCCCTTGTGAGGGCAAAACTTCATTTTGATGAAATTATGCCAAATGCCACAATGGAAGAAAAAGTACATCGCCTTATGGACATTTTTGGTGTAAAAAAGTAACGAATTTGGTTTTATAAATATTACATCACACATTATTTTCACATTATTCACCATTGGACAACATTTACGTTCACAAAAAATTTTAATTTCTTTTATATAAATTCTTTTCAAAGCGAAGATTATTATCCGCTAGGAATCCTTTCTCTTCTGGGCCGTAAATTTCGTAAATTTCGACAACTCAACTTGACAACTGCACAATGTAACCTACAATAATTTATACATAACCACAATTAGATTTATAACTAGCTTAGTTTGTTTTAATCAATGCGACCAACTTGCCAACTGTATTTACCAACCAAAACCCTAAATTTGCAACGTTGTCGCAGTCCAGATAAAAAAAAAGAACTTTATGTATTTATTATAATTTTTAGATTTAAATGGTCCCAGCAAATGCCCGCAAGAGTTTGGAACTTTTAGGGACAGAAATAATTGTGGACTTTATTTCACGTGTTTGGTGGGAAAAGTAGTTGCCACTTACGAATGTCCAGCAGGGTTAAGCTTTAATGACGTCAGTCTTAGTATTAAGTACATAGTTAAAAACGTAATTTAAAAAACTCATTGTAGGCCTTTGGAATTTGTGATGACCCCCAAAAAGTTGATTGTACAAAAGAGCCAGTGGCTTTCCAGAAACAACAAAATTTTGTTGCTCAAATACCTCAAGGTAAACAAACTTCCCAGCAACGGAAAAATATAGAAGTGTATAGGATGACTCCCCGTTTAAATATTATAAATCTTAAAGTTTTATCAGAACTGTATTGAATCGTGCTTTGTTTTTATATTTTTCGCCTCTATACCTATGCACGACTATAAAGTCAAACTCAATGGTGTCTTACAAGATACATTATTTTGATTTTCTATATTCAACAGAGAGGTAGAAACTCGACCCTGTCGAATGGTGCAGTCATTTATGTCTCTAGAAATTATTGAAAAAGGGGGCAGACATAGAAACTCAAGCTTTTCGAATCTTACTGGCAATGATTTTCGTTAATGTCCACGAGAATTATACAAAACAGCGCAATGCAATATCGCAACGGTTTCGACTTCTCTTTACTCTACCAAGTTATAGAAACTGGAGTCTCTCTAATACTGTTCTAGTCAATATTTCTGAGAGCATAAAACGAGGGTGTAATTCAATATTGCAAGAAGTTTTGATCTTTTGATGGATGCAAGTATTTTGAATATTCTCATTTCTGCATATGATTTTGTTGAAAACAGATCCTTTCTTTGGTTCCTTTGTCTGATTTTTATTTACCGTAACAACTCAGGTACATTGGCGGATCCAAGGGGGGGGCGATGGGGGCGATCGCCCCCCCCGGAAGTAAGTTATCAAGTTGAAATAGAACATAACTTTTTAAATTAATATAGAAAATAATAAAAAAATGGAATAATTTTAATTTCAACTCCGCCCCCCCCAATGACACATTCTAGATCCGCCCCTGCTCAGGTATGTAAAGCACACAGGATATGATGTAAAGTATTATTTAAAATACCTATATTTGTATTAAAAATTTTAGAGATTATATTGTAAAAACGATCGATATGCTATTAAACTTTAATAATTTAGTAATGAGGTCTGTTGGTAGACCCTGCACTATCTCCACTGGTATATGTTAGTACAGCAATATTTAAATCTGGTTGATCAAAAAGTACACACCAATGCAGGTTATTGTAGCATCTACGAACAAATGAATTAATGGCTCATTGCCAATTATTCCTTTAGGAAAAATATTCAACACAGCGTAATTAATTAATGAAATGAAAAAAAACAATCATGCATGTCGTATATAGTTTTTTTTCAAGCATAAAATAATTTTTTTATTAATACTAGTTCAAAAGTCAACACAGCAAACGAAAAATTATAGAAGTGTATAGGATGACTCCGCGTTTGAATATCAAATCTTAAAGTTTTATCATAACTGTATTGAATCGTGCTTTGTTTTTATATTTTTCGGCTCTATACCTATGCACGACTATATTTAAAGTCAAACTCAATGGTGTCTTACAAGATACATTATTTTGATTTTCTATATTCAACAGAGGAGTAGAAACTCGGCCCTGTCGAATGGTGCAGTCATATATGTCTCTAGAAATTATTAAAAAAGGGTTCAGTCCAATGGTGCAGCAACTTCGGATTCCTATTCTCCTTAGAGACATAGAAACTCAAGCTTTTCGAATTTTACTGGCAATGATTTTCGTTAATGTCCCCGAGAATTATACAAAAACAGCGCAATGCAATATCGCAACGGTTTCGACTTCTCTTTACTCTACCAAGTTATAGAAACTGGAGTCTCTCTAATACTGTTCTAGTCAATATTTCTGAGAGTATAAAAAGAGGGTGTAATATTGCAAGAAGTTTTGATCTTTTGATGGATGAATTTTCTCATTTCTCCATATGATTTTGTTGAAAATAGTTCCTTTCTTTGGTTCCTTTGTCTGATTTTTATTTACCGTAACAACTCAGGTATGTAAAGCACAGAGGATATGATGTTAAGTATATTTATGTATTATATAAAGTACCTATATTTGTATTAAAAATTTAAGAGGTTATGTTGAAAAATGATCGATATGCTATTAAACTTTAATAATTTAGTAATTAGGTCTGTTGGTAGACCCTGCACTATCTCCACTGGTATATGTTAATTTTGTAATATTTAAATCTGGTTGATGAAAAAGTACACACCAGTGCAGGTTATTGTAGCATCTACGAACAAATGAATTAATGGCCCATTGGCAATTATTCCTTTAGGAAAAATATTCAACACAGCTTAATTAATTAATAAAATGAAAAAAATCACAATCATGTCGTATATAGTTTTTTTAAGCATAAAATAATTTTTATATTAATACTAGTTCAAAAGTGAAATTACGACCTCTATACTGTGGAGAGTATTGAAACGCTCGACTGACGAATACAACTCTATACCGTAGGGAGATTTAGAAATCGATATTCAAACGTGGCGTCATCCTATACACCTCTATAATTTTCCGTTTGCTGTGAAATTACGACCTCAATACTGTGGAGAGTATTGAAACGCTCGACTGACGAATACAACTCTATACCGTGGCGACGGTTTAGAAAACTGCATTAAAACGTGGCGTTATTTAATACACTTCTATATTTTTCCGTTTGCTGTGTAAAAACACCAAAAAAAAATAATATATAATTATAATTCGAGTGCTTCATTCTTGTAGAGTTTAAGGACAAAATTGAAGGGTGCAAGACTGGATTAGTGTTCCGTTTGAACGAAGAATGCTCCCTTGCCTGTGTATGCCGAGAAGGCATGGCAGAATTAATTCAGTGTCCTAAGGATCTTGCTTACGATTCGGTAACGGATAAATGTCTACCTCCGCATTTGGCTAAATGGTAAGTTATCTGGGTTGCCTATACACAAAATAAAATATTGTTTGCTAAGTTTTTTATTTATTTGTAAACCCTAGTCAATAGTTATTTTGATGAAAATCAAAACTTATGCTATGTCTCTAAATGTGGCAAATACTTGACATTTTTCATATTTATTTTTGTTTTAGCTAAACTACAATACAAGACTGCAAAATAATTTATTTGATTGCTCATGGTGGCAACGGGTTAGGTGGCGGGAATTATTTATTTGTATTTATTTATTTGTACTTTAATAAAATTATTAAACCCAAATAATGTTTTTTGTTTACCTTTTTTAAATATATTTTGTCTTTTTGCACACTGATCAATTAAATAAACTGCCAAGTTAAAAGGTAGGTAACAGGAGATTAGTGTCCAAAATCTTGCACCGTGATTTTTTACTATGGTTTAAAATTTAACTAGTGATCTAGAGAATTTGACTAAAAAATGGAAAAGATTGGTGCTAATAACTAACTTCACACTTATTTGTGACGCAAATATATTTTGACGTTAAGAGTTCGATTCTTTATCATCTGTGGTTCGATTATTTATCATCATGGTTCGATCATTGAGTAAAGACACTTTACTCAATGGTTCGATTCTATTTCATGTACGACCGATTCAGTTGATGGTAAGATATAATAATATGGATACAGATCCTGAAAAAAAGGGGGCGCTCCTCAAATTTTTCAGAAAATGAAAAAAATCATTTAATTAATCTTGTGGATACAAGGGTATCATTGAAAACAAAGACACAGATAGGGTTAAAACAATTAGGTTAGGAAATTAACAATAAAAAGGATGAAAAAGAAATTACTCTTTCGGATTTAAACCTTTTAGAAGAAAAAGAAAAACTTAATATATTATAATAATAAACAAGAAGTGGTTATTTATTTTATTTTAATTTTAAATAAGTATAAATTAAATAAAACATCAAAAATATTTTTCCCATTAAATTTTATAAATTCGCAAAATAATCTTGTATTAATTGATTTTGAAACATAATGCGATCTTGTGGATGAGTAACAACAGGGTACTCCCCCAGTAAGCACCAAACACTCGGCAAACAGTTGTGTGATATCTGGTACACAAAACTGTTCATGTAAATTAAATATTTGTTTAAAGCAACATCTATAAAACAATAGAGTAACCATTTTAACTTACCCGATATAGAAGCAGTTTTTTACGGTGAAAATAAAATATATTTTTGATTGTATAGTCACGGCCAAATCTGTATGGGTGCACGTCATCAACGGCATATGACGTCAGTGTTAAGGTCTATTCATACGTGCCCAGACACAATCTAACGCTCGTGTATTGTTGACTGTTTATAGCGGTGGGGGCTGTTATTAAGATAGAATTATAACGTCCTTGTTATAATCTTCTGCACTAACTAATTAGGAGTTTGTTACAGGCAAATTTTTATTAAATGTGTTTAAAGAGGAAACAAACGGAGTTTATTACATTTTTATTACATATGCACATAACAAAAAAATACTAAATTATCAGAAACACAAAAATAATAAATTACCAGTCTTCCTTGTCATCAGAGCAAACCAGGTCAGAATTGAAGTCTGATTATTTCTCCAAATTTATTATTAAGGGCGCAATCTCTTCGAAATCTAATAACGGCTAGTTGCCAACAAGCCTTATATCATTGTTTGCACAATCCAGGGATAGAATCTTATAAACATAATGTATAATATTATTTATAATAATTTGCAACAAACGATGCTTCCGGGCGAAATGTCACAATTACAAAAATACGTCAAATATAAAATGACAGCGACCCCTCAATAATATTGAACGGTGCGCGCCAGCCTTAAGCTATTACCAACTGGCACACACAAAAATTACTAAGTGAATGGTTTTATTTTGATAATTTCGTGAAAAAACGTTTTAAAACAAGAAAATTGTTACAGTTCTTGATAAACAATACGCAAATGAATGATTTCTTTTTAATAACACATCAGAATTACGCCTTAAAAAAGCAAATTTAACGGCAGTAACTTTACAATTCAAAGTTGGTAATGCTGACGTCATTATATCTCATTGATGACGTGCACCCATATAGATTTGGCTGTGACTATATGACATTTGATAAATGTTAACTTACTTAAAACTAACTTCATTCCGTGACTAAAAACCTGTTGCGAACTTCAGTCCGTGACTAAAAGGCGATAAAGCCACAACTTGTCAATGTGTAATTAAAATGTCATGAAAACATGTACGATAATGTGCGTTTTAAAGGTGGGAGTGAAAAAAATTATATATAGGGCAAGAGTACAGCTTATCCAGGTTAGTTTTTATGCACAATAACATAATATGTAATATATGCGTTTAACAGTGAAAGTATTCAAGTTTGCCCTGCATCTCATATTGTAAAATTACTTTCACTAATCCCGAACAATTTGTCACATACCTACATCTATTATTAGAAAAGTGTAAATTTATAAATTTACATACCATATTTGCCCTATAATTATAATTGGTATATTGTAAAACTTGCACAATATTAAACTTTCTCAGTTCTTAAAATAAAATAAATTTTTATTTTGAATATTTTTTCAATATCTTAGTATGCATTTTACGAAAAAATATTTAAAATAAAAATTAAATGATTCGAGGGGGGAAATCAATCAGTACTAAAATTGGTCCTCATACTCTCCTCCTTATAGGGGGAACAGGGGGTAACTTTAAAATTTCCAATGGATTCGGATCATTCGACTAAAAATAGGTAGATTTTGTCTAAAACATTTTTTCATATCTGTAATAGATGGCGCTGTAATGAAAAAAAAATCAATTTTGTTCGATTTTTCTTCTTATACGATTCTCCAATAATTTTTTAATAAAATACTTGGTTTTATTTTTTAAATTTATTTATTTTTTAAATTTTAATTGAAGAAGGTGCTCAAAATGGTGTACTTCGACTTCAATGCATTTATTAATTTGCATTTCGTTTTAATATTCTGCTAACACTGCCCTGGGATATTCCCAAATCTCTAGATAATTATCGTGTGCTTGCATGAGGATTAGCGGCCGTTGCTGCTAATACATTAATTTCATTATTTCCACCTGTGACTGTTACTCGACAAACTCTTTTTTTCGGTTGAACACTCCCGTTTGTAGTAAAATGCTTGACTGTACGGTGAAATGAAGTACGCGATCGAATTTTATCCGGAAAACGCTGAGCGTAGATATTAACAGCATCATCAAGACTCCTGCCTGCTTCTCCATAAATCAAAATCATTTCTATTTTTTCTTCCACTGTTAAAAAATCCATTATGAATAACTGCTTAACGAAAGGAGGTCTTTTTGTTTGCAAATTAATCTTCGAACTAAATTGATTACATAATGCTAAACTATAAATAATTTCTTTATACCTCAATATTAATTATTATTTATAACTAAATACCATTTTTTATACCTCAATTAGGATTAAATTAATTAATTGACAAAATAATGTTTTTTACCTTAAATGAGGTATTTTTATTAAAAATAGTACAAAATCCTTTAAATCAAAGGATTTAATGATGGCAGGTAAAAAGTGACCATGGTGCGCAATTGATAATTATCACCGAATGAAATAATGTATACCAAAGGAAATTTAAATATTAGTAAAAAATTCGTGGTTACTTAAAAAAATCAGATTTAATTTAATAAGATAATTATTACCGAAAAAAGTGATATTTTTATAAAATAATAAATTTTCCTTTGAAAATTTTAAAGTTACCCCCTGTTCCCCCGGTAAATAAGGAGGAGAATATAAGGAGCAATTTAAGTACTAAATGATTTCCCCCCTCGAATCATTTAATTTTTATTTTAAACATTTTTTCGTGAAATGCATACTAACTGAGATATTTCAAAGTTTCAAGTTAAATGACTCACCCTGTATGTAGGTAATTTATAACAAATTAAAATAGGTATATTTAACTTAATTTTATTTTTATATACAACTTTTTGTATGAATAATTACATTATGTAGGTAGTCGACAAATTTAATTCTATTAAACGTAACTTTTACCAAAAATATTAAAATATGTATAATAGGATAAGAAGAATTTGGTAAAATTTTCACTTACACTGTTTAAAAGAAAGCGCTTTTGTGGGTGTGAATTAAAAGAAACTACAAAAATTATGAATAATGTATGTTTTCAAATACCTACCCATATCTTTACAACAATGGGTTTTTGCATAAAAACATGCAATATATCTATTAAAAGTGAACAAATACCAACGAAAAAAATTGAAGGTGTGGAAACACAAAAATTTATTTTTTCTACTCCCACGTTTAAAACGCCCTTTATCGTACATCTTTCCATGACACTAAGTGACCTTTTAAATACACATTGACAAGTTGTGGCTTTACGGCGCTTTAGTCACGGGCTGAAGTTAACAACAGGATTTTAGTCTCGGGCTGAAGTTAGTTTTAAGTTAGTTGACAGTTGTCAAATGTCATACAATCGTTAAAATAAAGTGCCTTTCTTGTAAAATAATACTAAATGTGAAAATTATTTTATTATCTCTATACAAAAATACAAAAGTATTAAATAGTTTCTCAACGCCAATATTTGAAAAGTTTATATGAACATTGTACTAAACTTTTTAATTTCGCGGGCAGTAAACTACTTAAGTAAACTTAAATTCGGGCACGGACTCCACTTTAAAGTGCTCATAAAACATTTTCTTTACTTTCACTGTGAAAAACTGTCAATTTTCAAGAAATACATTTCGATTTGTAACCTTTATAATCTGTGTTTATAAAATAACTAAATTTGACATTTTACGGTGACACACAGATTCCCCTATTGTTTCATAGATGGCGCTCTATACAAATTTTTGATTTTTAATCATTTTAAGATAATAATAAGTATTTGTCGTAGAAAAAGTATAGTATGCACCTCGTTTATAAATTTTTCTATACACTCATTGATAGCAACAGGTTTTTAGTCACGGGCTGAAGTTAGCTTTAAGTTAGTTGACAGTTGTCAAGTTGTGAAGTGTCCATAAAACATTCTCTTCACTTTTACTGTGAAAAACTGCTTCTATATCATTTTTCTATAGATGTCACTTTATACAAATATTGAATTTATGTAAATCAGTTTTAGATAATAATAAATATTTGTCGTACAAAAACTAGTACGCAACAATACTGTACATACATAACTATTACGACACATGTAAATGTAGTTTTTGAATAATTTATACATGCAAGCTATTAAAACAATTTAAGCGTACTAAATGTTTACACAGTGTTAGATCTTTATCTTGG